GGGGGGCACTGGGGGTGGCAAGGATATTTTTAGAGGTGGCAGTGGCCACCCTGGCTACCCCTCTGGCTCCGCCACTGCTCTCCTCATACATCAGGCCTGACACTTCTACCATCCTGGCAGCCCAGCGGCTTTTGGCATCTCCTTAAAACGCTCGCTAAACTTTCTGGTGGCGGCAGCAGCTGAGTATCCGCAAGTTTGGTCACAGTAGATAGCGGTCACAGTATATAGTGATAGCGGTCACAGTATATAGCGATAGCGGTCACAGTATATAGCGATAGCGGTCACAGTATATAGCGATAGCGGTCACAGTATATAGCGATAGCGGTCACAGTATATAGCGAAACGGATAGCGGTCACAGTATATAGCGATAGCGGTCACAGTATATAGCGATAGCGGTCACAGTATATAGCGATAGCGTTCTCAGCATAGAGTAGCCCCGACGTCTGTCCCCTCCAAACCAGGCTGCAAAACTCCATCAACTCACAACCTTTTTGGGGATTGGCACGCTCCATCGCAGAGCCCCTCCGATCTGAAGGCCGCACCAGGGCCTAGGGCGCCAAACCTCCTCCCAATAAAATACTCAAAAGCTTCTTGTTTCACGTCTCTCCAAATTGAAATGCAGCCAGCGAAAGTTCAATTTGGTAGACGTCAGCCAAAGGTAACCCCTCCAGGCCGGTTCTCATCCCCAGCCTATCGCGCTGCAAACGCCCCTTCCAATCACCGCACCGGCCAGGCAAGCCGCTTAAAAGCGGAGAAACTCCCATTCTCTGCCTTCTCGAAGCCTGCAACCACCGCCTCCCCTCCTCCTCCTCTTCACCCTGCCTTCAATCCACCTTCAATCTGCTTCCCGCTGCCAAATGCCGCCACCAGTGCCTAGGTCCCGGGGGATTGGCACGCTCCATCGCAGAGCCCCTCCGATCTGAAGGCCGCACCGGGGCCTAGGGCGCCAAACCTCCTCCCAATAAAATACTCAAAAGCTTCTTGTTTCACGTCTCTCCAAATTGAACTGTACTAATTGGTCTGACAAATGGCAGTCAATGAGTTAATACATAAAAATACAATCTATCAAAGCACGCCTGTAACATGTTCGTGTGTGAACTAATTCGGACTCTGATGAGCACAGGGACTGACCACCTGCTGGTGCTCAGAGTAAGGACAAAACATGGGAGGTCAGCATTTCAGATTCTTGCAACTAAAATCTCTGACAGTCTTGCAGAAAGGCTTCACTTTTAACAACGTTCAAACACAGATTAATCTGTATCTGATTTATTTTTCATTGTATGATTTATTGTTTTAGTTTTTTACTGTACTGTGTTATGGAAAGCCTTGTGTATGACTTGTGCTATATAAATAAACTAGCCTTGCCTCTATATACGCCCTTGGATGTTCATCAAATGAAAGGTGTCTTGCCAAAGTTGGTCACTCCAAGCTCCCTCCCCAAATAGTGCCTCCCAGTCCTCCACAGCTTTAAGCATTAAGCTGAGCAGCAACCCACCTCCTCCCCGGCACCACCTCTTCAGTAGATAATTGTGTCTTTGGCTCAACTTCTTGGCTGAGGGTCTATGACCCTGGGGGGCTTTGCCAGCTCATCTCTACTGCAGTATTCCTGTCAGGGTCTAAGCCACAATTCATTCAAGCAAAATACAGTGAAAGTATTTGGCCCCCTTGAACCTTTCAACATTTCGCCACATTTCAGGCTTCAAACATAATGATTTAAAATTTTAATTTTTGTCCTGAATCAACAACAAGTGGGACACAATCGTGAAGTGGAACAAAATTTATTGGATAATTTAAACTTTTTTAACAAATAAAAAACTGAAAAGTGGGGCGTGCAATATTATTCGGCCCCTTTACTTTCAGTGCTGCAAACTCAGTCCAGAAGTTCAGTGAGGATCTTTGAATGATCCAATGTTGTCCTAAATGACTGATGATGATAAATAGAATGCACCTGTGTGTAATCAAGTCTCCGTATAAATGCACCTGCTCTTTGATAGTCTCAGGGTTCTGTTTAAAGAGCAGAGAGAACCATGAAGACAAAGGAACACACCAGGCAGGTCCGAGATACTGTTGTGGAGAAGTTTAAAGCCGGATTTGGATACAAAAAGATTTCCCAAGCTTTAAACATCTCAAGGAGCACTGTGCAAGCAATTATATTGAAATGGAAGGAGTATCAGACCACTGCAAATCTACCAAGACCCGGCTGTCCCTCCAAACTTTCATCTTTAACAAGGAGAAGACTGATCAAAGATGCAGCCAAGAGGCCCATGATCAATCTGGATGAACTGCAGATAACTACAGCTGAGGTGGGATAGTCTGTCCATAGGACAACAATCAGTCGTGCACTGCACAAATCTGGCCTTTATGGAAGAGTGGCAAGAAGAAAGCCAATTCTCAAAAGATATCCATAAAAAGTCTCGTTTAAAGTTTGCCACAAGCCACCTGGGAGACACACCAAACATGTGGAAGAAGGTGCTCTGGTCAGATGAAACCAAAATCAAACTTTTTGGCCACAATGCAAAACAATATGTTTGGCGTAAAAGCAACACAGCTCATCACCCTGAACACACCATCCCCACTGTCAAACATGGTGGTGGCAGCATCATGGTTTGGGCCTGCTTTTCTTCAGCAGGGACAGGGAAGATGGATAAAATTGATGGGAAGATGGCTGGAGCCAAATACAGATACATTCTGGAGAAAACCTGTTGGAGTCTGCAAAAGACCTGAGACTGGGACGGAGATTTATCTTCCAACAGGACAATGATCCAAAACATAAAGCCAAATCTACAATGGAATGGTTCACAAATAGACAGATCCAGGTGTTAGAATGGCCAAGTCAAAGTCCAGACCTGAATCCAATCGAGAATCTGTGGAAAGAGCTGAAGACTGCTGTTCACAAACGCTCTGGCCAGCAAAAGGCCAGTTATGGCCACACCTGCACTTTACCACTGTGTCCAAAAAGCATTTATGATAAAAACAGGCATATCTTTGCTTCTTTACTTCCAAACATTTATTTCTCAACAGCAGATCCAATTTAAGACATAGAGACAACATGTCTCAAATTGTGGCAGTGTCATTTGCAAACAGCAATTGTAAACCACATATGGTTGTATTTTATTTTTAAACATACGCAGGTCCAAGGCAACAATATAACATTATGAATTAATAGGTCAAAACGGCACACACCGATTTGATACAATCCACAAGTTAGACATTCAGCAAATACAGAATATTTTGGGGAAATACTCTCCAAGAGTGATGAAATCTAAATTTAATCTCAACTTTAATCAGAACCACAACTCACAAGAAATTGTAATTCCGAAAATATCTTATATTAATGCAGTTTGTTCTTGATTTTAAAGAATGACAAGATGGTTACATTTTTATGTTATCAATTCTCTTTGTCATCTGGGTTGTATGTTTATATTATGAAATCCAGCTGGTTTAGTCTTCACTAAACTCAAACAGTTGCTGTAATGATTTATCAGAGACAAACTGGGTCTAAATATATTTGTAGTCGCTGTAAGAGCAAAGACAACATGGTTCATTTAAAACGCTACTACAGTGGTTCTCACACTGAGAACCACATTTATTTTTGTGGAAAAACAGCTTTAATGATTTAGACTTATTGGTCCTGTTCTGGATATGTTTAGCCCGAGTTAAGTTTCTGACAAAGTCCTAATTTCTCGGCTCGCAGAACAGAACCATGACACATAATGATCAGTCTCTATAGCATCAGTTGAACTAAGGCGTGGGTCTCCAACCAATAGCTCGGGAGCTACCAGTAGCTTGCCACCCTCTTCCAAGTAGCTCCCAAAAAGACAATTTTATGAGTAAATATAAAAAAATGACACAACTCAACAAAAAATGCCATAAAAAAAACTTAGAAATTGGCCAAGTTTGGCAAAATTGATTGGAAAACATTTTGACAGTCTTAAAACAAGATTTGCGAAATAGAGCACAAAATACATTTACTATATCCGTTTGTTGGAGGGGCGGTCGGCTGTTCCAATGTTTTAAATGTCAGAATGTCTTCAAATCAAGATGAAAAAGTACAACATTTTGTTGACTGTCTGAAAGGAGTAGCTCTCTTGTGTCGATCCCTGAACTCAAGACTCAAGATATATTTGAAATACTAACTGTGCAAATGTTTTAAAATGCTGTACAAACAAGTATAATCATTCAAATCGGCCAGAAACATCTTCTCATCTGAACTGTAATACATTAAGTGTCAAGTATTTTCATTTTTTTCACAGCTATATGCTAAAAACTGTCAGTAGCTTATGGGGTTAACTGACCTACACAACCTTAACATTAGCTAACATAGATAAATATTAGCTTCACAAGTCAAACACGTATATTCAACTTTGGGGGCTGTTTACAATCTTACCGAGTTTGTTTCTGCTGTATCTGGTTTAAATGGATCGATTCAAAGGCTACCAACAGAGAAAACTCGTTAAATACGCTGTAAAAAAAAGACACTTATATTCTCACCCTCTGTAATTAACTCTGTTGAGAGCAAAATAAATAATTCAGAAGAACCTTGTGACTAATAGAAATCATTTTGGTAGAAAAAACAAAAATATGAGAACTCAAAGCTCTCACACAGTGTTTAACCCTTGTGCTATCTTCGGATCAAATTGACGCGCCGCAGTGATTCAAAAATACCCTTAATACTTTTTTTTTTTTGCTGCATTTTGATGACTATTCCTAACTTGACCAGCCTGGGGTCACCCTTTTAGACCCTATAATAGGATATTTTTCTTCTACTTTTCATCATCTGTGACGGGTCATTTAAACCCGAGGGAAACAAGGGTTCAACATCCGGTTTCTATTGTACATAGACGAAACCTTCAAAACAATACGTATGGCAGCTTTTCCATTTCAAGTTAAATTCCATCTACTATCAGGGATGCACAAAGAACTCGTCTTAAGAGCGAGTACAGCTTTATTTTCATGTATCTGATGGTCATTAGAGTTCTCATCAGCGCTGGCACCAGTTTCAAAAAGGCCAGTGTAGATCTTCCAAGTATCCGCTCTGTCCTAAATTGGCATCGGTCTCTAACAAACTCATAATAACGGCCATTGCTGCCTCGTCACTGCTGAAAGCGCTCAGGCCAGGGACCACCACGTTGTCCATGTCCAATGAAGACTCTCCTGCGAGAAAACAGACAAATGATGTTTTAGTGTGATGGTGTAACTGGCTGGGATGATACAGGGATGTACATTTTCAGACTAAACCTTGATACAACAGGTCATTGTTGTTGTGATAGGTTTGTTTATAGCTCATTATCTTTTGCATCTGGTTTCCCATTTGTGTATATTTCTTACATTATGAGAACAACTTCGACCAATAAAACACAAGTTTCATTATGTATTTTCTGGTAGATTTTTCCAACCAAAACTGGACCCTAAAGCAAAGAATTGAAATGAGTGACAATAAAGATATTGGCCTATTAATAATAGTGAAATTTGCTTCATAACCATTCATAAACATGCCATGTTGGCACATATAACCTTATGCCAACAATTATTGCACGTAAATAATTCAGGGGGCCACTAATGGTCTTGCCGGCCACATGTTTGAGAACCCTGGGATAATGTATATAAACTGTGTGAAAGAGTTTCACCCGAAACGTCACATCTTGTGGTGCAAATTCAGATCTCTGGGGAGCTAAAGCTGTGCAGTCATCTCCATTTTTTCACATACCTCACTCCAATAAAAAATGAAATGCATAAGTAAGGTGGGTGAGGTCCTGGCCATGAATAAAATAGTGTGAATTGGAAAGAAACATTTAGAAACCATTATTGAATATAATATGCAACTCAAGTATGGAGCTCGATGCTGATACGCATTTGATTTGATGCATTACACAACACAAATATATTTAATTATTCACCGGTGCCTTCTGATGACCCACTGCTGCCTGCTGTAGTTTTAGACTCCAAGCTGCCGGCTGCCTCCTCTCGACTTGAGCCCTGATGATGGTAGGAATATCAAAACCTTTTTTAGTGTTTCATATATTTTAATGCAGTTCAACCAGTAAGTCACTTACACTCTTACTGGTGCAAGGAGAGTCGAGTGGGAGTTTTTCTGAAATTAGACCAAATGGACTGGAAGCTCCACTTGATGGAGAAGAGTTTATTCTAAAAAAATAAAAAATAAAAAAATACTATGAACAAGGATATATAATACAGAGTTCACACAACTGTGTATTTTTGGTCTCATAACGTGCTCAGCCTAATGAGGAGGGTTCAACGAAGAATTGTGATCATACATTTATTGGTCTATTCATGGATCAAAAACAATCGCCTCCTTTTAGGGAACCACAAATTGTACCAAAAAAAGGACACATTTAGTTCACCAGTAAATATTGTGCATTTAATGTATGCTGCAATATAACTAATATACAGTATATATACACACACACATCAGTGTACCTCTACAGCATTGTTCTGGGGACAATATTTTTCCTGACAAAATCATCAATAATCAATCAAAATTGTATTCAAACATTTGCAAAATGGAGAACAAAAACAAATAATGATTTGTGTACCTTAATATGCAAGTTACACGCTTGTAGTAAACATGGGCCATCAGGTATAAAATGAATACTTACCTATAAGCCTCTATGAGCTCAGTGGCAATTTGTGTCCCGATGCTGCCTGCGTAAATCATGTTTCCCACCCCCGATGAGAGGCCAGGAATTATGGGAACGGGTAATTCCTTTGACATGCCTGACAAACAAGAATACAATCATTTAAATAATCTTCCTCATGATCAAATTGGTTCTATCCCAGAATCAAAGTACTTAAGGTCAGTATTTACTTAAACTGGTGTAGATTTATTTAGATCTTTTCAATTCTGCCTTTGAGCATATACAGTATGTTTCACGATGAAAGCGTCTGACCAGGCTTTTATACAATCTCTTCATTATGCATCTAGTTTTATACAGTTTTGTGCATGTAGTGCATTTCTTTCATTTATGTAACATCACACAGTAGAATCCTTATACTTTCTAAGTGTATGGCCTCATGTGTAATGTAGTGGAGGTTCTCTGTGCTACACACTGTCCAAACTCTAGTCCTGATGATCACTGCATAGCTTAAAAACACGCACAGCTTTAATCATGTTTTTTCACATCAAATAACTACAACTGCTGAGTTGTCATAATGGATCATTCATGGCTCAGTTTTACCAGGATGTGCCAACCTATGCTGCCCAGTCGTTGTTGTAACACTGGAATATATCGTGATTTGAGGTCACAACATTCCAAAGAGCATATCATTTAAAAGTGTGGTACATGGCACAAAATATCACACTTTTTGTGCCTGTGTGTATCTGTAATTACGGGGACAAGCCGCATGAAAAAAAATGTCAAAGCAACTTTGTCAGTGCATATCAACTATGGTCTGATTATTTTACCATAAATGTCGAGAGGTGACAATATTAAAATATGATGTTGGCCAGTAGAAAGAACTTTCAGACATAATAGTATGGCGGGTTTGTGAATGAAATCGCTCTCAAACATTAACGTGTAAACTAAACACATTTGCACATTTTAATCATTTCTTATTTCCCATAAAGCTGTAATGGCACCTTCCCTCCTTCCCTCCAACTAAAATAGAAAACTTGAACATGAACAAAACCTAAAAAAATAACTGAACATTTGTTTTCAGCTTGTGCGAGTCAGCCAGTTTGTCTGATTTATAATTGACAATAGAGACGACATCAGGACATCTTGTGAGGAGAAATGGAAAGACGATCAAACAAATCTAGTCCTCACCTGGAAGTGCTTTGGAGCTGCCTGCCTCGGCTTCGTCTTTGCCGTGATGGCGCGGTCTCCTGTTGATGAGGTCACGATCAGCTTGTGTTTATTTGCACACAAGAGGAACAGGAGAAGAAATAATACTTACGTGACAACTCTATTTAAAGAGACTATAAACTCTATTTCTTTGGTCCAAGGATTTGTGAAACTAAACCACTGACTTTGGAGCATCACGTAGGAGCCGTATTTTGTCTTAAACTTGTAACATTGTGTTTCAATCTTCTTTTTGCTTCGAAGAACTGCAGAAAGATCCAGACACCATAAAAGATAAAATGGATGCAATGTAGATGCAAATAAGAAAATTAAGAAAAATACTCCCTTCTGTTTGATTTACTGATTGGGAGTAAATGTGCCATAAGATGTATTTGAAAAGTTAGTTTGATCTGAACTCACCCTCCCTATGTTTCTCTGAAAGGTGATGCAAGTCGTTGTGATGGAAATATTCATAGCACGATGTACCCAGGACTTCTTGCGGCAGATACCCAATGATGGTAGTCGCTCTACAATTAAAAAATGTATGGCGAGAAAAAGAGAGATGGGGGGAAACAGAAATTGAAAAGGTGACGTAGGCAAAAATTTTAATTCACTTTAAGTATATTTCTAAATAATTTCTAATAAATACATATTCTTTTCATAATATATGAATTAACATGTCTGTGTAACATGTTTGAGATTAAATGTGAAAAAATCCGACCACAACAAGCACCTTAGTTTTATTAGAAAACACAAAATCTTATATGTAAGAAACATTACACCAGCAAAACGCCCACATCTAATCCACCAATAACCACCAGGACAGCAAGTTAAAAGCCGGAGACGCCCACTTTCCCGGCCTTCTGAAGCTTGCAAAGCCTCCGCCGCCCCACCTCCTCCTTCTCTCATCGAAGCGTGCTTGCCTACTGCCTCTGCCGTCACCAGTGCCTAGGCCCCGGGGGGGGGGGGATTATGCGCGCGAGCAAGCGCCGCACTCATCAGCATCTCTCCCGGGCCTAGGGCGCCAAACATACTCAATCAACAAACTTCTAACTGCATTTTCCCTCTTGGGTCTCTCCAAAGTGAAACTCTTGATGAGTTGGCTGAGTGAGGCCAAAAAGACAGTAAGGTGGATTTTAATACATTTGTGGTTTGAGAGGTTTTAAATCCAAGTATACACCTCAACAGAACAAGTATGAATAATTGATTATGAATAAAAATATAGGAGCAAATTGGACCTTGGAAAATTCCTTTGATTAAATGAGAAAACTCACTGTTGATCGACAAAGATGAATTTCCCGTCGATGGAGCAGCGCGTTATGAACTCCATGGGTTTGGTGTTTTGTTGTTGATCTTTGTTGGTGGGACTGGAGCTGTGTGGCTGGACTCTACAGAAGGTCACTAGACAGGACAGCGGGGAGGGCTCCGTCTCAGGCTCCGAGTCCGGGTCTGAGCGCGGCCAGCTGCCCATGTACCCAGTGCAGTGCAGCGTGCAATATTTGTATGAGTCTAAGGCAGAAAGACAAAAAAGGAATTCATCAACAATCGGCTTGAAGGACTATTGTTGATTTACCCCTTGTACGTGTTTTGTTCTTTAAGGATTTTGACAACCTTGAATAATGAGGTAATGGTTTATACTAAATTAATTAGCACAATTATTATTATCATAAATTATAGTTGTATCATTTTTATTGCAGTCCAACAAAGTAAAAATATAGTTGTTTTCTTTCATGCGCAATTACTGGTGAGAAAAAAATATATACCACCTATTTTCCTACTCTAATTGAGATGGGACGTCACAACCTCCTCTCGGCCTTTGGGCTAAGCTCAAGTCTAGGACAGTGCCTTTTCTGAGGGCTTCTATAACACTGACCTGTTTACCCTCCTTTGACCCGTGGAATCAAAGTCGTGCAATCAAAACTGTGGTCACGTTGGTATCACTAACCCACAGATATTTCAAAACAGTTGCCAGTTTAATTTAACAACAATCTTTTATGGTAGCCAAATGAATCAACAGGTATGAACTGACCCAGTGGCCTTGGACAAGTTAAAGATGGCCTTTGTATTCTGGGTCAAAAAACATAACCAAAACATTTAAGTCTGAAGAATTAGGTAAGGGTAATAATAACCCTAATAATACATTTCCATTGGTTTGCCATTTGATAATAACATAGAATATACATGGAGTAGGTCAGTCAGATTAAAATCTCAATAAAAGATGGAGCCAGGTGTCTTGACAAATGTTTTGATGCGTGTGCTATAGCTGGAGGGGACAGACTGAGCACAGGGCAGCAGGCTGGGGCACTAAGCAATAGTTTGTGGTTCATATAATATGTAAACATAAACCGTAACCAAACAAAGTGGTTAGGGTTGGTTGGTAACAAGAGGTAGGGCCTAAAGGAAAACCGTAACTTTAATGACGTTTACTAAGTTATTTAATGTTGATAAATACTTTATTGATACCCCGTAGGAGAAATCCAGGTGTCCAGCAGCAAAAAATACATCCATACACTCACATTTATTCAATTATAGATTAAGAGATCCTTTATCCGTCCCACAGTGGGAAAATGTCAGTGTTGCATCACAAGTTACAGAACAGTAGGAATGAGGAGCACACAGCACAAAATAAGTGAACAATAGCTATACTAATTATTACTAACAAAATCTCTAACTAGAATATATATATATAAATGCTTGTATTTAATGATTTGTTCTGTGGTTATTATATCAACATTTAAGGACATTGGTCATCTATCTCCTATGGCTCTATGTGTTTATATACAGTGCCTTGCGAAAGTATTCGGCCCCTTTGTATTCGGCCTTTCAACATTTCGCCACATTTCAGGCTTCAAACATAAAGATATAACATTTTAATTTTTTGTCATGAATCAACAACAAGTGGGACACAATCGTGAAGTGGAATTAAATTTATTGGATAATTTAAAACTTTTTTAACAAATAAACTGAAAAATGGGGCGTGCAATATTATTCGGCCCCTTTACTTTCAGTGCAGCAAACTCACTCCAGAAGTTCAGTGAGGATCTTTGAATGATCCAATGTTGTCCTAAATGACTGATGATGATAAATAGAATGCACCTGTGTGTAATCAAGTCTCCGTATAAATGCACCTGCTCTTTGATAGTCTCAGGGTTCTGTTTAAAGCGCAGAGAGAACCATGAAGACAAAGGAACACACCAGGCAGGTCCGAGATACTGTTGTGGAGAAGTTTAAAGCCGGATTTGGATACAAAAAGATTTCCCAAGCTTTAAACATCTCAAGGAGCACTGTGCAAGCAATTATATTGAAATGGGAGGAGTATCAGACCACTGCAAATCTACCAAGACCCAGCCGTCACTCCAAACTTTCATCTCAAACAAGGAGAAGACTGATCAGAGATGCAGCCAAGAGGCCCATGATCACTCTGGATGAACTGCAGATAACTACAGCTGAGGTGGGAGAGTCTGTCCATAGGACAACAATCAGTCGTGCACTGCACAAATCTGGCCTTTATGGAAGAGTGGCAAGAAGAAAGCCATTTCTCAAAGATATCCATAAAAAGTCTTGTTTAAAGTTTGCCACAAGCCACCTGGGAGACACACCAAACATGTGGAAGAAGGTGCTCTGGTCAGATGAAACCAAAATTGAACTTTTTGGTCACAATGCAAAACGATATGTTTGGCGTAAAAGCAACACAGCTCATCACCCTGAACACACCATCCCCACTGTCAAACATGGTGGTGGCAGCATCATGGTTTGGGCCTGCTTTTCTTCAGCAGGGACAGGGAAGATGGCTAAAATTGATGGGAAGATGGATGGAGCCAAATACAGGACCATTCTGGAAGAAAACTTGTTGGAGTCTGCAAAAGACCTGAGACTGGGACGGAGATTTATCTTCCAACAGGACAATGATCCAAAACATAAAGCCAAATCTACAATGGAATGGTTCACAAATAGACGTATCCAGGTGTTAGAATGGCCAAGTCAAAGTCCAGACCTGAAACCAATCGAGAATCTGTGGAAAGAGCTGAAGACTGCTGTTCACAAACGCTCTCCATTCAACCTCACTGAGCTTGAGCTGTTTTGCAAGGAAGAATGGGAAATAATTCTGGTCTCTCGATGTGCAAAACTGATAGAGACATACCCCAAGCGACTTGCAGCTGTAATTGCAGCAAAAGGTGGCGCTACAAAGTATTAGCGCAGGGGGGCCGAATAATATTGCACGCCCCACTTTTCAGTTTTTTATTTGTAAAAAAAGTTTAAATTATCCAATAAATTTTGTTCCACTTCACGATTGTGTCCCACTTGTTGTTGATTCTTGACAAAAAATTAAATTTTTATATCTTTATGTTTGAAGCCTGAAATGTGGCGAAATGTTGAAAGGTTCGAGGGGGCCGAATACTTTCGCAATGCACTGTGTATATATATATATATATACCTATATAAAAATCATTTGTATCATTTATTTGTTTAAACTGTTTAATTCTTTGATCTGTGTTGGTGAATACAACTGTTTTGTTAAGTCCTCTGAGATAACTGTTGTATGGAAGCCCGTTTTCACCATGTAAAAAAAAGCCTACAGAAACTCAAAATTACGAGTTTTGAATTGTGCATGTGCAGTTGCTGCCCGGTATGTGTTGTTGTCTGGAACGGTGTCTGGACATCCTTTACCTGCAGGTCATGTGAAGATATTGCCTACAAACAATGACCACTGCATCCATGAAGTAGCAGCAATAATGTTGTGGTACAATATTCCTCAATGCTCGATGAATGAGACCACTTCAGCGTTCAGCCGCATGTGTTTTATTATTAAGCTTCCACAGTCCGTTCAGGATAAATTAAATAGAAGCTCCTTGACCAGATTCTAATCATAAACGGAGAGACGTTTGCATTTTAACACGATTACTGCCTCAACATTATTGCTGCTACTTCATGGATGCAGTGGTTACTGTCTGTGGGCAATACCTTCAACATAACCTGCAGGTAAAAGGATGTCCAGACACCGTTCTAGATGACAACACATACGGGGCAGTAACTGCACATGCGCAGTTTAAAACTCGTAATTTCGAGTTTTAAAGTCATCATTTTGACTTTTAAACTCATAATTTCGAGTTTTAAACTCATAATTATGACTTTCTGTAGGCATTTTTTTTTTTTTTACATGGCGGAAACGGGCTTCCATACTGTTGTGGTTTATGTCTATACAAGAATCAATTAAATTTTTTCAATTATTGTTGGCCTTTTCTCAGACCAGTCTGATTACAAATTTGCACTTATACTGGATTATAATTTATCTCTTGTATAGGTAGGATGACTGACGGTCAAAGCTGATTAAACTCCTTATGTTGTCCTTGTGATCATTGATCTCACCTTTCTTTCTTTCTTTCTTGGAGCTGGTGGGTAGAAGGTGTTTGTCATCTTGCTTGGCGGGGAGCCGGCCGTGCTTCATGCGGCAGAAGAAGGACCTGCGAGCGCCCGTGGTCATGTGGGCAGCCCTGGGAAGCGCTTCAGGCTGCGGAACAGGAGCTGTGAAGAAACACCACAACATAATTCAAACAAGAGCTTTATCCACACACACGGAAACTGGGCTGAGACTTTGAAAATATTTGAGAAAGATTTACTTGCAGCATCTATGTGGCTTTGGCGAGGAAAAGAGTCGGAAGAGGCCAGCTGCTCCTTCACTTTGTGAATGTCTTTGTGGTGAATGAAGTCAAACAGACTTTGCCCGATTAACTCCAACTGCAACATACATGTAATTAGGAATTACATGTATACCAATAATTTTACTGCCATATTCACTTAACTTAATATACAAAATACTTGGCACAGAGTGACAAAATGCATTAGCATAAGAAAAAATCCCCCTGTTGCTGCATTCGCTGGGATGTTACAACTTGCCTTGTCAAGACATTGACGTAGCATTGTTGTTAACATGATTGTTTGAGTTAATTATATTGACATCTGAGTGTAGTTTAACTTACCCGGCTGAAGTTGAGGACTTCAGAAGCAGACTCTGAGATGAAGAGGATTTTAGCTCTATCACACGTCACCACCAACAAGAACCCATCTGCAGCCTGAGGAGATGGCACAACATGGAAATGAAAACAAAAGAATTGGTAATGGAACCAAAATAAGACTCAATACACATAGTCGTGTTGGTTATAAAACAGAACAGTATTGGGACAACTATAACTATTGCTATTGTTAATAACGACATAAAAAAGTCTTACCCTGAGCAGGAGGTGTCTTAGGTCTTCATGAGGCAGAATGGAAGGCTTTGCGATGGTTTCTAATAAGGTGCTGCTTGAGCACACTGTGAAGGCAAAATAGTAAGTCAATTAACCATTGTTTGGTCAGTTGGAGAAAAAATTTATTCTCAGTCTCAATTGATTACAGACATTGCCCCATTTGCAATTGGACAGGACATCCAATTGCTCTGATCTGGCCTGCAGGTACAATTTGATATTTAGGAATGAAAAAAAATCAGAAAACCCAGCTGAATTTAATCTACATTCAGACATGATCAAGCAAGATCATTCTGAGGCCCAATCCCAATACTGCACCCTACACACCTCTACGAAGTGCGCATTTGTTTGAAGTGCACATAAGGGTTGGAGTGTGCAGGTTACCGGTGTGCAAAAAAGGCGGAATTGGGACAGTGCACAGTGAGTGCAGGTTACGTCATCGACTCGTCAAGAGATGGTCATTTTCAGACCTACACTTTATAAAAATTAAAAGGTAATCTTGTCTGACCCTGTGGGAAACAAAATGAGTTTCTCCACACACGTTGAAATACATGTATATTGGTTATTTGTCATTTTAAATAGCTGTATAATTTTAAGTTAAATGTGGGTAACTAACTGTTATCTGGTCAGTTTTTATACATCCTAAGATTATTGTACTGAGTGTAAAGTTTAAATGGAATGTTATATGAATGCTTGCTTTAAAAAGTTATTAAATTGTTTAAATACAATGTCCGTAATTCTTCATCAGACATTTATGCTTCTTTCCAAGTAACATAGCAAAACTTATTTACACACATACAGCATATATATTTCAAAACGTACATTTAAATGCATTTTTCCGACGTGTTGGTGTGTACCGCAAAGAATTAAGGGCAATATCCTTCGACAGAGTCCGCATAGATGCAGGCTACGGCGAAGTGTGGATCGGGAACGCGCAAATGAGGGGCGCGAGGGTGGAGGTGCGAGTATTGGGACTGAGCCTAAGACTGAAGTCTCATATTTGTTGAGTAGTGATGACAGTAAAGTGTGTACCTCTGAGTGCTTTCAGATGCTGCACAGCCTTCCTGAGCACAGTGAGTTTGTCAAGTTTCCGTGGCTGTGGCTGACATGAGGGGATCATGGTCGATAGCTCATCTATGAGGTTGTTCATTTTGTCCCTGCGCCGCTTCTCAATCTGTCTGTGAGGTTCCCTGTGTAAAACAAAGCCCAAAACAAAAACTCTTTCAAGGTTTCACTTGTAAAAGTTTGTCACAGGGGAGTTTTTGCTCAGTTAGTCACTGTTTTTTCCTCCTTTATAACTATCATGAACTGTATGGTAATCATAATAAAGCCACTTTCATGCGATCTTGGAAACTCAGATATCTTTGTTATCTTCAGACTTTCCAAAATCAGAGCGTTCGTGAGGCAGCTGGTGACGCTAGTGACATACACATGCAGCAATGCAATTTTATTTTCTTTGCTTGTTCATTAGAAAGGCACAAAAACCTTAACTGTAGTGATATGAAAAGCCAAATATGCTTATTTTTCTGTGTGGGAAGTTGGAACTTTAAGTTTCCCAGATTGCATGAAAGTAGCATAACCACCTGCACTTGTGGCTGTTCGACAGTCCTGCCCTCTTTCCTCCAGTCACACATTCAGTGAACATTCATTCAGAAGGCCATTCCAACACATGGAACAAAATATATAACTTAAACAAGAGAATAGCTAGATACATTTGGTGTAACTTTAGCACTTTTGAGACTTTGTTGTGATACATTATTAAAACCAAATAAAAGGATTTAGTAATTGTAGAAATATTTAAGAAAACTGGCAGCAATAATCACTCACAATTAAGGCTGGGCTTTAACTCCTGCGTCTCAGAGATGAACTTAAAGATCAACTAAACACCTGTGTCTAGCCTTACTCCACCCACATGAACATTTGAAAATTGTCTCTAAAAAGGGCGTTGCCTGGAAGACCAGAGGACAAGAAGGGGGGCTGAGAGTTGAGCGTGGTCTGGGCTGTGATTGACAGCTCACTTGTCACACACAAGAAAACAGACAGCTGTCATTGCTGCCTAAAGAAAAGTTTTACACACCAGAAAGTCTCATCCAACCCTTGTTTACACACCTGAACCTAAGCCACAGAATTATCTCAGCAGTAGTGGCGGTCAACTGATGTAATTTAATTTTAATCCACTAGATTTTGCCAGAAGATAAGATATACTTTATTAATCTCACACAGGAGAAATTTACATGTCACATTTGGCATGGATAGAAACACTCAAGATTGTGCAAAAAGTAAGAAATGTTGATGCAGGACTAGCCTGGCCATAGCCATCCGTACACTCCGCTCAATCATCATTTCACTGCATGTAACGTCTGGGTCTGGTCCCTGTGTTAGCGATTACAATCGGTCGTATTTCGACCGTCTACTCAGAGAGCGCGGAAGGCGGGTGTTGTAGGTCGGTGCCAGTGACGTCAAGAGTTTGCACCGAACGGGCAGGTTGTGGTTTGGCAATGGCGAAGAATGTGATAGTAAAGTATTCTACTAGTAAAGTATTCTACTAGAGTACTCTCTAGTTTACTTGCTGTGAATTTTTGAAGTCTCTCGTTCAAATGAATGGAGCTCTCGCCGGCTGACGCATGCGCAGATGCAATTTTTCACAATTTTCTTGTGGGCGGGACCACTCGCGGCCATTTTGGATAGCTCCAGTAGAGCACATTTTTTGGCCCATTAGTTAGAACGCCGGAGATAGGTGTGACTACGTCCGTTAATTTTTTGTCTATGGGCGCCACACAGACGGTTTTAGATGTCTCTAATTTGCAATAAACTGTCAAAGAAATTACCAGGATATGTAGAGTGCACTATAATGAACATATTTATGCCGTTTATGAGTTCAAAAAAGTTGATTTGGGGGTTAGTTGTCCTTGAGTTAGTTTGGCTTGAGGGACTCCACAGTTACTCTATGGCAGAATCTATCTGCTGTGAGCCCCGCTCAGAATGAAAAATAATGCAAACCTGAAACATTTCATCTTCACCTGCTGGTCCTCTCCATCAGATCTAAGAAATTTACAGTAAGAACAAATCATGCCAGTTTTAACTTTATGTAAATTATTGTTTTCTTGAATCAAACCAGAATTACATTACGCACCTGCTGAACTCCTCGTCCATTAAAAAGTCATCACTATCTCTGAAAATGCAAAGATCATAATGTGATTTATGCATATATCAAAACAATCCATCACATTCATGTTAAGTTCATGGTCATGTTTTAGCGTATATTTACATTGCCTTTATTTGAAGTAATGTTTTGCTCACCCAATCACAAGCCAGTATGATAACCATGGAACCGAGCAAAACAGTTCACAGATAGATGACGATAAATAAAACTATTATTGTTTTTCTGGTGTCACCAAAGTGCAAACTGATAACATCACCATGGAGATAAGCAGGTGACGGCTTCAGACTAAATGGGTCACATCAAGACAAGTAACTAACTTTTCCACATTTTTATGTTGAGAAGGTGAGAAAACCATTTTATGTGACAGAACAATAGAACCTGACAGAGAATTGTGAAAGGGAGAGCAAAATGAAGGCAATTGTACAATTAACTATTTTATAAAACAAAAACACAAAATCTCTTTCACCAATTGTCAGCTATGTTGGTCTCTGACAGAAAGCAATCCAATTACATGTATTGATGATATAGGGTTTGTTACAGGACAACATGTGAAAATGTTAAGTATTCTTTAAGACACTGCATAATGATAAGAAGAATAGTGTAAGTCAGCCTCACCTTGGTTCAGATTTTGAATCCACATTCCCCTTTCTCTTTCGAGGCTGCTCATGGCTCGTGCTCTCCTCCTCAGGGTTGTCAAACCCTTCATCTAATCAAAAAAACCAAGACAAAAAAAGCGCTTTTCAGGACACTCAAAGACACTTTACATGTCATTATTCTTTCACTCCATACACGATGGTTATAAACTACTACTGTAGCCACAGCTGCCCTGGGGCACACTGACAGAAGCGAGGCAACCAGTATGTGCCATCAGTGGCCCACTGTGGCTGGTGTTCCTAGAGGTTAAGTGTCTTGCCAAGGACACAACGACAGCATACAGTGGGAATTGATGGTGAAGGTCGGGCTCGAACCCACAACCCTCTGGCTTAAAGGCCAATGCTCTACCAACTTAAAACATAAAACACACCTTTTGACATAGAAATGAAAGTGCTCACACACACTTGGAATGAGTATCACTAAGGATACTACATATTTTATTTAAAAAAAAAAAAAAAAAAAGACTAGATAAATGCCTAAAGTCTCCTTGAATGCAGTAACCCAGGTCGACCAGCGAGCGGCGCTGTTTACCCTACGTTCTAACTTGTTGTTGTCGGGGTTTTTTTATGTCCAGAACACAGGCACGTGAAAGTATTGAGGTTTGTGCTCTCGTCTTACACAAGCCTTATATAATGTTGTCACACTGACCTACTTCAGCGCAGGCCCACCTCAAATACAGAAGGCCGCAGTCAAAGAAAGCTACTGACCTCTGATGCACGTGTATGTTCATATTATAAGAAAATTCAGTCTGGTTGGATGTAAACGACAAATATGGCATATATAGAGAAAAGAGCTGGCAATTGCCCCCCCCCCCCCCCCCCCCAAAAAAACACTTATTGTTATAACAACAAGTAAATCACAGGTATACTACCGTTTACGTAACGATTTTTATTTCATTTTACTGAAAGTAAAATAAAATAAAATAAATCATTTTACTGAAAGTTTTACAGGCAACTTTGAAGAGAAAGTAAAATGGTACATGATTCTGTTACTTGAAAATTGGGCCAGCACAATTATTCATACAGCGTTTCTCTGAGTGCATTAAATTGACTTTAAAACATTCCTAGTGACTGCTAAACCCCTGTTCACTCTCTCAGGGCTGTAGAGAATGTTCACATTTTCAAAGGCAGGCTCAAGACACACCTTTTTAGATTACCTTTTGATTAGGCATTTTATGTATTCTATTTATCTTTTAGACACATTTTATTTGTTATTATTGCTAATATAAATAATATGGATGGTGCTATGTTCTTTTTAGTTTCACATTTTAATGTTTTACTTTTTGTATTTACTTGTTGAATTGTTTTAGTGTTTCCTCTGGAGGAGTCCTCTACGCTGGGAGCAGTGGTCGTCTGGGGATGTTGGGATCTGGCTTTTTAATTAAATTCAATTCAATTTATTCTTGTATGCCCTAAATCACAACAGTAGTTATCTCAGAGAACTTAACGAAACCCATATAGATAAGCGAATTCTATTAAAAAATATAAAACACATAGGTTAACGGGTCATGGGGAGATGGCAAGGCAAATTTATTTGTATAGCACAATTCATACACAAGGCACTCAAAGTGCAAGACAAAATAGCATTAAAATCATAAATAATCACAGTGCATTAAAAAGAAAGATAAAAACATAAAATCCCTCAGTTGTATGTACAGCTAAACAGAACTGTTTTTAACCTGGTTTTAAACATTGTCAGAGAAGAGGCCTGTCTCACATTTTCAGGAAGATTGTTCCAGATTTTAGCAGCATGAATCTGAAAAGCAGATCTATAATAATAACTTGATAGGGTATTACTAGCTTACAGCTGTCCCATCCATGGGCACAGGGGGCACTTGTGGTACTGCAGACTAAATTCACGAGGGCTACACAGAAAAAAGTCCCATAGAACTCAATGTAAATTAAAACAGCTTGACCTCAGCTGACAGAGAACCTACACCTTTCACAAAAATCGGATTTTGTGGGGATTTTAGTGTCCCTTGTCATCTTGAACTTTTTTTCTTCTTAAAACCTTCAGTTTTCTTTAAATCTACACTTTACTTCCACAAACTCTGCTGAATAGTCCAGTAGTGAGAGTGCTATCCACTCAGCCACCATGCCGCCTATTGATAGGAGGTGATAAGAAATCCACACAGCTACTATGTAAAAGAAGGTGCTTTGGTCAGATGAGACAAAAATTAAACTTCAAACGTTATGAATGATGCATATTTAGCACACTCATGTTATGAGTGCACAATCCCCAGCGTCAAATATGCTGGAGAGGATCATGCTATGGGGCATTTTGTAGGAAAACCAGTAAGCAAGAGAACCTGACCCTTAACACAAAACTAAATCTACAGTGAAATGGTTAAAAACAAATCATATTCATGTGTTAGGATGGCTCAGTCAAAGTCCAGACCTAAATCCCATAGAAAATCTGTAGAAAGACCTGAAAACCACTATTCACAATTGCTCTAATTTGACAGGGCTCAAGTTTTTTTTAGAGGAATGGGCTAAACTTTCTGTCTCTAGATGTGCAAATCTTGTAGAATCCGAATCCGAATCATTGCCATGTAAGTAACATGAAGTCACAGACTAGAAAACTGCTTTGGTTCTCGGTCATACCCAGTGGGGGTGGATCCCGGCTGAAAAGAGTCCTCTGCTGACATGCTTGTAATCTCACTCCTCGCCAGTGGTGGCGTACCCGGAAACAGAATTATCCAGTGCATTCTTATGACACCTTTGTTCTCTCGAAAATGGCTTTACAGCCTGGTCCAAAAAATAATTCTATATGGCCATACCTGCATGTGAAACCCAGATCCTATCAGATGCCTGAAGCTAAGCAGGGCAGAGCCTGGTTAGTACTGTAATGGGAAACCTCTGGGAACACCAGGTTTCACAGTGGGGCAGCTGTGGCTATAGCATGCTAAACTGTTGTTGAGTCCTTAGGCAAGACACTTCAGCCACATTGCCTAGGATGTAAATGGTTGGTGATGATCAGAGGCACATACTGATTGCCTCGCTTCTATCAGTGGTGAAGGGCAGCTGCGGTTACTGTAGTAGTTTATCACCACTGTGTTTGGAGTGAATGAATACAATAACATGTTTGAGTGTTCAAAAAAGTGCTATATAAAACCAATGCATTAATATATTATAATGTTTATTGGGTGCACCGTGTCACCACCACATCGATAGGTGGCGCTATTGTGTCAGATATGCTCAGACTAGCAGTGGTTCTCAGAGTTATGAAGATTGATTACTGCATTCGCAAACTTGTCGTTTTTCACCACAGGAGATCTTTTTGATTTATCTGTACACAACATTTATGCCCAAATTTTTGTTTTGCTATCTTTTGAAAGATTACAGAATCATGTGTCATTTTGCTTTCACTTCGCACTTGTCTGTTATTTGTGGGTGAACATTCTGTAAAACATTCTAAATAAATCTTTATTTTTATGGTTGCAAACATGACAAAATGTGCAAAAGTTCAATGTGTATTAATACTTTCGGGAGGCACTGTATTAGACCTGTTCCACGTCATTTTGTGATTTTTTTTTTTACGTCAAACAGGTTGTTCTGAAAATCTTTCACCACTTGAATTTCTGTGTACTGCAGCCACTGTTACTTAAGCAACCATATCATTTCCAAACAAACAAGGCCTATGAAAGGTTATGTGGGTCGAGTCTTCATTGGCTTTTATCATTGCCAGTAAAAAAAATAATAATACTTGAAACAGCTACAACTTTCAGGGTATTGATATTTTAACACAGTATATGTCAAACCTGATAGGGTTTGAATGAAAGAACGCAATCCAGTTTAGAAAATTAGTTTTTAACACAAAGAATGCATTGATTTTAACTTCAAAAACCTTTTCCCCCCAAGATGCCAATTATTCATAAAGATCAGATTATTTTACACTAAGGTTTCAAATATAGCCACACATCCCAGTAGCTTGAACTAGTATGCTAGATTCAAAAAAGCCAAACAATACATGTATGTGAAATGAATAAAAATCTGCACAGCTACAGTATGTAGCTCCCAAATGTCTTTTGTCTTCTGTAAAAAAAGACAAAAGGATTATGTAGAAAAGTACTTTTTTGCTCTATTTCTCTATTTTCCTCATTTGGGAATGAAGATTCGCACATCAATTACTAGAAATCGGGTGCGTTGAGAGCCCTGCCGTCTCATTTGGAAAATTAAGATTTATTGGAAGTGTGAGGTTTTGGTGTTACTCCTTCATAATCCAAATAGCCTGTTGAAAGTTATCAGGCTAATTTTCCTAATTAAAAATAGAATGGGGGGCGAGTGGCTCAGTTGGTAGAGCATTGGCCTTTGAGCCTTAAGGTCGTGGGTTCGGTCCCCCTACAAGACCTTCTCCACCGACTGATGTCTGCTGTCGTTGTGTCCTTGGGCAAGACAACTAACCCCACCTTGCCTAAAGCCCCCGCTGTGTCGTAACTGACAAAGCAGCCATCCTCCTGTGGACTCACCACCTGCAGGAGGATCAATGAGGGGCTGATGCTACGTGATCTGGGTGCAACTCTGACTGTCACCCCCCCTCCCCAGAAATGCATTAAGGTGAAGAAAATGGATGGATGGAAAAATATAAATGAAAATATTGCTTAAGACTAGAGGTGGCAACCTCAGGGTACCTCACAATACGATACGATGTGCAATAAAAAGCTAACGAGATGACGATGCAGCAATTATCGCTAAATTGGTCAAAAATATACCTACAATAATATTTTTTTGTATCTATGGCATAAATTAAGTGAAAAAATACACTTTATTTCAAGATAAATGGATAAAGTGTCATGTGTAACATTAAAGTGAACAAGCAAAAATGCCTTTTAACCTGCACATTTTAGTAAAAATCTGAATCTGTCTTACATCCAATAAAATCAATTATGAACATTCTACAGAAATTGTAGAATGCATAATGTAGCCATATATTTAGTGTTGATACTTGTTCTTTTTTCAAATAAAGCTTAAAAATAATCGATATCTAGCAAAAGCATATTGATGATCAATTGTGTGAGAAAGTATCACGATACATCACCATATTGATATATTGTCACACTCCTACTCTAACCCTCTAATTACTGTGAATTATGGTGAACATGTGAAGTTTAAACATACACTTTGATTTTTTTTTTACCTGTCGGGAGTCACACTGTCCTGTTATAAAAAGTTTTTTTACAAAAAAATAACTCAATGCCAAAATATAAAAAAAAAAATACTTTCAGCTCTCTTGTATATTCAGTTAAATCCAGGTCTATATAGGCCCTTTATGTGTGGAAATATGAACCACATTTTAGAATAAATCCCATCTACTTGCAATGTAAGCCGCTAACTTTGACAGGCAAAAAAAGAGCCGTTTATTTTGAACCATGTCCAACAGAGTTTGGATCACACACCTACCATCAGATCTAGCTGTTTTTCAGAGCCCAACTTGGCCCCTGGGCCGCTGGTTGAAGTCTCTTAATTCTTGTCTCATCTTAGGATCCGTCAAACTCAGGCAAGGCATAAGCAGCAGGGTGCAGTAGCTCCCTCTGCTGGAGATTTCAAGTGGTCTACTGACCCACTTCTGCTGTCTCAGCTGAGCCCCGAGAACAGAGTTGGGGAACATCCACGGAATCACGTGACCACAATAACGACCAGGTTTGGCTTAACAGGACTACAGAATGTAGTTTACCTTCTCACTGGCTTATAAAAGTCATGATTTATGACTCATGACAATCACAATACAAACATTGGTTGCTCGTGTCCCTGAATTTTAAATTCACGTGTCTGAAGTTGCCCCCAGCTCTGTGGATCTACCTCAGGTTCAGGCTATATAAAGGATTTTATTATAGTTATTTGGTTAAGGCAGAGACCAACGCGCTGGATTTCACATAGAAAGTGGCAACCCAACTAAATGAGAGACTCTAATTGGATATTCAGCTTGAGACCATCAATGAATAGTAACAATGTGGCCACCATGCCCATAAGTGTTGTAATTAACAATACATCAGCAAAACCATTTTGATCCAAGTATATTCAGAACTTGTGCCCAGGAACCTATGTCTGGACTCCTTGGGTCTGGAACAACCTGCCTTGAATTTGTTTCGTCTGATGTGCCCTGTTTGCTTTATTTTCCCTGAATTTGTTTTCCAGCTTTATATTTTCTTATAATAATCGTTTTATTGACTTGTATTTTTGTTAAGTTGACTCTGCAGCACCTTGTAAACATTGTTTTGAAAAGTAAATAGATAAAAACATATTTATTATTGTTAGTTATTATTTATAATATGTGGTTTCCATTGATTTTCTTTTCTTCTTAATACTTCTGTTCCTAAAATACTATAGTGTATTCTGGGCATTAAAAAGAAAAGTAGTTAGCAATTAGTCGCCTTAGTAACGGTCGCATGCTAACGGCCACTAGCACGAGCACGTCGATGAACCAAACGTGATTCTGATGCTGCGCTTTTTATGTGCCATGATCTGAATTTAACCAGGATCTGTGGCCAGTTTGAGCCGCAGCTGGCGTCCTTCTAGCAGGCTCGCTACTTTCAAGCAATGACAGTCGAGGATTTAGCTAGTTTTAAGTTGAAAAGGAGGAGGAAACCCCTTACCGGCATCTTGAGTCTTGATTGTGGTTTTTACGGTTTACTGGACGAGGTCAGGTCATTTTGAGTGGTGCATATATAAAATGTGTAAATAACATTGATTGAGTTACACTTAGAAAAAAATCATACCTAACAGGCGGAAGATTACACAGCGACTACACGTGTCACGTTGTTGAATTTTCCCAAAGATATAAATACTCCACTGTTACTTATTGAAGCAGTAGATTAAGGGCCTTTTTCAGTCGAAGGTGAAAGGTAGAGTTTAATCCACCCAGAGCCCATTTATTTACTAATCTAATAATAGTGCAACAGGTGAAAACAGCAGCAGGTAGCTAAATTGGATCCAACGCTGTAGTAGCCAGATGGTGCCTGGTCACCTTAGTATTTTTAGTGTCATTGAAAACGTGCAGCTAATTCATTCACTAAATCTAAAATAGACCAAACAGTCATAGCATTGTCACTGCACTAATGTCATCTTAATTTGTAGTTACACCCTTGAATGCACTTGTTAAAGTTAGTCAATTTTTCCTCATTTACTCTAGCCATTAAAAGGCACTGCCACAACTTTTAGATAATTTAGAGATTAGAAAAGCACACTTTATTATGTTTTTCTAACCTTCACACTCACATCATAACTCATCATATCTCACTACTGCATAGTTTCGCGTCTCCATAACGCCAGGCTATCCCAAACAACTTTTCCCTCTACAAACTTTCCCGGTACACACTGAGATTAACCCTTACCTGGCGGTCGGTCCGCGGAGCCCCCGGCGGACGACATGCCGTGTGGCCGGTCAGAGCTGCGAGGCGCCCGGGCAGCTGCGGTAGTAGTATGCGGCGATGGAGCGGGGAGGAGGGCGAGCCACGGAACCGGCCGGCTGAATAATGGACTTCATTTTTTCTCCTCCATGGCTCCCCTCCTCCTCTCTTCTGCGCTTCTTTTTCACACAAAGACCCGATGGGAGGGGCGTATTAGTGCGTGCTCCTGGAAGCGACAGACACGCACCAGTCTGCTCTATTCTCATTCATTCATATGGCGAGCCCTTCACGTGCCGCGCTGTTCATTGATTTAGATGGAAGTATTAGTATGCACTGTCACCTTCGATTGAATATGCCTTTTAGTGTTCATCCATCATCAAGACAGGACGTTTGATTCTGCCTACTAGCAAATTCCTAGTTTGTGACTTAATATTCGTTACAATGACAATCAAATAAATAGGATTCTACAATTCATTATAACCGCTGCTTTCACTGATCATCAATATGGTGTTATAAGATAAGATAAGATGTGCTTTCATTGTTCCTCAAAAGAGTGTTTTTTATTCCATTGATCATCGTTATGCCTTTACTACGCGGCAGCTACGTCAGCCTCTGTCTCTAGCCCATCCCCTGACCAGAGACTGACCCTAATAAACGCGTCGCGTGAGCAATAGTTCTGACTTCATGTAGATTTTAGGAAGATACAAATTGTAAGAGGTACCACTCCGTTGCTAATTCTCTGACTATCCATGTTAGAAGGATCCACCTTGAAAATGTTAGGCCATTATAAAGTAATTTTTTTGTCAATAAAAGACGGGATGATGTCTTCTTGTTGAAACGAATTGACTGTTTAAATGACATCGCTGGAGTGGAGCATCACGCCTTGTATGGACGATCTCCGGGTTTCACCTACATAGTGTAATTTGAAACCCTTGCACGAGACTTTACATAAGAAGAGAGACTGCACGTGCCAGGGGAAAACGTGTTGACCTATATATTAGATAACATTTGGTAATCACGTGACGTGGTAAGTTGGTAACCTATTTTGAGCTATGAAAGTGTGGGCCAATGCGGAAACGTCTGGAAGGGACGGCAAAATAATGAATGAGGCACGGGTGCAACCATCGATCTATATTATATTACATCTAAAATCAATTAATCAAAGGGGCTGTTGCCTTATACAAGTCATATACAGGAATGATGGGGGACTATCTTTTTTTTGCTTGTTTGGATAAAATAAATAGACACAAATCAAAGGAAGGTTGCTCACCCATCATCTGTACTTCAGTTCCTTTGTTTTGAACATAACCTGTACGGCTGAGAGCTTACACAAACTGTATACAAAGGTTGTATCGCAGCATGTTTGATTATAATGTCGTATACACAAAACCCAATATATATAGTCTAGTAGTCGAGCAAAAACTATACAAAAAATACACTTTTCTTTCACTCCTTTCATTTATTTCAAGCTTATAAACAGGAATCCATTTTTGTCTTGTACAGTATTCACATAATGCACTTGGTACAAAAACAATTTAGTTTATTGATGTTTTATGAAGTAAACTGCTGACGTAATGTTTTAATAGATAGACTGTGTATTTAACAAATGAAAATTTGCCCTGGATATAGAACGTCTTGTACAAACAAGTCCCTTTTCACTTGGAGAAAGTAGGCAGGACTCACACCCTCAGGTCACTATACAAAAGCTTATTTATTTATTTAATTTATATATATATATATATATATATATATATATACATACACACACACACATAACCTGTCTGCTTCATTTCTATTTTCTACATAAAACAGAAACAAATGTATATGAATAGAATATGGAGAATAGTTTTATTTAAATCCACCTAAATGGAAAGTACATGAAACAATGTATTTATTAGTTTTTAAGGATTCAAAAACATTGTCACTTAAATGAAGTAGGACAAACAAATCCTCAAAATCCTTCACATTCTTGCTCAGAGATTCCGTACAGATGATGTGGATTAGCGACATGCGGGTGCTCAAAACAAAGCACTCCCCCTTGCGGCTGTAATGTTACATGCTTCTCACGTGAGGAACTAATAGTGACTGAATAATACTTTTAGTTTAGTAGTCTCGGATACCTTGTAGTTTTAACAATTCTGCAAAGTTCTCACTAAAATGAAATGAAATGAATACACAAGTCTGTTTTAGATTTATTTTACTGTTTATTATTTTAAGCCTATTTTTCATCAACATAATCCAGTGAATAAACATATTAACAGTTTTCTCCATTCATTCTACATGGCACCATCCCTCTTTAATAGTCAGTACTAACAGATTTATAAGTGATCGTTGACAGCTGACCACGATATGATAAAATGAAAATCATATCGTTTTTATCAGGTACATAAAATTGTTTTGTTGTGTGGATTTTGGACAATGTTTACTCCTCTGTTAAGCCAGATGGAATGGTTTCATATCTCTTGCTACTAATATTATTTATATAGTGTTCCCTCTGTAAAGTTTAGTAAATTTAAGATTCCCTTTATAACCAAGCCTACACATGCCAGACATATAATGGGCAATGGCAAAGAGCGGAGACCTTACCCCTTGGCATGTCCCCCCCCCATCCTTCCGGGGGGACATGCCAAGAGGAGGCGTCCGAAACAGATCCCACAAGCCACCCCAACCAGTGACTGAGCCTCACCTCACTCACGCAACTTCACACTCCATCCTTCGCTCATTTGTGAACAAGACCTCGACATACTTGACCTCCTCCACTTGAAGTGGGGCCTTGGCACCCAACATTTTATAACGCCTTTACAATACAAACATACAAACAAATAAAAGGGCAAACCTCTTGGCAATAATTTCTCAAATACTAAAGTAGCAATGCACTAGATTGTCACCATCTTCATTTAAACCATGAACAAGTTCCATGTGATAACAAGGATTACCACAGAAAAAAACAGACATACAATACATATTGAAACAGGCCTCATCAGACTGCTTGGCGGGGGCCTTTTTGTAACAAAGAAAGGAATAACATGGTGGATTTCTTTTACTAAAATCTAAATGCCGAGTACTTTGTGAAGCTGACAGAATATGCTGCAGCTCCACAGGTTTTGTCACCCTACTATAAAACAAAGCGGAGCAGCACCATCATCAGGACAAGCCATGGAACAGGTGTTTTTACATTAGAGATATAGACAGCCTTATTGGTATTTTTTATTGAATTGTCCTTCCATTTAGCCATGACAACTTGTTATATGGTGAAGCTCGAATAGATATAGAACTATTGCTTCTAGACTTAAGGTAGTTTTATGTTAAGTGCAGTTCTCTTTCGGCGATTGCTACATCTTTACGATCTTTGGTTACTGACTTTAGCGAGTGGTCTAGTTAGCTCCAAGCAAAACCCTGTGGGAGAAGAACGTTTTGGGCCCAGAAAACCAGGAAAAATATATTTAATGATACTGTAAGTGATTTTATTTTGCTGCAGTTTCTGAAGTTGGTTGACATGAGTGCAAATAAATAAAAAGGGTATACTATAATATATCAATGTTGGATGCAAATATTCAATTTTAAAACGTTTTTTTTGTGCCTATTTTTAAAAGTAGTTGAACAATGATAGGATGAGGAGAATTAAAATATAACTGGTTTAAAAATTACGACTTATAAAAAGGAAATTTGTGTATTGTGTGAATATAAATTACCTCCTCAACACTGAAAGGAGCCTGAAAACAAACTACAAGGAAAAGTAAATGGGTCAAGGTCACTTTCTCGTCTAGTAAATCTATTTAAATATATGAACAATGGGAGCAATCATAAGTATAAGTCCATGAGAGAACAGGCATATCATTGTTCTCTCTGTACCAGTATATTTTTATTGGCTTTCTGTTTTATCACCAGAACCTAAAGAAACAGCCTCTGTACAAAGCATATTCTTCCTGTCCAAAAATACAATCATTGACAATAAACTTAATCTCCAGAACAATGAGTCTTTTGATATCAGTCTTTACTAGGCCTCTACCTTCAATTATATAAAAATGAGCATATACGTGTCCTTCATACTAGATGTGGTTTCTGTTTAAAGCTGCAGAACCAAATTATTTTTATCGTATCGAAAACACATCTTTTACATATCATGAGCCGGTGGGGTCCATGAGGGTGGTTCACTTTATCACTTTTCTGTCTGAAGGAGCAGCTCTAAAAGATGTGACAGAGACCAAAAACATACATGTGAAAACTAGTGACAGAACCAAAAACTGTTTTTAGAACCAAGACCTGGTTACGGAGATTTTATGACCTACTTTATCTTTTGTTCTAGGTTTGGTACTCCCACTTCAAGTTTAATTACTGGGACAAAAGGCTCATTCCTAAACTAGGATCGATCAATCAGTCCATGTTCTAATTTGCTTGAATCCGAGCACCATAATAAAGCAACGTTTGGGCATAAAATGCGAGTACATATTTTAGCAAGAAATACATAGATTGTGATTCCGTCTCCCACATTTGCTCAGAGCATACTAGGTACCAGCGTCTGAACTACATATGAAGCGATTGTAATCAACATTTGCAGGAGTGTATTTCCAGAAGCTCCACCATGCAGACACGTTAACTTATTGTTCTAGTTAGTGAGACGTCCCTTCAGTTATGGCTAACATGATATCAGAGGTCTTGGAGAAGAAGATAATGCGTGGCTCATTGGCCCAATAACCCTGTGTCCGTAAAGAATCCGCATCGGAATGGGCTGGTCAAGCTTTTCCTGCCTTCATGTACGTGGGGATGGTCCCTCGTTGTGTCAAACCTTCGAAACGCTTGTATGTGTAGTTCAAGAAGACCCAGTCCTTGGATTTGAAGTCGGGTTCTGTCGAGTTTGCTGTGACAAAAAGATAAATAGAAAGCAAAAGACAAAAAAGTTACCATTTCATAATCCATAGTCTTCTTCATGGTTTTGCTGTCTGGAAGTTGTAACCCTCTCTCCTGTGTTTCTACCAATAATGAATAAAAGTGATGAATAAGGTTTTTTAGATGACATGGTAGAATGGGTAGTTTTTTATTGCTTATCTATTGTTAAATGAAATGTCTGATGTGTAATTTCTGCTATAACCTGGTGCAATGCTTTTCCCCATTTGTAAACTGTCCCTGTAAAAACAAAATTCATACTTTCATGTCAAAACCATCTCAATACATTTACACCATCTCCATTTGAGTCGGCTCAGGCTTTGTAAATATTTTTCAGACTTGTCAGAGCGGGTCTAGAAAAAATAATTTCTTTTGTGTTCTTAGACAAGACACTTCACAACCCTGAACATGTTTGTGCGTGTGAAAACAATGATAAGACAGACATTGTAAAAACCATACACAGGAGCCCTGCATTAACAGTCAACCATGTCTGTGGCTCTAGCAGTGCATTTAATAAATCTCCACATAATCAATGTTGTCAATGAAATAAAATTGAACAAAAAGAAGAAAGAAAAAAGGGCCCAACTTACTCGTCATACCTGGCTGGAGGATGTCCGACTCAGGGAAGTCGTCGAAGTTGGAAGTGTCGTCGATGCTCTTGATTTCAATAGAGATAGCGGCTGGTCGCTCTCTGTAGAAAACAGTCATCAAGGTCATTCAAACAACACTGGAGATCATGTTTGTGCCATAAAACATAATGTGCCACACTTTACTGATGCCATAAAACATAATGTGCCACACTTTACTGATGCCATAAAACATAATGTGCCACACTTTACTGATGCGTTTTATCTAAACTACCTAAGACCTGCTCTCCCTCTGTCCATGACATACACGGCTCCATAGTCTAAGTCTACCGCTTATTTGGTCCTAGTCAAATTCATCCTAACCCTCATTCATTCTACTATTTTTTCAACTATGTGTGTAATAATTATTCAAACTGTGAATGTGTTGTAGTATAATGTGAAATTGTGTTTGTTGGACAAGATGGGGGAGTAGCAAGAGCTTTTAATGTATTAGTCTGGTGCACACCGGGGTACTTTTTGTATTCTAAAGTGATTTTATTGCAAATGAAAAAATCTGAATCTGAATCTTATGCAGGTTTCAAAAAAAGTCTAATCTAGTGCAGGGGTTCTGAAACTGTCCAGTCAGGGCCCACCAGAAGTCTACTTGGGACTAGGTCTGGGTATCTTTCAGAGCAAAAAAAAAAATACAAAAAATAATTGTTAAATAAGCAAAATTAAATATTGATATCACTGCAGACAATATCACTGTTCTAAGAATGTTCATTGTCTCTGCTTTTGTCTCAGGTTCTTATTGTTTTCAATATCCACATGCTAGGTCAATTGTGTTATGTATATTTTTCAAATCAAATACAATCAAAAGTATTTAAGAATTGCATCTCGACATATTGTTTTGCCACCAAACTTCAAGAACCACAGATCTATTGGAATCTAGATACAAGATATTCAGGTCCCAGTGGACATGCGCAGACTTTTGTATCTACAGCTAAACAGATGGTTGTTTTTGAAAGCCTGCGAGATCTCTCCTGACATGTGCGACAATGTAATTGCGTTGCAGCTCTATTTTACAGACTGTGTTACCTGATGTGCTCCCAGTCGACCGGCTCAAAAAACTGATGACTCTTAATTTCATCAACGCTCACAGCGCCAATCCTGTTCTCAGCGTCTGTACAGTACCTGCAAGATGTGAGACCAAAAATGATGTCTGATGTTCAGCACTTTGAGTTATCTTGGGCTATACAAATAAACTTGCCTTGCCTTGTATGTGCAACCACAACAGTATCTTACCAAAAATAACTATTCTACCATAAAATGAGAAGTAATTCAGAAATGGTATTGAACACAGTAGTATTGTTGTCATAGCAGTGCTTAGTTCTCAAGTTTATACATTCTCAGACTGTACAGCGAGAATGTATAACAAGAACTGTTGTTTCACTGATAATAATTCACTAGTAACTTAGTCACTAGTCACTTTACCTGTTATTATTATTACTTAATTATCTATCCATCTGATATTTCTGTTATTCACTAGTCACTTTACCTGTTGATATTATTACTGATGTTCAATCTGCTCATATTCTCCACTGCTAAAGTACAATATACACATCTGTAAATACTTCTGAACCAAGCGCATTATAGCTCCAGAGTGTATTTTATTCTCTATTTTATTTTAATTATATTGTCTGTTATCTTAACGATGACACTGACATTTCTCTACTGTGAGACGAATAAAGGAATATTTTATCTTATCTTTCTCCATTGTGAGATCAATAAAGTATATACTTCTTCTTAAAAGCAGTTCAATAGTGATATTTGTTTACCTCAGTATTAGGTCCTTAGACCGCTCTGAAATGGGGACTTCAGGAGGAAAGACCAGTGTCTCTTTCCAGTTCATAACCTTTCTGTAAGTTTCCTGTGGCGTCTCTGAGCAGAACGGAGGATAACCTGCAGCAAAAGTCATTTCAAAGACAAATATTTAAAGTCAAACAATACAAAAGGAAAGATTATTTCCTTGTGCCCGAGAGGGAAAGAGTTAACAAACCCAACAGAATACAACATGCTGAAAATGTTCTGTTTCACAAAGCAATGAGAGGGACTTAAGGTTCAGGCAAAGTTATAGATACTAAACAATGAACCATGAAGCAGAGAAGTCCTGTTTGTAATCACATCTTTAACGGCCACTCACCAATGAGCATTTCGTACATGATGACTCCCAAACTCCACCAGTCGCACAGTTTGTTGTATCCTGTTTGCATGAAAACCTCTGGGGCAATGTAATCCGGGGTCCCCACTGTGGAATAGGCCTGGCACACACAAGAACAGTTTTAGGACAACTCTATATGCATGAGCTTTGTTGGAAGTAGTAGTATTTTCTTACTAGCTGTCTTCTGTTCTTCTTCCACGTCTCTGCTTTCCTCTTGGAGTTCATATTTTGAAATGCTTCAAAGAGAAAAAAACAGTAGGGCTAATAAAATATTTGGAGTAAAAACAAACAATGTTAAAGTAGTTACTAATTTACTCACAGAAGTCGCTGGGCGGGTTGTGCGTGAGATTTCTGTAGAACTCTGTTCTATGAGCTTTTTTTAGTCCCGTACACAAGCCAAAATCTGAAAGCTTTACATGGCCCTGAAAAATAATGAAAATATAAATTACTCACACAATCTGATCTTTTTTTTTAAATAAATGTATTCAAAACTATTTTCATAATCATAGATTGAAATAAGAAGCATCAATCAGCTTGTCGTCATGGCAAATTTAAATATTTTAGGATTGTCTGAAAAGCTGGGGTACATAATAAATGTTGTTTGTCGCAAAGATACAACAGGTCTAATACTAAAGTCAGACCTCATGATATTGTTTTTGTCATATTAGAAAACGTGTTATCTTTCCACACTTTGGGCTGAGGACTGGCTGCTCCTCTCTTTCACTATTCTGTGTGGCACAATGTTAAGCACTCTCTTCTCGGACAGAAAGTCATGGATTTGAATTCCGGCCAGAACAGGGCCTTTCCGAGTTCTGAAATCTCAATGGGACATTCTTGGTAAAAAAAAAAAAAAAAGTCATAAGAAAATATATATTTTTGAGCTGCTATAAACAGAGGACAAAAACACATGGATGTGAAAACTAGTGAAGGTATCGAACTGTCTTGAGAGCGAGGAATTCCAGGTTTAAAGTGCCAAAGTGGAGAGAGAGAGAGAAGAGCAATAAATTAACTAAGAAAACTAACAGGAGCACAGCTGAGAATAAAAGTGATTGAACGCTTGTTGAAAGTTCAACAGACTATTTCTCATAATTGGAGCGTTACATTTGTGTTGATTTATTGTCGTACCCGCGAGTCAAGCAGCAGATTGTCAGGTTTTATGTCTCGATGGATGAATCCCAGTTGATGAATAGAATCTATGGCCAGAACCGTCTCTGCGATGTAAAACTGTGTCGCCTCTTCAGAAAGTGTGTCCTTCTTCATCAGCAGAGTCATCATGTCTCCTACCAAAACAAAAGAAAACAACATTTAACCAAAAAAAAAAGTCTAAGCTCTTCAGTTGATACTGTTTGGATCACCGTTCTAGTCTAGTTTATATCACAGAAGAAACCATGAACAACCAAAAACGGATCAATTTAATTCAGACTGAAGTTTGCAGGTTTCCTAGTTCACATACAATTGATTGAAATATTGAGGAATGTCAGTTTACCTCCAGGTAGAAACTCCATGATGAGGTAGAGGTTCCTTTTGTCCTGAAAACTGTAAAACATTTTAACGACCCAGGCACCGTCCGCCTCCACCAGAATGTCTCTTTCTGCTCGGATGTGGGCAACCTGGGAGTAAAAACACCATTACACAGAGTTGTTCCCACAGTGAGAAGAGCAACACTAAATCTGCAGGAGTGAGACTCAGAGACTCTTTATGCCAAACTCAAAACTCAAACTTATTCCTAACCCTAACCCAGCCGAGATGTTTACCATACATACCCAAAAGTTAATGTATTTCTTTTGCAATGTGTGGGTTGTTGTATGCACATATTTTGTATTATTATCAAGTCTACTGCATGTGCATCAAAAGAACAATAATAAAAAATATAGTGCCAATAATATTTGTTTCTACCTGTTCCTTTTCCAGCATGTCGGCTTTTCTTAAGATCTTCATGGCATAGATGTGTCCCGTGTCTTTCTTCTGCACCAATCGAACCTGAAGATTGAAGAGCAGATTCTGTTACAGTAATGTCAGACTAAATACATTGGTTAGTGCATTCTGTTGTTGTCTGTTGTTTTATACAGTGTTTATTATTTCATGTGCTTGAGATGGGTTAAAATTTCATGATCACTGAATCATCTTGATATTTGTAAACTGAGGCCACAATAGGTTGCTTGTATTTTAGTGGTTAGGGTGAGTCAAGGGGTTGTGAAGAAACCCTGTAAAAAGCTTGTAAATACAACCCCTGTTAGCAGACGCGTAAAACAGCTTTTGCCTGTCTACAGAGTTACCAACCCCATTATGGCCCAGTGCATACGACTTCTTCATTAATCATTATAAGTTCTTTCAAATGGGAGCATATGCAAGATTATAGCACACAGGCTAAACGGCATTCAGACTGTACAAACAACTACAAAGATGTTCTAGGAGCTCCAATCTTTTATTCAAAGACGGTGGTCTGAAGAAGGTCTCATGTGGTGTGATTGGATAAAGAGTGGGAGAGCCAACTTCTGAGAAGATCGTTTTTTCATGTAGTCAACATGAACTAATCATATTTCACCTTTTTTGATCAAAAATTCAATGACGATTTATTCCAGAGGATAACAATATCCGTCATATGGCCCGCCGCAGTGAAAACAAAACCTTAAATGATTGACTTTTGAGCAGAATTTTTATGACTGTTCCTAACTTGATCAGCCCTGGGTCATCAAGACTCTTAGACCGTAATTTTTACTTTTAATTAATAATGTGGTCATCAAGTCCATTGTATTTTGAGTTAACATCTCATATTTTGATGCTCAAACCAAGTTTCCAATCAGAAAATATAGCATCATATGAGTTTCTCATTTGGGTTGCCAGTCACTTTGGTGAAATCCAGCTGGTTTGGTCAATGCCTGAGCCTTAGCAGCAGGAGCTGCTACATGTGTCTGTGTTTAGCTCTCAGAAAGAAAGGGTTGGATGCTCCTGCCATGAAGTCATAAAACTAGTGAAACACTGTTGTTCACGTTTGTGCTCTTAAAATTACCTCTCCAAAAGCTCCACGCCCAATGACTTTTAGAGATTCAAAATCATCCAGTCCAAGTCGAGTCCTTTTCAACCGCAAAAACTCTGTCTCTTTCCGAGCGTGTTGTGAGCGTCGCATTACTTTCTGCAAAAGATCAGTCTGAATGAGTACATGGGGCGCACAAAACAACAAGGCAAACTGAAACATCTGTTTACTTCTTCATCTGGTAAGCCTTCATCGTCCATGGCCTTTTCAAGCTTCTTCTGCCTGGAAAATAGACACATCAACAGTCAGTGAGATTAAGAGCAATCAAACCAACATTTTGGCGATAAAGATGACCAAACCACTCACTGCAATACTTTGTGTTAATGTAGAGAACAAGTGTGAGGTCTAAAGCCTAGTGTATACTTGTGCGGCGGTGGAACAATAAGTGGTAAATATCTGAGGCAAACATGAACAATTTATAAGTGCAGGAGGAATGGAACAGACGCGATAAGCTACGAGTGCAGATCTAAACAAAGACAGGATCAGTGCAAAACAAATAGTATACACTAGGCTTAGTACGGCTTTGCCAAAACTGTTATTCAGGCCAATACACAGACATATCTTTGTGATTTAAGGAGTTCATATCTTTCATTTTCACTCTTCTCCCACATGTCACTTCTCCTCCTGAATGTGTGTAAAGAATGCACGTTGTAATCTCAACTGAAACTTTTGCTCAAAACATGTATTCCAATAGTAGATTTCCCATAATGGTTCAGGCGTTTCAAAGACAGAAGTTGAGCCGCAAGAGTCAAGACCAATTGAAACTTTAGTGGTTACACTTCCACTACAGCCATTATTCCCATTTATTTTTCAATTAAAAAGTAAACTAAAATAAAAGTTGTACTCTCTGACTTTTTCTGAAATAGAAGAATTGAAACTCAAGTATTATTTGAACAATATTCTGGCTGATCCAAAGTCATTACTGGAAAAAATTTTAATGTCTTAATGCAGTAGGCATTGTATTGTTTTCAAGATGTTTTTTTTTTCAAATGCACACAAAGCAAAACCTATGTGTTCGAACACAATCACGTCACAATTGCAATTAGTTATTCTGTTCTATTGTGTGCACCATGTGCACTTGTATATTGTAAATAGTAACTGTAACTCTATTTTAAATTAAAATGTATTCTTTAGAAGTGTTTTTTATTCTTTTTTTTTATTATATCTTTCTGACTGTTGCACTGAGCCAAAGCAATTTCCAAGTCTGTGACTTCCTGTTACTTACGTGGCAATAAAAATGATTCTGATTATTCAGATAAAAACACAATTAGATAATTTGGCAAAATCCTGCACATGTACGCAGAAGTTACAACGTTTAAACTATCATTAACAACATTTGTGTAAAGTGTAAAGTGTTTGGTATCCTAAACAAACCTGGGGCTAATTTGTGAAACCATAATCAGTGAAACATGGCTCAGGTCGCTGAAACCTGAGAGCAGACAATCGGTTTTTTCTCTGGGCTTTGTGCGTTTAGTGACAAAGACATGTCAGCTGACACTTTCAAAGACAGGTTTTCAGGTAGAAATTAGTGAGCGTAGTCTGTTCCTCTAAATACAGTTTACTTTTCACAAAACAATTTGATTATAATTCCAATTCTCAAAATATTTTGAATTATGTTTAGCGTATAATTTTACTTACTGGTTGTACGAACACATCACAAAAGGAATGTTTTATACTGAACTGTGCCAAAACGGTAAATGTACAGAGAAAATACATTATAGTTAAATGAGAAGAATATACTTTGATTTAGTGAGTGAACTAACTAAATAAGTCCAGTAAGTCCAGTTCTAGAACACTGCTCTGTTTTATAAATATTTTTCATAAACTGTGGCTTGATCAAAAGGTATTTAAAACAGAGGTCATTCCACTGGAAGAGACAACAACATTAATACTAGAAACTTGCAATGGCTGAAGCCATTGCGATTGACTGCGGAACAGATCTAATGTGGAAATCTGCTAAAAAAAATCCTTGAAATCCTTTAAAAGGCCTTGAAACTGTTAAAATACTTGATAGATATTTGAAACTCCTGAAGTCCTTGAAATTGTTGAAACCTTTAAACTCCTGAAATCCTTGAAACTGTTGAAACATTGAAACTCCTGAAATCCTTGAAACTTTTTTTAAACCTGGAAACTGTTGAAAGTGTGGAAACTCCTGAAATCCTTGAACCTCCTGATATCCTTGAAACTGGTTAAATTCTTAAACAGTTGAAATCCTTGAAACTACTGAATGTATTGAAAGTGTCCTTGAAACTGAAAAATCCCCTCACCGCTGAAACAATTTGGTTCCTGTAACTAAGGAAACCTGGTCTGTGGTCATTATCTGGTGGTGGTCTGAGTCTTCGTTTGGGTCTTGGTCTGGTGGTATAATGCAACCTATTAGGTTGCATTATACTGGTTTACATGGAAAAATCCCTATTAGGTTGCATTATACTGGTTTACATGGAAAAATCCCTATTAGGTTGCATTATACTGGTTTACATGGAAAAATCCCTATTAAGTTGCATTATACTGGTTTACATGGAAAAATCTCTATTAAGTTGCATTATACTGGTTTACATGGAAAAATCCCTATTAGGTTGCATTATACTGGTTTACATGTACAAATCCCTATTAAGTTGCTTTATACTGGTTTACATGTAAAAACCCCTATTAGGTTACATTATAGTGGTTTACATGTAAAAATCCTTATTAAGTTGCATTATACTGGTTTACATGTAAAAACCCCTATTAAGTTCCATTATACTGGTTTACATGTAAAAACCCCTATTAAGTTCCATTATACTGGTTTACATGTAAAAACCCTATTAAGTTGCATTATACTGGTTTACATGGAAAAATCCCTATTAAGTTGCATAATACTGGTTTACATGGAAAAATCCCCATTAAGTTGCATTATACTGGTTTACATGAAAAAAACCCTATTAAGTTGCATTATACTGGTTTACAAGGAAAAATCCCTATTAAGTTGCATTATACTGGTTTACATGGAAAAATCCCTATTAAGTTGCATAATACTGGTTTACATGGAAAAATCCCCATTAAGTTGCATTATACTGGTTTACATGTAAAAAACCCTATTAAGTTGCATTATACTGGTTTACATGGAAAAATCCCTATTAAGTTGCATTGTACTGGTTTACATGGAAAAAAACCCTATTAAGTTGCATTATACTGGTTTACATGGAAAAAACCCTATTAAGTTGCATTATACTGGTTTACATGGAAAAAACCCTATTAAGTTGCATTATACTGGTTTACATGTAAAAACCCCTATTAAGTTGCATTATACTGGTTTACATGGAAAAATCCCCATTAAGTTGCATTATACTGGTTTACATGAAAAAAAACCCTATTAAGTTGCATTATACTGGTTTACATGAAAAAACCCTATTAAGTTGCATTATACTGGTTTACATGGAAAAATCCCTATTAAGTTGCATAATACTGGTTTACATGGAAAAATCCCCATTAAGTTGCATTATACTGGTTTACATGTAAAAAACCCTATTAAGTTGCATTATACTGGTTTACATGGAAAAATCCCTATTAAGTTGCATTGTACTGGTTTACATGGAAAAAACCCTATTAAGTTGCATTATACTGGTTTACATGGAAAAAACCCTATTAAGTTGCATTATACTGGTTTACATGGAAAAAACCCTATTAAGTTGCATTATACTGGTTTACATGTAAAAACCCCTATTAAGTTGCATTATACTGGTTTACATGGAAAAATCCCCATTAAGTTGCATTATACTGGTTTACATGAAAAAAAACCCTATTAAGTTGCATTATACTGGTTTACATGAAAAAACCCTATTAAGTTGCATTATACTGGTTTACATGGAAAAATCCCTATTAAGTTGCATTATACTGGTTTACATGGAAAAAATCCCTATTAGGTTGCATGATTACACTGAAGTCCTTGAAACTGCTGAAGTCCTTGAAACTGCTGAAGTCCTTGAAACTGCTGAAGTCCTTGAAACTGTTGAAGTCCTTGAAACTCTTGAAATCTTGAAACTGCTGAAATCCTTGAAACTGTTGAATCCTTGAAACTGTTGAATCATTGAAACTGTAGAAATGTCTGAAAGAGCTGAAGTCCTATTAAAATGCATGGGCCTATTAAAATGCATTGCAGAATTCTCAATGCAGATTTTTGTCCGATTGCGGAAAAACCGGAAATCGCTGAAGTCCCAAAAGTAATAGCAATAATCTCCCAAACATGTGGAACGTTTTGATGTATAACTTGTGGAAATTGTTGAAAATGTGAAAGCTGTGAAACGTGTCAAAAAAAATGACGGAATAAAGAAATACAAAACCAATGGTTGACTGCGGAAGGTTCCGCAGTCAATCAATTAAAACTGTCATTGGTCCATCACAATATTAACGGCTTATTAACCGAGCGCGAGGTCTGGGGAAATATCAGACCGCGGCCATAATGTACAGACCGAGCCGTTTCACCATACAGACCGAGCAAGCAAGGTTAATAAATGTTTTATTTTATGACTATTTTTAATTTATGCAAATATCGATCTCCGAACTTGGTTTTCCCAATCGTGTTTTTAGCTTTCTGGTCTGCAACGAAGTTGTCAATCTCATCTTGTCTGTTAGTAATTTTTTCTTCGTTATTTTCTATAATTTCTTCTTCTGGCTTGTCAAACTCGTCCGGATAATAGAATTCACTGAGAGAATGCTCCCAGTTGTCGTCCATTATTTATTGTTTTACCGAGGAAATGGGAAAATATCAGACCGGTAATCAGCCAATCAGAGCACGCGTACGGTCCAAGTCATATAATAATTACTATTATCGACTTCTTGTTCAATAACTGATAGAATGTTTTTTGGGTCTCAATCTTCATTTTTGCTATTTTCTATGTAAAGCAATGAGGTTTTAGCTAGTTCAATTAACTTAACTCTACAGTCAATCACAATAATCTTCTCACTCAATATATCATCCATCAAATGTAAGACCTGCTTTATTGCTAAACCTGCGCATATGAAAAAGGCTGACGGTTCCAAGTGGGGGATCTTCTTGCGACGCGAGTTTTCAAAAATGTTTTCACCTCATTTCTCGCTCCTCGTGCTGAGTGAGCAGAGTGCTGTAGAAGTTCTCCAGCGTTAGTTTGGCCACAGTCACCCTCTCTCTGGTGTGGTTGCTCATGGGAAGAGCCACTGCGGTCTCTGCCGTCATGGCCATGCTTTCCTGAAAAAACAAAATAACAAGAATGAAGCTTCAGTGACATTATTTTAATGTGTTACGCTGTAGTATGGTAACATAATTTGATACACAGATGGATTATGATATTGGATTATATTGAAACTACTTTCTGCCACTGGTGCAATTACAAAATATCAGCAGAATCTCTTAAACATGCATAATTAGTATTTCTCTGTTTCAGCCTAAAGCTTTTAGACTGAAACAGCTTTTAGAAGATAAATTGTGAACTTAAAAATCTATGAATCCATCCATTAGTCATTGAACAGTAAATCAAAATAGTAATCATTGTGACAGGCCTACATAATCGTGTCAAGAGAAAAGGAAAATTAGGAGATTGTACATTTCCAGAAAAGATACCAGGGTGATATAAAAATGTTTGCAGATACATCGTGCAGACACACTCCTTAAGTCTTGGTCACGTGACACAGTCTCGCTGAAATGTAAACAAATGTCCCCGCACCGCACGCACGTTCTGAAGAGGCTCCTGCTGCACAGAAGCTTGTAATAAAGCTTCTGTGCAGTAAAGACAACAATGCGTGAAGGAATGAGGCAAACACGTTTTAAATAAAAAGAAAAGGGACTCTTAGGACTAATAAGATAGAATTGGTGGGCATTGCTGCTTATGGGAAAATGTTCAAAATGGCATACTGAAAGGAGGACGGGTATGGGGAAAGGATAGTGTTGTAAAGCCCTTTATGTGACCTTACCCCCAGCATAGTAATGATCTCAGTGTAAAAAGCATGTGCAAAATATTAGAAGTATGTAGAATGTTTTTCCGGGCCGACCCTTCAAGTGCTCACAGAGAGAAAGGCTGCGGGCTGGACTCTGATAGGACCCTGTTTGGTCTAGACTTGAGTCAGTTTCCCCCTCCATGCTCTAACAAGTTGCAACAATCGCCCAAAAACAACAAACTTCCTCTGGACTTCTGAGAAAATCATTAAAGAACGCACAAAAACAAAGCACCTCTGGAACTTCCTAAAGCTGAGAAACACGGACATTTCAGGAGGTTTGCAAGTTAGCTCCGTATTGCTTTGACTGAAATCATTAAAATGTTGAGTATAGTGAGAATTAAATCAGACAAACAGAATGTTGCTAATTGGCTAGTGCAAACAGGCTCCATGCTATCTCACTGCATTTCTCACTTGGCTGCTGTGAAGATAAAGAAAATGTTGAGTAAAACAAAATGATCAACCTATAATTACAGTAACCAGCATGATATTCACAAGGTCATTTAAAAATTGATTCTTTACAAGAAAATAACTGTTCATAACAAAAACACAGAAAATGAAAAAAAAAGTTTCTCTAGTCTGGACCAATTTTTGCAAGCAGGCTTGTGTTTTCCCCTCAGAAAGGGTAAAAGAAGTAAACCTATTTTACATCAGAAACTTACGACATATAGTTTTTTTTCAATGTCACTGTCAATTTCAGCTTTATTTGTATGGCACAACTACAACAACACCAGCTGCCCAAAGTGCTTCACAGGGACGAAAGATACAAAATAAACAGAAAGAGCATATACATATACAGATACATACGTAAAAAGTAAAATGGTAAAACTCAGTTGGTGTTAAAAGCCAAGATGTAAAAATGTGTCTTTAGACCAGATTTAAAAACTTCCAATGAAAGTTTTTGAATTAGTTTTTCCATTCATTGTAAATTGCCCTATGTACAGACTCTAAAACATGTAGGTGCTGTGTGACCCAAAAAGAGCAGTAATTACAAACAAAATAAAATAAATTTAATATAGTTTTTACCTGAAAACATTACGTTCTAGCACCGTATACTATATGGTGCTAGAACGTCCTTCAGCAGTTTCACTCAAACGTTGTCTGTGTCAGGTTTAGATCATATAAAAAATAAGTAAAAATCACATGCACTCATTCTAAACAACTAATCCAATTATCAAAGAAATAATCGCTAGATTGATTGCTAATCAAAAAAATTGTTGGTTGCAGGCCTACCTACAGCCCAACAGACAGGAACATTTACAATACAAGAGTTGGGTGGCAGGTTTCTGGAGGATGGAGATGAGGAGGAACAAAGAGTCATTCACCTGCAGCCTGGGGACAGGAACTGGGCAGATAATGGAAATATCTGTTGTGGGGGAGTTGATTTTGATCGTTTAAGTTTGTTTTTGATGAGAACTAACCAACTTTGACCCATGAAAACAAATCAGTGTTGACTCAATTAAAATAACACAAATTTAGAAAAATATCATGACCCGAACGATGACTTCCACACCTGAAGCACAAACAGCAGCTGTACCTGGACCACAGTTTGAGAACTCTCAGTTTGGTGGTAAATTCTTGAGTTTGGGAGTAAAAGACAGACTTACTCCACCCTGGACACAGGAAACTCTTTCCGTTTCAATGAAAGAGTCCAGTCACACAGCTCTCTCAGATTTTCCATGGGCTGAAGAAAGCACCTTACATTAACAAATAGTCACATGCAAATAAAGTAAAAATCAGCATAAGTAAAACAGGAGTCAGACAAGCAAACGACATTCTTCACTGCAATGAGAATAATGTTTTATAGGGAGCTATGCAAAAAGAAATATCACAATATTTGTTTATGATCATTGCATTGTAATTGTAAATAATTACCACTTTACACTGCTAGTTAATAATCAACATTCAAATAAAAAGTACTATCCACATTATTGCAGAATAATTACAGTGTTGCAGCCCCGTTAGCAATGCTGCTTATAGAATATATAGTGTTTTTACTTAAATACTGTACTTAAGTAAACCTAAATAGTACTTTTTACATTTAAAACCCTATCTCTGGAACAGTCTGCCCGAGGAGCTCTGGGCCGCAGAGAACATTCATATTTTTAAAAGCAGGCTCAAGACACACCTTTTTAGATTAGCTTTTGATTAGTATTTATTATTTATTATTGCATTTTAGTACATTTATTTATGTTTTTAGACACATTTTATTTTTGGGTTTTGATTTATTTATTTTATCTACCCATTTACTATTGTTATTATCAATATTAGGCAGGTGCCATTTTCTTTTTAGTGTCCTGGTGGGGTCTGGGGCCTCCTCTTTCCTCTGGGTCCTGTGTCGTTCCCTGTGGCTGCAGGTGGCTCTTTTGCTCCTGGTGCAGATGGCTCCTTGGATGGCGCTTCTTCAGCCGGTTACATCTGCACCCAGCCCCATTTCTTTTTATTGTTTCACCTATTTTACCTGATGTGACTTTGTATATGTGTGTGTGTCTGTGTGTGTTTGCGTGTGTGTGTGCGTGTGTGTGTGTGTATACGCATGTGGGTGTATATATAATAATAAATGGGATTATGGGGGGGGGGGGGGGGGGGCTGTGGGGAGGAGGGTTTAGGGCTGGGCATGTTGGATTGTTTGTAACTAAACTGTAAAGCACTCTGTGTTGCATTTTTTGTATGAAAAGCGCTTTATAAATAAAATTTGACTGATTAACATTTCTCCGATGTAGAAATATACCTGCTTATAATTAATTGTGGTTAGCAATGCTTTGGGATGATATCTGCTTTTTGATTCATATTCTGTGCCAATATGAAATGCATCGTATAGTGATAATTTACAAGTCTCTAATCAAAAATAGTTTTTTTACAAAAACTCACATAAGTATGTACTTATGTGATAGTACTAAGATGAGTATTTCTTTTTCCCACCGCCGACTTTTTTAGTGTGACATATTATGTATTATTCATTTGATGTACAGCAGAACATATAGCAGTGAGTAGTACTGATAGTTTGTGTACAACAACAATCGAGGCAATGAGTCAAGCTTATTTTGACTTTGTTAAGTAAAGAGCGAGTCTGGAGTAAAAGGTGATTCACACACTTTTCATACACAGAGACCACCAACTTCCCAGTTTCTCTCATCCCATATTCAAATCTACAAAACATAACTCAAAAGGGTTCTATCTTAGCCCTTTTAAATGTATATTTCTATAGGCCGATATACTTATAATAATAAAAACATATACTCATTATATTGACTACACAGTGAACTTTAGTGTTGTATCATATATATATTAGGCCTATAATTATTTTCATTTGGCAATCACAGTTGAGTCCATATATGAGCATTTAAAACCTGGATGATATGTATGTAGACACTTGATAATTTGTAACGTGGAAAAACGGTTCTTTGTGTGTAAAAACCACACAAAGAAGCATGGACAGACATCTGGGTTTAACACGTGAAGAGTGCTGATCTCTGGCAGGTCCACAGTGATGAATTCAACCCGACAGCACAAAAACAACATCTCGCATTTTCTCTACTTACCTCCGTGTCCTCCAGAGTCACAATCGGCTCGGCGCCAGCCCACAACACAGGTGAAATCAGAAGAACAATTCGTCCTTTTGTCCAAAATTCAGCCCAAAATCAATCCAGGCAGTGCAACCTTTCAGAGGCACCTCACTAGTGTCTGCACAGAAAACATCGCTCACATCCGCGCCAAAGCAACACGTAAATGGAGGATTTGTACGAACGTGGGCTTGAAAGAAAGTGTAATAATATCAATACATCCTAATGAAGGAATAAATATAGTCAAAAATCCTGCTTTAGTCCAGTGTTTTAGCTCAATGATAACGCTGCTTCCTGAGACAGACGCGTCTCTCATCTGACGCTGTGACGTTACGGCGCTGACAGATAGACGCGTAAACCAATCAGAGCAGATGTAGCCATTCGAATGGCCCGCCCTTTGACCAATCAGATCTCTAGGTGTATGACGTTGCAGTACAGGCCTCCAAGGCATATAAAACAGGCTCAGTTATTTCAGTGTGTTTGTCTATTATGTAATCTAGCACGTCTAAAAACATCTCGTTGTATAAGCTTTCTTAATTTTAATTATTTTATGTTGATATTATAGCAAAATAAAAGTTATCAAGGCACCCGTAGAGGTTATAAAATTGACGAGGTCAACAAAATGTCATTTAGGATAGTGCCGTGTGAAATCGAAAGTAAAGCACAATCATAAAGCAAATATCCATAAATTGAAGACAATGCTTTCATCTTGACCGCTACTGATAGAGTAGACTATGGTACATTACCAAAATGATAAAATGGTGTTTCTCACTGGGGATTGTAATTGCACTGTATTTAAGGCAAGTTGATTTGTATAGCACACACAATACCAAAGTGCTTTATACAACAAGAGAGGAAACATTAAAAGCATAAAACAAGTAAAAGTAAAATTCTTTCAGGTGTATGACAGCTAAAATTAGACTGGATTTGAACCTTATTCAGCGAGACTTCAAGTTTTAGTTGCATAAATATGAAAATTTAATTTGGGCTGCTCAACTTTCTTGGTGCTGCTTTGTTTTTGGATCCATCTACTTGTTCTTCTGACTATGTACACAGAATAGCTTTAAACTGTCCACCTACATTGGAAACAAAAAGTTGGACACTTCAAAGCAAAAGCACGTGGGAATAGGACCCATCATGAGATCAATCAACATTAAAAAAATCCCCATTGAGATAAGATTGGGTTTTTAGTGAATACAATCTATTATCACTGCATAGCCATTTTTTATTTTTCATCAGCTACTTTAACTGCACATTCACACTATCAACTTAACCCAACTTGTGGTATAATCTTTTAAGTTTTAATTTGATTGGTTGTAGACTATACAGGGATGTGGAATAAGCAGCGAGAACCATGCTTGGATCAACTAATTCGCATCCTCCCTAATTTGGAAAAATTGTGTGCTTCTGGGCAGGACCGATGTCAGCTCCTGAGGTAATCTGCCTTGAGCTGCTGGGTGTGGTGATCTGCAGACAGGGCTGTTTTTATATTCTCTGCATCAATGGGGCCCACTCAGCTCTGACACATCACCTATATTTAGACCAGGAGCAACAACTGTAACACAAAATAGTCCTGAGACACTTGAGGGCCGGTTCTCTAAATAATTGTGTTCCTCAAAGCAATAAAAATATATGATGACAATATGATGTACTTGGCTGCTGTACAACAGTTTTTTTTTTTTTTTAAGAAAACCTAAAATAAGTAAATAAAGATTTAGTGGCCATTGATTTAATCAATATCTCTGTCAGTGGAAAAATGTTAGTCATAAGTACCAAACTGAAGCTTGTGTATAAAAGCTTTTGATGCTGAAGCTAATTTCAAAAGTTACAAATAAAACCATCCATCCATCCATTTCTTCCCCTTAACCCATTTCTGGGTTGGGGGAGTGGCAGTCAAAGCTGCACCCAGTACACAGAGCACCAGCCCCAAATATAACATTTAAGAAAATAATTATTTGGTAATGCCATCATCATCTTTATGATAGCAAATGTTGACTTGCCACTTTGTTTGTAAGAAGTCTATGCCTGATGTGGAATAATCTTCTAATTTTCTTTGTTTCATCTGTACACGAGTTGAAATTAATCAATAAAACATGTGTCACTGGACACAGATACATTGAAAGCATTTATGTATTCAATGTTGAGGTTTAGGTGTCGGAAGAGACAAAACCAAATGGATTTCACCAAAAAACCTCACAACACAAACAATAAATTCATGTGAGGCTTTCATTTGATGGTAATTTTTTTGCAAATATGGCTTTCATCTACCTGTCTAACAAAAAAACTTCCATTAATTCTTTATGAATTCCATAAAGAAATGTTCTGCCAAATATATGTACCTCGACTGATTACATAAAATATGTATATGTCATTTCAAACATATACCAGTCCCATAAACTACTTTCTGACTTTAAGTGATCACACTTCTCAGGGGTTACTTGGGAAAACAGAAATACCATAAGTCATCATGGGTGTTAGTGGCATGAAAGAGGAAGTGTGGTCAAAATAACAATGAGGTCATACTTTAATCTGAACAAAACAAGACTTCCTTTTGGTGTGATGGCAAAGTTAATTATTAAAAATAATTCCCCTTACCATTGTAGAATGTGCATTTTAACCATTTTGACACAATTTTCAATCGTGTTTCACCAACCAGCCCGTTTCTATAGTTTGTGAACAAGTTTTTAAAAACAGGAAAAATCCCTATTCCTACACATATAATACACATTTTATTAAACATTGAGTCATATGTATCCATTGCGTGTCCTTACTTAGAATATATACATTTGCAGATGAGAATTACAAGTTTATTGAATTGAAAGAAAAACACAATGATTATTTTTTTTCTAAATACATCACTTATGAAAGGACTTTAGCTAGAATAAAACATTCTTTGGAAAAGGGCAAATAACTAAATATTTATAAAACGGACAGAAAACATCAAAAAACAGACAGAGAGATTTTGTAGTTTTTAATTCTAATCAAGACCAAGCCCTTCATTCATATGAACAGACTTGAGTTTGTAGGTTTCTAACAATCATCTGACTGTGTATGAGGATTGGACTGATGAGTGATGTCACTCATATTGTTTACCAAATGAAAACACGATTTAATCATAGCTGGAGCCAATTTCTTGTTTCTTTTCATTTCTGCCGTGGCATTAGCTTCACTTTAGAACAGGGCCAGATGTGTTGCTAAGATGCATACTAAAGCAAGCTGGAGTTTCCCCCACAAATGAAGGCATCTGATTGGTTGATTCTTATATGGCTCATATCTGGATGTACAAAGACATATCAAAAAACACCAGGGACATATAGAATGTGACAGCAACTGTTACTGAGCAAGAAGTTTACTTTCCATTGTTAGTTGATAGGAACCAGAGCAAGTTGGAGCAAAACGTTGACCAAGAGCACTTTCCAATTAGGCTTCATTGAGGTGCCATGTTTATATTTTCTTGCAGTCAAACCACATTTTACACTCTTCCACGAGAACTGGAATAAAGTTCATAAACTCTGACCACCACTCAGTTCAAGAAGTGAAAAAAGGAATTATAGGGTAAGGGACTTTCAGGAGACAGGTGACTAATGAGAAAAAGGCTGAAATATGAATTACTTTTACATTGGAAATGAGACAAGGAAATTATTACATTTTTGAGGGCAACCTGATCACTCTCTGGATCCAAGATATTTAACTGCGTTTCTTGGTGGAGGTCTACTCTTTACAAGCGCTTTTCCAATTTTCCACTGAGATAACAATGTATAAGTAGATTGACAGCATAATACTTGTTCTATGTATTTTTCCATCACTCATTATTAAATCATTAATTTGAACTGAAACAAAAGAGCAAATTGCAAAAACTAAAACAAAAAAATATGGATCAAAACACGCAAATCATAATTTTTTGTGAGATTTGAGGTCTGTTTAACTTTACATCAATAATAGACTTGTAAAAAAATAAACGCATAGTGTCTATATATAGTCCATTACAGCTGTGCTTCAGTCAGGACTCGATGGGTGAGGCCTGTGTAGATGTGGCATTTCGGGTCCGGAGCTGAGACTGTGCGATGTCGGCTAAAGCGCTCTGGATTTTCTCTAGTAGAACGTCTCCTCGGTACACCACCTCCTCCAGACGAGCGGCAGCATCATGGTTCTCCTCCTCCAGCTGTCGCAAACTGGCAGCCTGCAGAAACACATAATGAACAGTTATTATACATGTAGACAGAAGAAAAAACAACAACTTTAGAGACCAAACAAGTGCACCCTGGTCCACTAGCCACAGCAGGTGACTTGCTTTGAATCAGTTGAGTTTTGCTGTGAGGTTGCTTGCCTTTGCGAGTGAACCGAGCCCACCAGACCCAGTGTGAACACTCTGTCTAGAATAAATCATGTAGATGATTTTTTTGTTTTACTTTATTTTGTCACTTTGGTAATCATCTAATTAACAATGGGCCAATTAGCTCAACTGATTTGCCTATTCAAGATTTTGACTTTTTGCGTGTGTTTGGTCCATATCACGTGAAAGGCTTTAATATAACAGTATAATATAACTTTAGCTGTGAATGTAAACAATCACTTGATGTATTTGCCTTATATTCTCAAATCAATTTGGAATCCTCCATGTATGTAAAGGGTGTTGTAATAGCTCCCTCTTGTGATAGATTGAAGGGGGGACATCATCCTTCAAGTTATGATTTGCAGCATTGTTTTTTTGACTGGTATCAAAGCATTTACAGCTAGCTAAGAAACATAGCTAATACTTATTTTGTGTGCCTTACGACTGTCCTGGATGCGAGCTGCAACATTGAATTTTCCCCACTGCGGGACAAATAAAGGATCTCTTATCGTATGTGTTGTCGAAGCACAAAACAGAGTGCTATACATAACTAAAAAGTATGATTATTTCTGGGTATTGACCTGTAGAGCGGCTGTGGATTCCTCGCTTGGCAAAGAGTCGATTAATACATCCACATCCTTAGCAGTTCTGGCGATGAGGGCTGCAAACAGCTGGGCATATTCTGAACCACAGAAAACAAGATACATAAGAAAGGGGAAATCGTATGGGAAGTAAGTGACACAATATATCTATATATTTAACATTACGTATTATTACAAAGTAAGCAAGAAATTAGGTAGTCCAAAAAAAAGAGCAGTGTATATTGAATACTTACAATAATGTACTTTGACACCAAATTGCATAGTACCATAGGATTACAAAAACATTGTTTTTTGCACATTTTGTAGTCAGTACATGTAGTTAAATTCCAAATAAAGCATAACCAAAGAACATGATTATAACATTCCCAATACAGGGAAATAATGTGAAAACAGTTATGAATTAAAAATATTGGTAATCACCCTCAGTGGGATTGGCAGGTTGATCCTTGTTAATGGCAGTCTGGATGTTATTAAAGGAGGCTGGAGGGGCGCACTGCTGCAGGACCCCGATGGCGTTACAAAACTGATCTGCAAGCTGTAAACATGGACACATTTTGTAAATGTAAATTAAAACAGCATGAGAAGGGGGGGAAAAGACAATCCCAGTAGATTGCAAACACATTTATGGCAAAGTTCTGAAAAGCACTGGTCAAATGACATCGGATAAAAATGAAATACAATCTGCGCGCGTTCATACTGATTCTCATTTCTTATTTCAAAGATCTAACTCCTTGAATCGCACATAAAGGTTGAATACCGAGTTTACGGCGTCCTGGAGCTGCGTGAGTCTGTCCGCCATCGCTGCTTGTTATTTGTGTTCTCGCGACACTTAAAATACCGCGAGACCAGCTGGAGTGTGGACTTTAGCTGCCTGGACGTTTTCCTTTTATTATTTCTGTTAAACGATCTTTTAACTGTAAGTGGGGATACACCGCGTCGCACGAACCTTCTTGTGCTTTAATAAGGGCGTATCTTTACAAAAGGCCAACGTGTCAGTGTTTCATTTCCGAGGCTAGCCTGATGCTAATGATAGCTTCCAAACATCAACACAGGAAGTCACAACAGATCATATTTTCAAATGTCCTGCACTTTGGGTTCACCGGGTAAGTTAGTGTTACATTTTGCCTTCGACTAATTATTTGCATAGCCACTAATCCAATGAAATGTGATTACTGCTCCGGATATTGTTGGGTATTAGATTATCTAGCTTCCTTTGAAGCTCGAACAACCTACATTAACATAAATATACTTTAACATGCTCAGCAGGTCCCGAAAAATGTGTTGCATTGCTTGCATATTAGTCAATGTGGGTGTCAACTCAGCAGATACAGCTCATACAGTGACTACTTTGCTAAGTTAATAGGCACAGTTTTATATCACCAAGAAATAGATTTTAAGTTGATCCTGGATTCATAGCCCTTACCTTAAACATAAACCTGGTGTTCCATAGTTCTCATTATCAAGACTGACTCTAACATCTAAGTTGATATGTTAACCTTTCAGTGTAACTTCACTTTAAAGTGTTGGGATTAAAATTAACATGTGTTTAACTTTTAATACCTAGAGTGTTTGTGTTTTTTCAGTCATGAATTGCTCCTTGGAGAAGGTTTTGTCGGATGCAAAGTGTTTGGTGGAAAGACTCCGTAACCATGACAACGCTGCAGAGATGCTCATAGAACAAACAGCATCTCTGAACAAGCGTGTGGAAGCCATGAAGCAGGTGAGTGACCTTTTCTGTAAAGATGGATTTATGTTCCGCCAAACTGTGGAGATTCAATTTTTAATGGCTTTTACTTTACCACTGCAGAGTGTGAACTGAAGTGTACTTTAAATAATGGGAAAATTACTGTATGTATGTGAAACCCATGAGAAACCAATGTATATATTTTCACAGTACCAAGAGGAGATTGATGCACTCAACCAAGTTGCAAGACACAGACCGAGATCAAGTTTGGTTTTGGGGATCCAACAAGAAAATCGTCAAATCAGAGAACTGCAGCAGGAAAACAAAGGTTCATATTTCTTTTTTTAAATACAATTTTAGTGTTCTGGGAATCTTTTCACAGCAATTCCAACAGACTGGTGCATGAATAAGGAAATATGCGGTTTGTGTCACCAGAGTTGCGGACGTCGTTAGAAGAGCACCAGTCGGCCCTGGAGCTGATAATGACCAAATACAGAGAACAGGTGTTTCGGCTTCTCATGGCCAGTAAAAGAGATGATCCAGCCATCGTCACACAGCTGAAGGAGCAGCACACTACGGTTTGTGCACTACCATTATATAAATTATTGCAATGCATATAAATATAAATTATATGTATATAATAAATTGTAGTGAAAAATACAACTTTTGTTACAGTTACAAGAACTATAGTGTTTTAGGCAATTGTGTTATTTTTATTTCACAGAAGGTCTCATGTTTTATTCAAATTGGAAATAATCAAATAATTCTTAATCAAATGTCATCTTTTGTGTCTGCAGCAAGCATAAATTCTACTCGATAACTTGCGCCGTGCAGGAGAAAGTTATTATTATTATTACTGCAGTTTGTGCAAGTTAAACATGCTGCTGTCATGTTGGACCTGCAAAAACAAACTAGAATTTTCTGCCTGCCAAATAGTTAGTCATCGTAATCTTGCTGTTACTCCCTGTTTCGTGATTGGTTCCCAAATGCAATCAAGCGCACACAGTCAAATTAATATTTCCAGGCTCTATAGTAGTTTTGTTAAATGTTTTTGTCAGATTCACTCACTGGAAACTCTTTGTTGGTCTCATATTCCCCCCTGTGGGCACTGTGACTCCACCTTTTGCTTAATCAGCCACTTTTGACCTCACAGAACAGCAGTCATTTGATCACTGTTTAGTTAAGTCAAAAGGCTCTTCGTTTTACGAGTCAATCTCTGTTCCCATCTTCGCCTTGGACCAGTCAGACGTGAAAGGACAAGGTCTCAGCTACAAGCAGCCAAAATGCGTGGATCAGGCATTAGAATAATGGTTTTCCAGAACTCATTTAATTTTATGAACCGGGAACATTCAACGTGTCAAATTGACACCCTTTATTAGTTTAATACTAATTCACATTGATTATATTCACCTTCCATGATAATGATTATAAACAAATATATGTATTTTATCTAGGAAATGCAGGCTCACATAGACAAGATAAACGAGATGGCGACTGTGATGAGGAAGGCTATAGAGGTGGATGAAGGACGGGTTTGTGAAGACGAGGAGAAAATCAAACAGCTGGAGGTAAAGACTATGACAATACCATAGAGCTTACGTAACAGTAATTTAACGTTTAAATTATGATAAAACTTATACCCCTGGCTCACACTGACCTTTGCACTATTGATGGGGATAGGGCACTGGGTTTGCAAAGCTCCATATCCTTTCTATGACTTGCTGCAGCACACACTGAGCAGCACAGTGATGTGGACGTTCAGTCAAAATGCATGGGAAAATACTTGCACTAATGCTCTTTGACTCTAAATCAGCTCCACATGGCCATAGGACTGTGTTTAAACACGTGACAGTGGCTCAGTTGGTAGAGCATTGGCCTTGGGGCCTGATGGTCGTGGATTTGACCAGACCTACTCCATCGACACTGATATCTGCTGTCATTCTGTCCCTTGGCAACACTTAACTCCACTTTGCCTGAAGCCTGCTGAAAAACCAAGGCAATCCTGTGGATTCACCACTGAGGGCCAGCAGCTGCCGTGAGTCACAGACTGGAGCAAAAACAGTTTACTATGTGCAGTGTGAGCCAGGTGGTAGTATATACTAATTATATATATATATATATATATATATATATATATATATATATATATATATATAATATAAGTGGGGCAAAAAAGTATTTAGTCAGCCACCGATTGTGCAAGTTCTCCCGTTTAAAATAATGACAGAGGTCCGTAATTGTCATCATAGGTACACTTCAACTGTTAGAGACGGAATGTGAAAAAAAATCCAGGAATCCACATTGTAGGATTTTTTAAGAATTTATTTGTAAATTAAAATTCAACTACTTATAATATAACCTTTTTTGGCAGTAACAGAGGTCAAATGATTACTATAGGTCTTTACCAGGTTTGCACACACAGTAGCTGGTATTTTGGCCCATTCCTCCATGCAGATCTTCTCGAGAGCAGTGATGTTTTATGGCTGTCGCCGAGCAACACAGACTTTCAACTCCCTCTACAGGTTGAGGTCTGGAGACTGGCTAGGCCATTCCAGGACTTTCAAATGCTTCTTACGGAGCCACTCCTTCGTTGCCCGGGCGGTGTGTTTGGGATCATTGTCCTGCTGGAAGACTCAGCCACGTTTCCTCTTCAAAGCTCTCACTGATGGAAGGAGGTTTTGGCTCAAAATCTCACGTCACATGGCCCCATTCATTCTTTCCTTAACACGGATCAGTCGTCCTGTCCCCTTAGCAGAAAAACAGCCCCAAAGCATGACGTTTCCACCCCCATGCTTCGCAGTAGGTATGGTGTTCTTGGGATGCAACTCAGTATTCTTCCTCCAAACACAACGAGTTGAGTTTATACCAAACAGTACTTTGATTTCATCTGACCACATGACATTCTCCCAGTCCTCTCCTGTATCATCCATGTGCTCTCTGGCAAACTTCAAACGGGCCTGGACCTGCACTGGCTTCAGCAGGGGGACACGTCTGGCACTGCAGGATTTGATTCCCTGTTGTCGTAGTGTGTTACTGATGGTAACCTTTGTTACTTTGGTCCCAGCTCTCTGCAGGTCATTCACCAGGTCGCCCCGTGTGGTTCTGGGATTTTTGATCACCGTTTTCATGATCATTTTGACCCCACGGGATGAGATCTTGCGTGGAACCCCAGATCGAGGGAAATTATCAGTGGTCTTGTATGTCTTCCATTTTCTGATAATTGCTCCCACAGTTGATTTGTTCACACCAAGCTGCTTGCCTATTGTAGATTCTCTCTTTCCAGTCTGGTGCAGGTCTACAATTCTTTTCCTGGTGTCCTTCGACAGCTCTTTAGTCTTGGCCATAGTGGAGTTTGGAGTCTGACTGTTTGAGGCTGTGGACATGTGTCTTTTATACAGATAACGAGTTCAAACAGGTGCCATTAATACAGGTAACGAGTGGAGGACAGAAGAGCTTCTTAAAGAAGAAGTTACAGGTCTGTGAGAGCCAGAGATCTTCCTTGTTTGAAGTGACCAAATACTTATTTTCCACCATAATTTCCAAATGAATTCTTTAAAAATCCTACAATGTGAATTCCTGGATTTCTTTTTCACATTCTGTCTCTCACAGTTGAAGTGTACCTATGATGAAAATTACAGACCTCTGTCATTATTTTAAGTGGAAGAACTTGCACAATCGGTGGCTGACTAAATACTTTTTTGCCCCACTGTATATATATATATATATATATATATGTGTGTATATATAATATGATTGATCTATATAATATCTATGTCTTCTTGATAACATGAGCATATTGTCCTACCCTTTGTTGTAAGTTGATGTGTTTTTGATATTTTCAGCTGGAGAACAAAGGGCTCCGTGAGCTGCTAGGGATCAGCTGTGAAGCCTTTTTGGTGTTAAAACGAGAGGACATCTCAGAGAACACATCCCTGTCTCCTCTCTTAACCAGCGCAGATGTCAGTTTACGAAAAAGTTAACGACACTATGTCCTGCCCTCTGCTTTGTGTTCTGTCTCAAGTTTGATTTCAATCGGTGGAAGCCCGAAATAAATCTACAGATGAAGTGAAACTCAAAAACAGAACAGTAACGTAAGTAACTCTTTTGCAAGAACTCCATAACTCAAATACAATACAGTCAAGTATATCTGTAAAGACATTTGCTTATTTTGATAGTCAATTTAACATTGAGTTTCACAGTTTAACTTTTATTATTACTAAATGTGGAGGGTTCATCGGGCTCCTGGTTATTTACTGGTTTACTGATAATAATAATAATGTGAGAATGGCGTGAATTAACGGACCAGCATCCAATGCCCATCCTGTTTTGGGCACATAAGAACAATTACAAAATGTGCAGTTTCTTATCCTTTCCATTTTATTTTTGTTATTTCTCTCTGTTAATTGCATGCAAGGTACTGTACTGTGTGTAAAGAGATTTTCAAGTGTGACTGGTAAAATGTAATCAAACAATTCAGGGAGAATAAATTGTAAACTGATGTGTTAGTGTTCAGTCAAACTTACTTCATTTACTTTTGCTAATCATAGTGTGTTCTACATTCTGTCCACTGAATGTCACCAAGTTCACAAAGGTTGATTTTTATACCATTTTTATTTATTCAGTTTACTGCTGCCCATTAAGGATTTGGATCATTAAACTGGTTATTAAAGCTGGGGTATCTAACCATTTTATTTCATGGATAGATACTGTTGTGGTCTTACAAATCAGACCACAACATGCTGACTTAATATTGTCATAAAACATGTTCTCTTTTGCATACAAGCTCTCAGTCGTACAGGGATTAGTCAAAGCAAAGGAAGGTTTCTCACCCATCATCTGCACTTCTTAGCGGTCTGAGATTTCATTCCCTTGAAAAAGTTTTTTGGATTAAGGACGAAACTTTGGGAAAACATGCTAAGAACTCCAGATGATGGGTAAGAAACCATACAAGACAAGATGTGATGGAGATGACAAATACATGTGAAAACTACTGATGGAACCAAACTCTTTTGACAGTAGTTGGATTTGGTTAGTTTAATTTTTTATGTGGTTTGAAAGTTGGGAGCCTCAGCTTTAAGTTAACTCATTGACTGCCAATGACGTATTTGCCTGAGACCGGTGATTTCTGACGAACTTCCCTCTGTTCGACTGGGGTTTACAGGAGAACAAAACTAGCTAAAAAATAAATTAGTTTTTCTGGCGAAAGTAGACAGTCCAGTCTTTCAGAATCTGGTTTCATATTTTACATAGTCATAGCACATAATATACTTGAGAATCAGTGAAATAACCAAAACTGACTGGCAGTCAATAAGTTAAGTGATGACAAAGTAAGTTCTTACAAACAATTTATAATTGAATGATTTTCTGTTTTCTCTTTTTCTCTTCATAAACGTCTTCATTTTTGTTAATAGGGCTTTTCTGTCAGGATCAAGTTGTTCCACCTTGAAAACAGTAGCAGCGTGTTTACAGGTCACTCATCTGTCCTCTGTATCATGGATCTATTATAATATCCTCTGACGTCATTCACAAGTGCACGCATGTCCGAGCAATTTCATCTCTCTGAAGATTATGGGCGACACAATGCAGTCACTTTGAGTTTTGTTTTGTACTGTCATCCGCAATCTAAAGCCAGTGGGAACGGACTCTTTATGGTTGCTTATAATTTAAGACTCAACATTCTACTGGGAAATAAAAATACACCTGAACATTGACAAATCAAGGTTGAGAGTAAAAAAGCAAAAGTATTTCTGAAAGTGTGGTATGTTCAGAAATGGAGATTTTCAATACATTTGATCAAGAATGTAATATTAAGTGTGAATTGTATAATTGTTTAGTCTTTGTAAATAAAATTGTGACGCTTACAGTGGCATGTAAAATGTTCTACTCAAGTAATTTGACTTCTGTACTTTCCACCACTGTCTAGATAGAACAACAGTAATCCTTACAGTAACCCTAACCCTTATCACACAATACATTTGACACTAATCATTTTCACACTTTGAATCATTGAGAATCATTTGATGGCATTTATTTAAAAATAGTGCGTACATCTAATAATTAGTCTATGGTACATCTTTTTTTAATCCTCAAAATCTAATGACTTATTTCATCACCAATCATGCACTAGAGTGTATAACTGATGTATACACACACGTATGTTTTTATTATTAAGATAGTTACGTTTTATTTCATTTATTTTTTTAGCAGTCACTTATCTTATGCTGTGTACTCCTCATTCCTAGTGTTCTGTGGCCGGTGTTGTAAAAATCAAATCTCCCCCTGTGGGACCATACACTGTAAATATAATTTACTACTTTTTACTACTATTACTGAATGGAGAATGTTGTTTTACTATTATACATCTGTACATGTTGTAAATGCACAAGTGTAAATACTAGCTCACAAATAAACAAAAAGGAAACAAAGCCAAAAAATAAATGAAAGTAAAACAAGTTTACACAAAAAGTCGCGAGATTAGTAGTGTAAAGTCTCGCGTAGACACCTTCAACGGGAGCGCGCTGTCCGCCCATGGGTCCGCCTGCCTCTCGGATGGACACTCAGTGCACCGCGGACCGCAGACCTGTGCTGCACCATGCCGTCAAGAGCCGCTCCTGACACCGCTCACAGAACAATACAGACTTAAACATGAGTTGTGCTTGAGTCTGGAGCAGGAGCAGGGAGAGGGATGTGTCCGTGGAGCAGCTCTGGTCCACTGCTGCTGCTGCTGCTGCTGAGCGCCCTGCGTCAAGTTCAACCGCAAGAAAGTAAGTGTCGGTGATGGAATATAATAATAATAATACTGAGAACCTGCTTAAAACTACATGCTTACTTTTGTGTGCGTTACTAGTTATCCATTTCATTTAGTAGAATAGAAAAATGAATGTAATAAGTGCTTCATATCATCTTTATAATATCATTTTATAAAGTTTACTCACTCAAAAAGTGAGTAAATCTTGAGTGAATCTTGCACCTGGGAGATGTCCAGCCCTCACACCCAAAAACAATTCAGAATATTTAATGCTGTTTATGTTTTGGAGTAATTCTTGGTCATTCTTCTTTGTAATAATCCTGTTCTAAACAGGTTAATGCAGCAGTAAATCCTGATTAGCAAAATAACACAGTTTAGAACCCAGTTCTTTTACTTGCACTCTGATGTTTTTAAGGGCATGCTTCTTTGTTGTTTAACAATTTACAAAATCAAACACAACATGAGTATTCCGCTTTCTGGGCAGTGCCACAACAGACACAGCTCACTGAGAAACAAGTGGCTTTTAACAGTTCTAGTAATTATACAAAATAATGATTGATTGTGCATTACATTGTGTCCTTGGGCAAGACACTAAACTAGACATGTGTCTGAACGTATATTAATCGGTGAGTTGTATGATATTGATAAAGCATGTACTGTATGTGACAATTCTATTATAACATTTATTTTTCGGGGGGATGATTGTATAAGAAACAACAACTTAATTCAATATTTTCAGAGCTTACGTTACAAGAAATAATTCAAATATTGTAATCAATAGAAGTATAAACTCTACAGGGTCAGGATTAGATGGATCTAAATCTATTGACATATTTTGTAACAATAAGATTATACAGCCTACAAAATTACAGTTTTTGCGTTTCATTAGATAGTCATGTCGATTTGGTTAATCTTGCAGCCCTGCTTTACTAATCAGTTGGTCATGAAATGACTCTTCCAATAATCAATTGGTTTAAGTCTCAAACTGTCAAGATACAGATCTACATAGTCTCCATCATATAACCTCTCATTTCTGCACATGTTTTTGCACAAACCAAATTTTAATTGAGCTTTTTCTATGAATGACTAAAATAAATAACTATGTATGTCTGTAACTCTTGCGTTTACCAATGACATTGTTATAGCTCTATACTTTTGCATAGATTTCGACAAAACATTTATTATGAAGACATTATTTAGATTTCAGATTCAGAGAAAGGGAACAGTTTGACACAATTTCCCACACACCGTTTGTATAACTTTTGTAACTGCTCTAAAAGCGAGACTAGTCTTTGGCTTCTGACCTCATCAAATATACATTCTCTGTGATAAAATACCTCCTTTAATTCTTCTCATTCATGCCTTTTACACAAGCCTCGACTTTAAAGTTTTCTAAGTTCATTCACCTGGGCGTGGAGCCAAAAGTGAACTAAATAAAGTTGTGTCTCCGCGGTCTGTCGAACAGGGATGGCACTTGTCACAGATCTAATGAAATATCTTTGAGAGCTTCTAAACACAAACAAAAGGCCAGGACACATTCTATGAAGTGTCTGAGACTTATGTCCTGCTGTTTCAGACCGAGTGGTGTTTCTTCCTGGGACCTTTCAGAATGTGTCCTTGTCCCAGAACGAGACGGTGCTGATGGTGTCGCGAGTGCAGAGCGACGCGTCCTTCATCACTGTGCAGTTCCACACACAGCACCGCAACACCACCCTCTCCTACACCAGGGTCAGTCTCCAACTCTCCATACAACAATATACCACTATCACCATGTCTTTGTTTGAGGCTATTTCCACATTCCACACCTGTAGGAGCCATGTTTTATATTATTCCTTTGGACCCATGTGTGGCAGTATTGAGTTCACTAAAGAAAAAAAATCTACTGTATACATATATATAAATATACTGTAGGTCCACACGGCAGCAACGGAGAAGAAGCCTTTATATGACATTATTAGAAATTATCTCCCTGACACTGGTTAAACTATCAAATGAATTATTTTCATAAGAAATTACTTTAAGCACCCTCAATACTGTAGTACTTTTAAACACCACTAATACTGAACTAATTTATGATTTTATCTTTCTTTTTAGTGTACTGCAATTTTTTAATGCTATTTTGTTTTGATCAGCACTTTGAGTTGCCTTGCGTATGAATTGTCCTATACAAAGAAAATTGCCTTGCCTACTTTTAAACACCATCAATACCGTAGTACTTTTAAACACCATCAGTACTGTAGTATTTAAACACAATCAAGTACTTTCAGGCAGATTAATCCCATGGATAATTTTAGGCTTTTGACCAAAGCCAAAACTAAGACCAGACCCGCCAGACCTGGACCATAATCAGACTTGGACCAAAACCAGACTCCAACCAAGAGCCACACCTACCCCCAGTTACTCCTAATTCTTGGCAAAGTTCAATACCTTTTCTTACAGTGGTGCGTAGAAACAGAATAGTATCAGTTCTTTTGAGGATAAGTGTACCACGTTGCAACATTGTTTTTTCCCCACTGCAGATTAAATAAAGTTTCTCTTATCTTCATTTTTTGCTCACATGCATCTTCCTACCTTTAGAAAAAGTATAATTATGTCATCATTGGCCATGAAGCAGCACAAAACGTTAGGCATGCTGACTGAGTATGACTGAAGCGCTCCAGCTCTGATCCATAAAAGCGCTCTTTGTTTTTCTGAAGTCGTCTGACCCTCAGCAAGAGACGGTCAGCTGATTCACACAAGACGGGCTCAGGAGCAAGCCCACTGAAATCCAGGGCTGAGGAATGTGGCAGTGTGGCATTTCAATTCAGGGCACTAGAAGAATTGACTTGGAACTATTTGAATACATGTTTTGGTATAAGTTCTATAACTCTTATCTTAAAATGCCCCTCAGTTAAACATTAAGTCTGTGATTTGCTTAAGAAGGCCAGCCCACCCAAGCATAAAGAACACAGTGATGGGTCAGCGACTTCAATAATTCCGTAATAAAACACAACGTACCATGAAAAACCGTGTCCAGGGTTCATAAACATCAGCACCAGCACACACATTTATATTGTTGTGATGAACAGCAGAGGCACTCAATATTTTCCCACAGATCCTCAGAGCACTACTGATGTCTCACTTTTGATCTGCATTTTTATTATCCCCAATGTTCTCATTCCTCATGCACAGGACCGTCTTGCCTTGAGGCACCAGCTCTAACCACTAAGTCACCCGGTGACCAACGCACAATGTTGTCTGTCCTCCAAATGATGTTACTCATGTGCGCCCTCCTCTTTTCTGCTTTTCCTGAGCCTGTCCCATGGATCATGACATTAATGGATTAAAGGACACACTCGGGCAGAGGGTGCAGGATATATTGGGTGGGAGAAGTCGGAGTTATGATAATAAATGTTTCTATATCTGCATTGAGGGCGAAAGGGGAGCCTTGTCAACGTCACTAAAGGTGAAAGTGCAAACAGAGAGTGACATATCACAACATGTATGCCAAGAAATGGTTTAAGGCAGATCTTCGCTAATTACTTCTTATCGAGCGGTTTTATGAATGTTTCTTTATTCAATATTTCCCCAGAAAGATAATTTGAGAACACATTCTCATTCTCAATGACGACCTCTCCCAACACTACCGCATTTCAACATTTGAGAAATGATGCTTTCACATCATATTATTTATGGAATAGAAACTGTTTTGGCCGTGGTAGTTGCAAAAGCACCAGACTAAACATCTCAAGTGAAGATTGTTCAGTTTGAAATGATTTGAGTTCAAAGAGCTGCAAAGAGCTTCCCCGGCAACAATGTTTTTCTTGTTTTACTTCACTTGATCTTCCATCACTTGTGTTCCAGCTCATTTATAATAGTCACAGTATTAAAGCATCAGAGAAGAGCACACTTTCATGATTCATTTACAAAAACGTCCAACAGTGTAGAAAAGTGTCTCCGTCTTAGTTGCTAAATAAATGAAAATTTGACTAAGAAAATATATTTTTGGCACTATTCCATTTGAAGGGCCTTCCTCCGGGGTAGCAGTTTGTGTTCTGGTTTTGGGTACAGGACATTAAATATGTTTTCAAAGAATAACGTGAGACTGGAAGGATATTTTTTGTCTAAACATGATTTTGTTTATATATTCAATGAATTAAATATATATATTCTAATGAAATCATTTTTTATAAATACTTTATAAAGTGGTGATAATAAACTAAAGTAATAACTGTATGTAAATGCTTCTGCATCAGTTCCCAGGTGCTGGAGGCTCGCACTCGGCTGTAGACCCTGGACTGGTCTCTCCTCTGGATCCAGGACAGACCGCCGTAACTCTGTTCCTTTCCACCAGCACCAGTGAGTCTGTGTCTGGCAGTGGCGTCATCTTGTCCTACGCTGTCTCCGGTATGTGTGTCATCCAAGATTTGTGATAAGTTGCAACTAATTGTGATTATTATATACAAATTAAATGTAGAAAAATTAAGAGATGATAAGTGTACTTTTTCTGCAATACTATCACTTATGGACTAAAATGGGCTGAAGTCAAATCAAAACTGCTCACATGGTAACACTGTATGAAATGTATACTGATGATGTGTAATTGTGTATTGTTTACCTTTTTAAATATTGTACTGTATTGTATTGTGTTTTTTGAAATGTGTAGCCTCCTATGGACAGGTGTTGCAAATTAGCAGTTTTGCTATAACACTGGAAACAATGTATCTGGTTTGTCCAATGCAGTTGATATGTCCATATCAAATAAACTAATAAATAAATAAACTGATACTGCATAGGTAGAGGATTGATTAAGGAGCTCAGTCCCATGTTGAGAGTGGCTCGGGCATGTGTTTGAAAGGCCTCCTGGACGCCCAACCCTAACCCCAGGTCACATTGGAGGGACTGTCTCTCAGCTGGCCTGGGAATGCCCCAGGATTCCCCCAAATGAGGTGAACAAATGTTAATGGCAAGGGAAGTCTGAGCCTCTCTGCTTAGGCTGCTGCCAACCAAGCAGTAGATAAAGCAGACAATAATGGAAAAGGACTATCCTTGTGAATTTTTGCGCATTTGGTCATTTTGATTTTTTTTTTGAAAACCCACAACAAAGTAACAGTCATCTGTGACGTGAAAGCGATACAAAATTATTCAGGATTTTTATGCCTGTATACAAAACTATGCATGTAATCCCATGCTTTGAGAGGAATTTGCGTACGTAAAGTGTGTTATCAAACTATCATGAATCATAACTGAAGCAGCCTTTACTTCTGCTTCTTCAAAGGGTTCTATGAAATGAAGAGGAAACCGGAAGTTGCAAAGATCTTATCTTGAAATGTGGTGTAATGAAGCTGAACGTCTTGTAGATTTTAACTTTTGGCTAAGCTGTTTGACCAAGACGCCATACTCGAATTTTGTCAAGCAATTCAATTATTAGCTTCAGATGAGTGACAAGAGACAAAACTGCACTGAAATCATCACCTCTTTATGGCATTGAAACGTCTGTGTTATAAAGTTTACGTGACCTTAACAGCCTGTGATAAAAGGACCAAGCCTAAAATGTGACCTATATACACTTCTTGTTTCTTGAAATGGCAGACATCACAAACGAACAGATGTGTCCCATTCCTAGTCTTTGTTGACAATGACTAAACGTTTGAATACATGAAGAAATCTTGTGAAGTTTGCATAATCACATTTTTATTCATTAGATTTGCTTGTTTGGTGTTATGTGCTTATGTCAAACCAGGACAAAGGGGAAGTGTCATTCTGGGTCACATTGACAAAGTTGAACTAAGACTGAATGGAGCCAATATATTGAATTGAATGATGCAATTTATTTATTTATTTATCTGTTTTAGACCCAGTGCCCGGAGGATGCAACAACGAATTTAACCTGGCTATAGATCCGAATATCTACCTCCGCTACAACCTCTATGAGACCACCATAAGCTTTGCACCGGCCAACTTAGGACACGTGAGGTCAGACATCACTTACCTTGGTTGCATTTATTACATTATCTGTTCGCTCAAGCTTTCTGCATTTGTCTAGAGTAGACTGTGATTTTCTAAGTATCCACCTTAGATATGTTGTGTATTCAGCCCTATTAGAAAGACATTAGGAAAAAAATAATTAGGGCACTTTAGGGGCTGAGACAAAAAGTACAGATATACAGTATAGTGTTTTCCTTTATTGGTCCGAAGAATTTAGGTGACTTCAAACTTTTAGGACTGAAACATACTCTGGGACATAGAGTATGTGTCCGCTTCACCTTCCTATGGGGGTAATATTTGAGTTAGATAATTATTTTATTTTGGTTCTGTGCTATACTTAATATACAGTTCGCTCTCTCACTTCTCTGCCTCTGTTTAAAAATGCTCTGGTCCAACACCTCCAGAACCAATGCCAGTGTTATTGAGCATACAAGGATATGCACTACAATAGATATTAGCTTAAATCTCTGTTAATGTATAACAGACATTATATAAACAACAATCAGAATGTGTGTGTGTGTGAGTGTGTGTATGTGTGTCCTTTGTCTTTTGTGTCTGTATCTTTTTTTTTTCTGTTATTTTTTTTTTTTATGAATCTTGTTATATTGTTTGCTCTACTGTCTGCCTTACTGCATCTGTCATTTTGTACAATTTTGAGGACCCCCTCGAAAACAAGATGTTTCATCTCTAGGGGCTTATCCTCCAAACAAATAAATAAATAAATAAAATAAAAACTTTTATTGTGTTTGTGTGCTCCTCATTCCTACTCCTCTGTAAACCTTTGAAGCAACAAATAACCAATCCCTTAATCCCCCCTTTTGAACCAAGTTCCATTATAGCCCAGAGTTTATTGTATTTTATTTTATTCTAATCTTAATTTTATTGTCTATTATCTTAAATAATAGACTTATTTGATCAATCCGAGTGCTTTTATTTCCTTTCTCTGCTGTAATGTGCGCAACGATCTTATCTTAATCTCTTAATGTTTGAGTAAAATTGTTTGCACAGCTGTATCTTGAAAATTAAAAGCATTTGGAATTCTTCCTCATATTTTCTCTAAAAGTTTCTCTCTCATCATTATGTCTGAAATGTAGCCTTCAAATACATACAGAACCTGCCACAATGATTTTAAGGCTTTTCCTACCTAATCAAAATTCATGTAAACTTTGACAAAACCAATGTGACGGGCCAACTTTAAAACAACATAAAAGTATTTTTTTTTACTCCTGACTATGAGTAAATCAAGACCAGCCTAGATTTGAATAGACTACACAGGAGCAGTGTTCAAATATGTGTGCACTTGTGTTTGTCAGAGGTGAACCGGCCCCAGCCTGTGACGCCTCCTCTGGGCCCTTCTCCCGATGGAGGCTGGAGTACGATGTGTTTCAGTTTTTCCTCCCTGAAAACGACCTGTCGGAGGAAAGTCTGTTTGGAGCTCTGGAGACTGTGGCTGATACTGAAGGCATGGTCTCAAATGGCAAGAAGGTCAATATCACAGCGCTGTTGTTGAAATGTCATGGGTTTTTTTTTTATCTTTGAATGTTGGGGTTGCGTTGTCATAAAAGAATACAGAGATAACCAGTCAGATTTGAGTTTGTAATCCAGAAAATTCATAAATGCTCAAACCACCAAAAATTAAACCATTTTATTAGATACATGTAACTTCCATCACTATTTTTCAGCTTTTTCAGGCAACAAAATTATAAAGAGAGGACCACCCTCACTCCACCAATTGAGGCACTGAATATGATTAATTAAGGACTGGTCATCACGGGGATCGTCCTCAGTTGTACGGATCTTGTGACCGTAAAGCTGACAGTTTTTCTGGGCAAAAAGCCTCAAGATTCTTGTGTCATGTTTTTTTGGTCTCTGTCACAACTGGAGACCGGATTTTTCAGACAGAAAAGTGAAAAAGAGGGAACACCCGCAAACAGCTCTCTTCTCAAAGCGTCGACGGGGCTCTTTCTTTAAAGCTACATTTGAATAAGATGTGGTCAGATTTGTTTTCAAAAAGACTCTCTGTTCGGACAAACAACATGGATTATTGATTAATAATAATACAAAAGTTGGAGATTGAATATTTGCTTCCTTATTACGCTAATGATAGTGATTTTATACTTCTTATACTTCTACGCTTCTTTATTATGCTAGAGTTTTTTTTATTGTATTTTATTTTAGTTTAGCGTTATTATTCATTAATCTTGTGTTGTGTGCTCCTCATTACTACTGTTCGGCGGCTGGTGTTGCAACACTGACATTTCCCCACTGTGGGACGTTTAAAGGAACTCTTCATCTTGATCTTAAAGTCCTTATTGTTGTCTCCATTCCCAGGTGCTGACCCTGTCCTCTGCAGACCACAGAGCCGCTGTGTTCAGCTCGATCCCGGGACAAGGCGTCATCTACTCAGTGGTTGTGAGAGACCCTCTGCTGAACACCTCGGCCTCCTACGTCCCGGTGCACACATACGCCTGCAGCTTCTCCTCCCAGCTGGACGGCTGCGACACACTCGGTCAGACACCCTCACAGACCACTGACTGCGTTTACAAAGGACAAGTGAACACCAGCACACTTGCCTCCTCATCCGATTGTTTTGAATGAAGCTCTGTGAGGAGATCAAAACACGTTTCATCGGTTTCAAAATCACACAAAATAGAATGTGGTTTTTAAAAGTGCTTTTTAAATTATCCTTTGTAAACGTAGTCACAGATAAAACCAGTTACAAATTGAACTTAGATTGGGTCTTTGTGGATAACTGTCGGCATGCCGCCACAGAAATGCATCATTAAAGGTGTTAGCAATAGCATCTGAGTCAAACCACTCCCCTCCACCAAACCCACCTCCCAGCCCACATGATCGCTATTTCTGTAATAATGCAGTCTGTGCTTGATATGTGAAAGCATTACACTACATTAGGGCTCAAGTCTGTGAGAGATTTGCCTTCCATACTTGACAAGCACTACAGTAGCGTCCCCTAACAAACTAGTAATTAGCGAAACTCGACTGCCTGCTCCAAAATATGTACAATATATTTTTTACTTTTGGGGTTTAGGGACGTTTCCCCACATTTTCCCCGTATTTTAAAAATCTGAATAATTCATTGACTGCATATTTAAATCCAAAAGTATGTAGAGTATGTATTTCATGTTTCAAATACTTTTAAACATTTGAAGTAAAATGTGTTTTTTTCTTCAGGTAAAATTTCTACCAAAATCTTCTTCACCTTCACTGGCTTGGCCGGTCTGTTCATTTGCTTTTTCGGACACAGATTTTTCAAGTGTGGTGAGTAAAGCTGCCTCAAACATGATATTTCCAGTATGTAGGAAGGCAATATTGTCCATGTTTTTAATTATGATAAGATATATCATCAGAACCTAAGCAATGAGAAGTAGTGTTTGGACCCAACATGTATAATCTTGGTCTTGATACAGAGGGGACATTATTACTGTTAAGTTATCACTTGTTTACTTGACTTCTTATCCCCGAGCATGTGGCATTTGTGATCCTCGCGTGGGGCTGTTTTTCACATGATTTGAAATGTATTTGTTCCAAACCAATCTCATGACTGCAGTCAATCTGATGTCTTATGACTATTTGATAATCATTATGTGACAAAATGTTTAAAGTTCCCATATTCTGCTCTTCTTCATGTTTCACAGTCCATCCACTGCACATGTGTGATACAACTTCACCACAATCACCATGCTACACTCAAAACCTGTGAGAGAATAGTCATTTCTTGCATAGAGATGATATCAACTCAACTGAAGCTGATCTCTGCTCCTCGGAGCCCGCCTCCCTCCACTTGTCTGATGCTGACTTAGTTGTGAACACACAGCGTGGGGTTTAGGTGTTTATTGGTACATAGCGGTACGAGACTTGAGAATACATTTCTTTTAAACAATGACCATCCATTACGTAGAGCCCTATGTTCTCGATCCAGAATCGGACCCTATTATTTAGTTAACAGTGAATGAAAGAGAAAGATCATTCTCTAACTAAAGCTTGAGAAAATCTATGGAGAAAGTTTTCTGGGCATGTGTGTGAAGATGTTTAAAGCATGGAAAAGTATTTTAAAAGTAAACCACAATAACAGTAAAACAAATAACACTACTAAGTTTCATTTGAAAAAGCAAACATATGAAGCAATTACAACAGCAATACAGCAATCCCAAAATTCAAATTGTCATACCTAAACACCATTTTAACCATTATATATCATTTATGAGATCTCTCCTTTGGAATGTGAAAATTGATACTTCTGTTTGTTCCATTTACAAAACTTCAAAACAAGGTCAACACAAGATTTTTTTTCCTATTTTAAGAAATATTTTGCATATCTTTTGTCCTTTTTTGTTTGCAAAGAATTTCAATATATAAAATGTTCTTTTTCATTTGATTTAACTGTGAGCGTTCTGTCCTGTCATCCCTTAGCACAGACAGAGCAGATGTTAGAAGTGAATTCATCCTCTTGTGTCTTTCAGAGCTCTTTTGTATGGGGTTCAGCTTCACCGCATTTTTCTTTTTTGTGCTGATCTCGAGGACAGCTGAGCTGGAATATGACAGTGAGTGGAAATACAACCTTAAGCTAATAGCCTTGTGTCATTATGGCATCACCCTGAGTGTGTGTGTGTGTGTGTGTGTGTGTGTGCAGTCCTCTTAGTCCTGTCGGCAGTCCTGGGGGTGGTGGGAGGCGTGGTGCTGGTCATGAGCTGGTGGAGGTTCGGGTCGGTCTTGGCCTGTATCGTTGTGGTCGGGTTAATGTTGGGATTCCTCATCGCAGCCACTGTCCTCTTCACTCCTCTGGGTAAGAACTGCTATATTTAAATAGATATATATTTCATTTTAGTCAAACAATAAAAACCTTACATTGTTTTTGCTCTGATATTATCACTGTTTTGCCCTGGTGTCTTTGTCTGGACTTTGAGTTCAATTTTTTTAGTTGACGCTTGTTTTTGTCAGTGAAAACCACATATTTCCGGACACTGTCTTCACCATTCGTCTGCCTCACATTTAATTCATAAATCATAAACCCAAACATGCAAATGCAGAGAAATGTCTGGGGGGTAAGTCCTCAGTTGGTAGAGCCTTGGCCTTTGAGCCAGAGGGTCGTGGGTTCAAGCCCGACTCTCACTATCGACTCCCACTGTCTGTTTGTCGTTGTGTCCTTGGCAAGACACTTAACCTCTGGGAACACCAGGTGCCACAGTGGGGCGGCTGCGGCTGTAAAGTGCCAAACTGCCGTTCTGTCTTTAAGCAAGACACTTTACCCCCATTGCCTAGAACAGGGATCTCCAACCTGTGGCTCGGGATCTACCAGTAGCTCGCCAGCCCCTTTCAGGTAGCTCGCCAAAGGATTTAGAATTAAGCAAATGATCATAAATTAATACTTTTTGAGCCATTACATATGCACTATAAGTATTGGGTTGTACAGCATTATGGTATATGTACTGTATGTGTTCTCCATGTTTTGTCGTAATTATTAGACAGATTATTAATACGACTGAAAAAAGGAGTAGCTCTCTGTCTCTTCGTTTGTGTAAAAGTAGCTCTTCGATTGAAAAAGGTTGGAGACCCCTGGCCTAGAATGAGTCTGGTGTGTGTGAATGGTTGGTGGTGGTCGGAGGGGCCGATGGCACATACTGGTTGCCTTGCTTCTGTCAGTGTGCCCCAGGGCAGCTGTGGCTACAGTAGTAGTTTATCACCCCCGTGTATGGAGTGAAAGAATAATGACATGTAAAGAGTCAGGGGCATTGATTAGTATATATATAATAATATTTTAATTAAATGCTATATCAACAGTATATATATATAAAATATTTACGCACAGTATAGATTCTATTTATTCACGTTTTATGAGGGTAATGAAATGCCAACATACAATCTTCAATAAATATTGTTGTTCAATTGAGGCCATGAGTGGTGACCATTCATGAGGACTGATCATTATATTATGGTTTTCAGGAGACTTGGACATCTTCAGACGCTCAGATGCTGTTTTCTGGGTCACTTTTTGCTGCATTATGGTTGTTGTCCCTTTGTTCTTCATACGGTGGCCCAGAGAGGTAAAAAGTACTTTATATTGCTCAAAGCACTCCTAGGTTGCCAACATCTACAAAATGCATAACTACACTCTGTAGATACGAAAAACACCTGAAAGTTGTACTTGCCTACATTTCATTTTCCTGTGTGCCTCAGGGGAACATCGCGGCCTGTGGAGTGGTGGGGGGCTACGCCGTGGTGTTGGCGGTGAATGCTTTTGTTTACACCAGTCTGTCCTACATCACCCTCAACGTCCTCAAAAGACTCCTCAACTCCAGCTTCAGCGGCGCCTTCACCGACGTGCCGTTCCAGGGGATAGGTGAGTTCTGTGCTCCTGCCCCTTCAACAACACCTCGCCTCCGTTCATACAATCATGTAACAGTTCATTCAATTAGATAACATTTTCTTCCTAAAAATACGTTTAATATCCGGGCAATATGTGCCAGAGAGTCCAGAGTTGTAGCACGATAATGTTCTCAGAAACAGTATAATTTTAAGGGTTGGTATAAAACTGAAATACTGTGATATAATTTGTGTGTATGCGTACCTCCTTCTAAGCAGACTGTACCCTCTGCCTGTAACGTGTTGATGACGTGATAATAAAAGAGTGGTGTTTCGTCAGTGGGTTACTATATACAAACAAGTTGCTTGAATCTGAAATGTCTCCACAACAAATAAAGGAATATCTTATCACGTTGTTGCTGTGCTGACACTGTGAGCCTCTCCAGCGTCTCATTTGACTTTTCTGAAGGGGTTTTAAGGCTGTAATACCCTTCACCACACACTTCATACACCGAGACGAGCCACAATCTTTAGTCCTTCGGCGCAGACAACCCCTGTTACTCACAAGCTCTGCCTTTGCCGTTTGATGATGTTTTTTCCAGTGTTCCTTATATCATAAATGTTGTCATTATGTTTTCTTCTCATATCGTCATATCACCCAGCCCCAATTATTACTCATTACAGTTTCATTCAATCAGCATAATTTTAGACTTTTTAATTAACACTATAGACAGAGTTTAAACCTGGCTAAAGCCAATCCATACTTTTAATGATTTAAGTGTTGTAAGTGTTGATATGTCTTTGTTAGGAAAGTTTGGAGACACCTGCTGGACATTGTAAAGTGTAGTCTAATCGAAGACAAACCTGCCTGACTGTACAACAACAACAACAAAAAGTCTTCTGCTGCTGGACACCTGAATTTCTCTTACGGGGATCAATAAAGCATCTATCTATACTGAAAATATATTAGAACATATTTAACATAAATATAAACAGCTGTGTACTAAGGATAAATGATGAGGTTGCAAACTTTCCTGGCAACAGCCAACCATGCTTACTCCTCAAAGCAATAAACAAAAACAGGCTTCATTCTATTTTTCACCATTAAATAATACTTACTGTTTTTCTCAACATTAAGAGTCTTGTAAAAGTACACTTATTAGAATCATGTTGTCTTTTGCAAACTTGTGAGTCACTATTTTTGTCACTTTGGGCTGAGTGGATTGAGTGAGGGTGGTCCTCTCCATTTCCCTTTTCTGTCTGAAAAAGATATCAAGATGTGACAGACATGCATGTAAAACTATTGATAGAACCAGCGCAAGGAACGAGTTACTGGAAATACATTTTTATACATAGTTAAACGTATTTAATGTTGCTTTATTCAGTTCCTGCCCTTCTCATTACCAAAAAAAGTGTTGTTTCTTTCTCTATGGAGATTGCCATTTTGTATAAGATTTCAGAAAATATGAGGTTGTGAAGCCAATCCCTCACTTCAGATGGTTTCATGTGATTCTCACTGGTGTCCCTCAGACTACATCTTGCTGTCGGTGTGGGTGCTGCTCTGCGTCTCTGGGATGGTCCTGCAGTTGCTGAGGGAGAGGGAACGCCCATTTTTCCCTCCGAGTCCTTACTTGATGTGGCTCCAGGAGCGAGAGCGGCGGAAAACCAACGTCCTGGACCCCAGCCACCACTACCCCCCACTGCCCAACCGCTTCCTGTCCCGTCTGAGGCAGCTGATCCAGAGGACTGAGCCGGCCGGGGAGCACACGCCGCTGCTGCTGTAGATACGAGCACTCTTGGGCTTTCACATGGACCTGGATCCAGACCAGAGCATCTTTCTGAGGCTGAAACACTCCTGGTAGAGCTATCGCAGTGGTCCTCAAACCTGTTACCAGGCTGTGGGTCATCATCATTGAGGCATTTCTATGTTTAGATCAAATTTACATCTTTCCAAATGATGCTACTTTGAAATGTGTACGGTTACTGTTGGAATGTAAATGCAGATATATGTATGATTTCTATAGTCTTATAGAATATATATAGTCAACACATATGCACTTTTAAAAAACAATTGGGATAATCTGTTGAAAGTATAGATCCACCTAATTGTATTGTATTAATTTGTAAATGCCAGTGGCAGGGAAGTGTATAAATTACTGGCCGATATTACCAGTTGACAATAAAGAAACAAAGGCCCTGATTAAGATCTGTTGTTTTAGATTAAAACTCAAGATATTAAACTAATGGACACTATAAAGTTAAATTCTGCAATATATTTTAGTGTGTTCCCATCTGTTTTTCCAACTTTGCTAAAAGGTCTACATCATACATCTTAATGAAATCTGAGTCTGTATTATATACACTTTTTACTTAATCTAAATTATTTTCATGTATTTTGCACAATGAACCATTTAAACCGTTATGGCGCTTTCAGATCTGAGAACTTTTTCAATTTGCTTTTAGCGCCATCTAATGTTTGAGTCAAGTAACGCTCCAACTAAAAAGAAAAACGAGGGTTACGTATGTAACCACGGTTCTATGAATCCCGGATGACCGCCAGAGGGCGGTGCATAGCACTGAATGTTCCCTTCGCGCATGCGCAGTTCGAGTAATAATACCAAATGAGTCACACCTGTGACCCCCTGGGTGACACACCGGAGGTAATAAAGTCCAGCGTCATCCAGCACTCTGTTCCTGCAGAATCTTCTCGCGGATGCAAGGACCCTGAGTGACAGAGCGCCTCTGGCGGTCATCCGGGATTCATAGAACCGTGGTTACATACGTAACCCTCGTTCTATTTCATCCCTTCAGACCGCCAGAGGGCGGTGCATAGCACTGAATGACCTTATACCAGCTATGTCACGAAGGAACTTGACCACACACCTCACGGAGGAGAGCCAGAGGATTCCTGAAGGACCACGCCAAGAGGAGCCGGAGTGGCCACATTGATGTTATAGAATCTGGTGAACGTGCTTGGTGTAGCCCAAGACGCAGCAGCACAAATAGTTCCCAACGGCACCCCGCGCATAGCGGCCCAGGAGGTAGAGACACCCCTGGTAGAATGGGCCCTCACCGTGGCTGGCGGGTCGCGGCCGGCCGAAATATACGCCTGACTGATAACGTCAACCACCCAGTGGGAAAGGCGTTGCTTCGAAAGCGGACTTCCCAGTCTAGCACCACCATAAGCAACAAAGAGCTGGTCTGAGCGCCTCACACCTGCCGTCGCAGCAACGTAGGCCTCCAATGCCCTCACAGGACACAGCAGGTGCAGTCTGTCCTCACCCCCATCCAGGGGGGACACAAACCGCGCCAACCTCAAAGGCCGGTTACAATAGTCACGGGAAAGCACCTTAGGGAGGAAAGTGGGATTAGGCCACAAGACCACGCCAGCCCTCTCAGGATCCCAGTGTAGGCATGAGGGACTGACAGAAAGTGCATGCAACTCACCGACCCTTTTTGCAGAGACCACAGCCAACAGGAAAGCAGTCTTATAGGAGAGCCACTTGAGGTCCGTTCGGGCCAATGGCTCATACGGAGGGCGGCAGAGAGACTCCAACACCAAGGCCAGGTCCCAAACCGGAGACCGCGCGGGCACGCGAGGGTGCAGCCTACGAGCTCTGCGTAAAAAGAGAGACACCAGGTTATGGCCCCCCACAGTACAGTTATCAACCAGGCCATGATAACATGAAATAGCAGCAACATATACCTTCAGAGTAGATGGGGCCCGACCTTCATCCAGGAGAGACTGAAGGAATTCCAGGACAACCGCCACCGGGCACGACACGGGATCCCGACCGCGGGAAGAACACCAGCGGGAGAACAACTTCCACCTGTTCTCATACAGCCGCCGAGTAGAGGCCGCCCTGGCATTCAGGAGTGTACGCCTGACAGGGCCAGTGACATCGAGTGCCCGCAGCTCGGGCCAGCCAACGGCCATACCCACAACTTGAGGCGGTGAGGACAGGGATGCCACACCTGACCGTCCAGCTGTGAGAGCAGATCCCGCCTGGGAGGGAGAGGCCAGGGGGGAGCCCAACAAAGTCTGAGTAGCAGTGGAAACCAGGGCCGTGCAGGCCAAAACGGAGCCACCAGTAATAAACTGTGCCCCGCCCGAAGGACCCTCTGGAGGGTTGGCCAGATCAGAGGAAAAGGGGGGAAGGCGTACAGGAGGGCCTGAGGCCAACTGTGCGCCAGGGCATCCTGGCCGAGAGACCCCGGAGCCCCGTCCAGGGAAAAAAACTGAGGGCAATGAGTGGAGGCCACCGAAGCGAACAGGTCCACCTGTGCCCGACCAAAGAGGCCCCACACCCTCTGGACCACACCGGGGTGGAGACACCATTCCCCCGGGGCAGGCCTCCCGCGAGACAGGGAGTCCGCCACGCGATTGCAGTCCCCTGGCAGATACGCTGCACGCAGTGTAGCCAGGCGAGGCGCAGCCCAAACCAGCAGAGCCTGAGACACCTCGAGGAGCCGAGCCGATCGGACACCCCCTTGATGGTTGATGTGATACACGACCGAGGTGTTGTCCGAACGAATGAGGACATGTTTCCCCAGCAGGTGAGGCAAAAACTCCTGGAGAGCAAGGTGGACGGCCCGAAGCTCCAGTACATTTATGTGGTCTGAGCGCTCCGCCCGAGACCAAACCCCTCGGGCCAACCTGCGCTGCCACACAGCACCCCATCCCGTACGGCTGGCGTCGGTGGTGACCACTTCCCTGCGGCACACTACCACCCCCAAGGGGACCCCACGTGACAGGAGACCGCGGTCCCTCCATGGAGCCAAAGCACGAAAACATGCCCACGTCACCTGTAACCGTCTGTGGCGGTGACGAACGGCATCCAAACGAAACCCGTTCAGCCACCTCTGCAACGGGCGAAGCGAAAGCAGCCCGAGAGGAACCACACGAGAGATCGAGGCCAGCTTCCCCACCAGCTGTAGAAAGCTGACGTAACTGTGCAGAGTGCCAAGACCGAAACGGGACACCACACCGTGGATGTCGACCAGGCGGCGCCCCGACGGACGCGCCGTCATAGTCACCGTGTTCAGACTCAGGCCAAGAAAAACAGCGGCCTGCGAAGGTACCAGGCTGCTCTTTTCGAAATTGACCCTGAACCCCAAGCGGGCGACATGAGTCAGAAGGCGCTCCGTATCTTCCAAGGACCGTGCCCTGGACGGGGCGCAGATCAACCAATCGTCCAGATAAGGCAACACCTTCATGCCACTGGCCTGTAGCGGAGCAAGAGCCGCCTTCACGCATCGGGTGAAAACCCTCGGAGAGAGAGAGAGGCCAAAGGGAAGAACCCTGAACTGCCAGTGAACGCCCCGATAGGCGAACCGGAGGAACCGCCGGTGGGGCTGCGCAATGGGCACGTGAAAATACGCGTCCCTCAAATCTACGGACGTGAACCATTCCCCGGCCCCAACAGTCTGAAGGACTTCCGCAGTCGTCAGCATGCGAAATGGAATGACCTTCAGGAAATGATTCAAGCCCCTCAGATCCAGAATTGGTCGAAAACCCCCCGTCTTCTTGGGCACGAGAAAATAACGGGAGTAATAACCCCTGGGTTGCAGCAGCGGATCTACCGCCTCGATGGCACCCTTGGTCAGGAGGGCGGAGAGCTCCTGATCCAAGATAAAGGCTTTTGCCGGGTCCGAGAACAAAGTAACCTTGACCCGGCCCGACAAGTGCGGCCGGCGTCGGAATTGCAGACGGTATCCGTGGGTCAATGTGGCAACCACCCACGGATCCCGAGCTCGAGCAGCCCAACACTCGAGCTGCTGATGGGAAAAATGTCCGACGCTCGGCCCTGAGGCGTCAATTCCGTGCCCCCCGCCCCCTAGGGGCTCTGGGGGGACCCCGCCCAGGACCAGCCGCGGCGCCACTTGGCTGGCGGGTCGGGCGCCTATGTACGGGTGGGGCACGAAAATTCCCGGCAGGCCTGACCTGGGGAAAACGCTGAGCACCAGTCCAATCCCGAGGAGGCTGCCGAACACCGGGGGCCACCATCGGGCGCAAAAACTGCCGGGGAGGGCGCACCACCCTGCTAAGGCTAGAAAGTTGCTGTCTAGTCTGACCAGCATGGACAGTCCGGTCCAATGCTTCCTGGGCCGCCGTCCCAAACATCTGACCCGGCTCGACAGGCACGTCACGGAGGGTCCTACGACAGGCCTCAGTCAGGGGAGACTGAGCCAGCCATACCTGCCGACGAGCCTGTACAAGGACCGACATGACCCGTCCGAGTTCCCTGGTCATCAAGGCAAAAGCGTGCAGAGCTGCGTCGCTAAACGCAGTAACATCAGTGCCCACAGCACTACCCTCTTGGAGGGAGGCAGACAGGGCAAGCAGCAGATGCGCTAAGGAGTTACCAATACGGCCAGCTCGAGCACCAGAATTGTAGGCCTTTGTTAGCAAGTGATCCGTCGCACGACACTGGCTCCGAGGGCACCTCACATTCTCCCGCAAGGACTCCTCCGGGGAAACAATGAGGGAGGCAACCGCCGGCTCAACAGCCGGCATGCAATCCAGGCCAGCCGAAGAGGCATCGTGCATCGCGGCCAAAGCCCGACCCTCAGCCGAAAGCTTAGAGAGACGGCTGGGGTCCCTCCAGCACGCGTGTAGCTCCTTCAGATACTCCGCGGACGGGGGCACAACAAAAGCAGGAGACGAACCACCACGCCTGAAAAAAACACTGCCAGGGTCAGCCTGTCCCGACTGGGGAAGTTCCACCTGCAGACGGGATAAGGCCCTGCGAAGAACCTCCTGCATTGAGCCGTCACCAGACCGGCTGGACACACTATGTGCGGAAGAATAAGCATCGTCCCCCGAAAGGGACCGCGCGTCATCCTCGTCCCGGAAGCACGAAGCAGATGCCGCCAGAGAAAGCACATCCTCCTCCGGATGGAGGGATGGCATGGAGCAAGAACCAGCCCCAGAGACTGCATCAGCAGCACAACGTGCCTGGAATGCAGATTTCATCGCCTCCAACTCTGCAGATAACTGCTCCACCCTCGACACCAGGACAGCATCCGGCTTGGCCTGCTTGGAAGGAGCATGGCCATCAGACCGTTCCCCTGAAGCACAGGCCTCAGCACGGCGCTTAGAACGCCGAGGGGGCGGAGCCACAGCAGGCCCCACTGGCAAACTACCACCGTCGCCAGACGAAGGCAGCTGAACCAGCCTCGCCACCCTAACAGCCCAGGGCAAGCAGCTGCAGTTCATGCACGGGTTATCGGACACTGCCTCCCTCAAGTGAGTGGGGCCGAGGCACGCCGGACACAGGTCATGGCCGTCATCAACATCGAGTGCTGACCCGCAGCCCACACACGCATGTGACCCGTCCATAACAACAAGGTTGTATTTGTTTTATTATTATTATTATTTTTTATTATTATTATTAAATTATTATTCTTGTTTCGACTGTGTCGTTAATTAAATATGTAATTAATCCCCAACGGTATACAAACTGCAAAACTGAATCAACGTACTGCAGTTTCACAACAGAAAAGCCAAATATAGCACGGTGGAGGAGCGGACGCGCGAACAGCAGCCTTCACACCACACAATGCACCCGCAGCAAAATGCCACTCGAATAAAGTAGTGATGGAGGAGAGGGCGCGCGAACAGCAGCCGTCACACCACACAATACACCGGCAGTAAAACGCCAACTCAAAATAAAGTAGCGATGGAGGAGAGGGCGCGCCAACAGCAGCCTTCACACCACACAATACACCGGCCACAGAATAAACACAGGCAGCAAATGCTAACCCAAACAAGAACTGATGGAGGAGCGGGACAACGAACCGCAGCCTTCACACCACAGAGGACACCGGTAACAAAAACTAACCCAAAGAAGAACTGATGGAAGGAGCGGGCGCGCGAACAGCAGCCTTCACACCACAGAGGACACGGGTAGCAAAAACTAACCCAACTAAGAACGGATGGAGGAGCGGAACCGCAGCCTCACACCACACAGGTAGCAAACGGCTAACCCAAAAAAGAACTGATGGAGGAGCGGGCTAACGAACCGCAGCCTCACACCACTCAATACACAGTTAGCAAAGCTAACTCAAACATGCACAGGCGGAGGAGCGGGCTAATGAACCGCAGCCCTCACACCACGAAATGCACGTACCAAAAGAAAGTACTGACGGAGGAGCGGGCGCCACAGCAGCCTTCACACCAACCAATACACACGCATATAGTACAGAAAACACCGATAAATACCCGAAGGACAACGTCACCGTCGCGCCCCACGGAGGGCGAACCGCAGCTCCGATGAAGAGGGCTCTCAGCGACAGACGTTGACGAAGTTCAAGCAGCAACGATTCGAACCGCACGCGAGAAGAAAAAAGGAACAGAGTGCTGGATGACGCTGGACTTTATTACCTCCGGTGTGTCACCCAGGGGGTCACAGGTGTGACTCATTTGGTATTATTACTCGAACTGCGCATGCGCGAAGGGAACATTCAGTGCTATGCACCGCCCTCTGGCGGTCTGAAGGGATGAAATAGAACCACAGACTCCTTTTCATATTGTACTTGTGGGAGTTGTGGAAAGAATGCTCAAATGATACCAGTGTTATTTAACTTTGATAAATAAGACCATAAGAAATGTAAACTTCAAGCAATGTACTTTTCTGACACTTTTTGTGTGAAGAAATGACAAGAGAATCAGTGCTACCTCTTACTATGGGAGATTTTTTATAGTAGCATTTTCTTGTGGGTCTAGAATGTATTTGTTGTATAGATATTGTTTAGAAAAAATAATACTAGTAGTCACATTAAAAGTGGTGGTCTGTGGTCTGTCTGTGAGCAATACTTAAAAGGACAACATTTACATTTTGTTCATATACTTAATGTTTCTTTACCACCTGCCCAGTCAGGCTCTTCGGGCTGTTTGTTGTAAGACTGAAGTTAAAGATTAGATTTTCTGAACATGTAAATCTGTCATAAATGAGTCATCTAGTTGACCAACATTAACTCTGGCAAAGGTAATTCGCCAGAGGCTGTAAAAGACAGACGAAAATGATGGAGCAAAGATCTGGTTTGTCTTCCAATTTATTAAAACCGTAAAACTGGACAAAAGAGACAAGAAAAACGACATTCAATGTGACAAACACCAGTTTCTATAAAGTGCAAAGAAAAAGCCTCATAATATTATTTACTTGCTGCTTCATAATAATGTACTCATTCACATACACACCAACACTACATAGAAAACTAGAGACTTTATCCACAACAACATAGAAAAAGTCACAAAAGTAGATTATGTTGTAACAATATTGCAGCCACTAGAGGGCAGAGTGAGTTTGAGTTCAGTAGTTCCTTCTATGTGCAATACAAATCCAGAGAGCCATTTAAAACCCCTCTACCCACAAAGTCCAGTACATTCTCAAAATCAGACCCATTTCTGTCAAAGGCACAACGGCAAAACGGTTTCTCATGGCACTGTCTGGTACCACTGAGGAAACCCTTTCTACCTAAAGGACTGTAAAATCAGCCTGGTCAGCGTTTTCTAAGTACAACTTAAATTATATCAATATTTGGATAAAGCAAAGCCAATCAGGGACAAGACAACTCTACAAAATGTAAAGATTAGGATAGTTGCCTTTTAGTATAAACACATTGAGCCATCAGGGCCTGAAGCCAGAGTTAATGAATGTGGAACTAGAATTTCTATGAACGCTGCAAAAGACTGACCAGGCTAATGCATACAGAGTCTGTAACATGATCGTTTTCCTGTGGAAGGCATCTTTCCAAACTCCATAAACTTTGGTTTCCATTACTGATATGTTAATGCTCATTTTAAAAAGGACATTTTACACATAACTTGATATAGATTCAAACATAGTATGTATTCATAATATCTAATATCAAAACTTTACCAGATGTGTCATGTGTCAAAATACCCTTATTGTATTGTTGAGGTTAGAGTATTAAAATGCAGTTAATTGCTGTAAAAAAAAATAACATAAAAAAAAATAATGTAAACAATGAGATTAATGTTACTGTGAACTTGACTTAAAAACATAAAAACACAGAGTTAAAACTACAGACGACAATTAAATAACATCCAAAAATTTAAAAGACAAACAGTGATTAATATCATTACTCTAGATTAAATCTATGTTAGAGACAGTGTCAAAACGAGAAGTGCTGGGTTTGGAGGGAGAAAGACCAGCCGGCTGGTTTTGGGAATTTATTTTCTTTGTTTTCTTTTAGAGTTCATTTCAAAATAGGGCTCCTCTGTTTTGGATTTACTCTGAGTGTGTTTTTTTATTTCGTTCGCGTCCGTCTTGATGGCTTTAGGAATGGTTGACTTGTGTGTGTTATTGCTAGCATTAGTGTTAGCTTGTGCTTTCGGTGCCAACTTCACCTCTGCTGTGTTTTTTTGACCCAATTTGGAACAAGTGTCGCCAGTAACAGGGACCCGCCCTTGAACTGGAGTGGGGATGTGCGAACTAGCAACAGCTTTAGCTTGTGCCGCGTTAGCCGTTAGCTTGCTCTGCTTGGGCTCTTTAGCTTTAGCCTGGTATTCACTTGTTTTACTGGAGCTACTAAGAGCCGGCGATGGCGCTCTAGAACTGGCGCTGGAACTGGGGGTAGGGGTCCGATTGTGTGCAGCACGGACTCGTCTCGCAGCTTCTAAACGGAGACGTGAGGCTGGAGAGCCGGGACGGCGCTGGGCTAAACGGGAACGTTGACTAGCGCCTGTGGGAGGTTTAGCCGTAGCGCTGTTAGCATTAGCAGGGGCTGTGGCAGGGCGTGGCAGCGGGATGCCTGTTGGAGAAGTCAGCGGGCTCGACGGTTTGGGACATTTAGAGGACGGTTCGGGGCAGACCGGGCTCCTCGGTTGCGCGCCAGGTCGAGGATTAGCCCTGTTCTTAAGTCTGGACGCAGTATTGGAAAGCACAGGAGATGGCGTCATGGCTCTACGCTGGACCGCACCGCTCGGGCTCGGGGTCTGCTTCGGTGTCGACGGCAATGAAGACGACGCGTTTTTGGTGATCGGAAGCGGGAGCTGAGTCGGCTTTTTTGGGGCCATTTGGAGAACTCGTTTGGAAGCGGGGGCCATGTTCTTCCTTGGTAAAGTGGGGGTACACGCGGGGGAGTTTGCGTAGGACCTGCACGTCTGTGGGGGCTTACAGGGGGCAGTAGAGGAAGAGGAGGACGACGCAGAGGAAGAGGAGGAGCTGGAGGACATGAGGTCGTTGACAGCAGCCAGGGGATCCATCTCAGGCGGAGGTGGCGGCGCAGCAGGGGGCCCGGTGTGGTGGTGGTTGTGATTGTGTCCCAAACCGGGCGGGCCTTTCTGGAACGCCAGGATCTTCTGCTCCAGAGTGGTGAACTGGAGGACGCGCTGGGGGTCGTACTTCATGAGGAACCCGCGTAGAGTATCCCACCCGCCGCCGACACGCACCATCACATGTTTACCGTGCAGCATCTGGAAGAGAGGCATTAGATTCTAGTCAGCGCACAACAGGAGAGCTGATGCAATTATGTTGCTGAGGTCAATGGAAACTCGACTGATTCCAATTCAGTTGTCTTTAGTGGGATAATAGGGTTTACTAGGAAAGGCTACTCGTCTCGTGAACTTCATTTATTAGATCTGATTAAATTGTTACAACAGTTTCGTATTTACGTCAGAAATGTATTATGTAAATGTGCAGTATAGTGTACGGAGAAACACACAAACGAATCACTGGCAAAAAAGTAAAGACAAGTCGCTCATTTCAGCCCTTTTGGCACTTTAGGAGTTGATCGCGTATATATTTTCTCAACAAAAAACTGTACATTTAAAAAATCTTTGGTGTCTAGATCCAAGACAATAGATTCAAATCCGGTTTAAACTTCACTTTGAACACGTGGGCGAAATGTTTGTTTACTCATCAAATGAACTAAACAAAAACGTAGCGACGTCTTTTCCCAAAATAACTTGTGAATCTATAAACGTGCATCTGTCCTGAGAGGAGACGGGGCACGGAGCACTTAATGATGTAACTGACGCAGAGCAACACAACACTACCACTAACAAGCTTCAGGCAGCTCACTAACAGGATTATAGTGACCGAGTCCGCAGCCCGCTCATCACCGATCACACTCAAAATGTAACAGCTCATTTGGTCGACTGTGCACTTTTAATAGCATTTTAAAAGAAAAGGTGACTATTTGAAGTGCCTAGTTTGAAGGCTTATGTAAGTGCAGGAATTCCTACCAAACAGATGTTAACATTGTGCCTTCCCAAAGGACATTTGTAATCCGACTTTTAAAGTCTACATGTTGTCGAGTCTTCTGATGCAAAAGTAAGACCACTCACTCTGATGAAGATGGTTTTGTCTCCTAGTCTGTAGCGGCCTTCGGAAAGGTACTCAATGGAAACTCTGTTGGCGCAGTTACAGGGAGGTTCATCCATGCCAGCCTCCTGCAATAAAGAAAACATCAAAACATCCACAAGTCAGCACAGGGGTTCACACTCATCCAAACTATACCGAAAAGAGTTAGGGCCTGCTACCTTCTTTGCTATGAGGGCTGTCCATGGATCTATTAAAATAACTGGATAGGGTATTACTAGTTTGGAGCTGAAGAACCCATGTGCTCGGAGGATTCTCGCGGTACTGCAGACTAAACCAGACTAAATTCACGTGGGCTACTGATATTGGAATGTAACTTAAGTTATCGTTTTGGTAAATCATATGTGGCTATGTGCTGAATGCTCTGTATTGTAATCCACTTTAGCTCCAGCAAGACACCGGGAGGTCTGGGGAGCTCATATGTTAAACAGCAGAGGAAGCAATCTTTGTATACACTAATTCGGAGTGTCTTTTGTTGTGTTGGTTTCTTCCTCTCATATTCTGCATACGAAGGTGTGTCTTGCTCTACCAAAAGGGGCTTGCAGACTGTGAATCTTCAGACTTGTCCTGAGAGAGGCTAGGGTCTGTGCCTTGCCTCTGTCAAGACATTCTCCTTGTACAATGTAACAAGTAAAATATTAACTTGGTCTCTTTGTTGTGTGAGATTTCATCAGGTTCAACTGTGGTTGAAACAGCATTAACAGCTACCCAGAAATTTTCCCCCATAGAACTCAATGCATATTAAAACAGCTCAACCTCAGCTGATAGAGAACCTACAGCTTTCATAAAGGTCGGATTTTGTGGGGATTTTAGTGTCCCTTGTCATCCTGAACTTTTTTTCTTCTTAAATCCTTCGGTTTTCTTTAAATCCACACTTAAGTGCCACAAACTCTGCTCGTCTGGCTCCTGCTCTAACTTCTGCTCTGATGAACTGCTCTGATTGGTCAGAGCGCGGCCGAGCGCCTCTGTGACGTGCGGGAGACCCGGTGTGAGACCCACACACGCGTGTTTGGCGCAACGCATTATGGGAGATCATCCACTGCACAGAACCGGGAGGACCAGACGATGCCCAAATACAGGCGAGTTTCCCATAGATCTTTGCGAGTGTCAGACGACTTCCGCAGCCCCCATGCCGGCACAAAGCGCCACTGAGAACAACCATTCATTTGAATACGGCGCCATCTTGGATCGCAGGGGCTTGGGCCTGTCTCATCCCAAGTCTGGGTGAGTTTGGCCAAAACATGCACTATAGGAAGAATCTAGCTGAATTCAGTATATAAGGAACACTTTCCTTCCTCAATCCAAGTTGTCATAAACATGAACTGTATTGCTTGGATTGAAATGCTGCCAAGTGCTTTTAAAGTGATGTTCTACTCCTGTCATCTTAACTTATCTTAGTGACTGCCTTAAACTGTCAGTGCGTGTCCACATCTTGTTAAAAACACTCATCTCACTCACAAATCCACGGCGTAAAGATGGTCCCAAGCGAATCTCCAATCATGACATAAGCTGCTTATTGAAATGACTTAAGAATACTTGCTTTAACCAAAACATTTTCCGCTTCAGTTTGTCCACAATTATTTTTAGCACGACCATCTCCTGAGACCAAGTCATTATTTACAGATGTAGCAAAATGTAATAATTTAAGTGCTTACTCATACAGTCATGTGGATAAGAATGATTATATTTTGAGCATAGTCTTGAGTTTGCGTATGCGATGAGAGGCCTTCATGGCCTTAGGAGCACGTGTCAGTATGGGTCTTGCAGCAGACATCACAAGCTTTGCTGTGGTGTGTCAGGGACCCCTGGGGGCCCACAACTGAACGCATACTCGGCCATCTTGGCTCTGCCTCAACTGGGTCGCACATGCACCGGCGACGTGAGACGAATTTTATCAGCTGTGTCCATTGTGGCGGTAAGAGTGTGGCACCGACACACGTGAGTTTGTTTGTGTGTGCAATGAAGTTTGAAGAGAACACCACAACTTTCCATAAATAAGCCAAATGTGACCGTTAATGAAATAATGCGTAAGGGAAAGGCTGTTATTTGCCAATATTGAAGACAAAGAAGGCTCAAAAGGCCAGGTTCATGAGGTTCACTTCACATCTGGACTGTCTACCTGGAACATAATAACTTGAAAGATAAATTCTATACATTGATTGTGAAAATACGTACACTAAAGTCGGTTTCAAAATACAAACCTGATGTACAGAGAACAAACTGGAAAAGGGAGACGGATTTTACTTCATCATAGTTCATCTCAACTCAGACCATATTAATAAGCTTAATGTAATACAGACTACATTATTCCTTTTTATTTTAAACTATTCTTGTTTATTCATTTGCTTGCATTTCACTTTTAGAATACCATTACATGTAAAACACACAGACTCATACTTCTAGAAAAGTGCTTCCTCAAAGAAAGGAAAACACATCATTGTCTCACCTCAGGCTGGTACAGGCCTCCATGTTGGCAGCACACACTGAAGGTTTTCACAGCAGGAGGCGGCTCCTCTGCCAAAAGGAGCGTCTCCTCCAACTCGATCTCCTTCTCCAGCTTCACCAGCACCGGGGGCTCCACTCCGTACCTAACACAGGGATTGTGTCGTTTGAATAATCGGTCTAATAGACATTTTGAGTCTAGTACTGTCTAAAAATCTGTCTTTTCTGTATTTTTGTATCCGTATATGCCAGATTAAAATACTTTTTTTGAGTACTTAACTATGTAACGACATTGTTCCACATAAAAAAACAGACCTGCAGTTTTTTACATCCAGCCTCGCCAATATCATGAACCAGCCCTTCTGTCTAAATGCTCATGCCTCAGTCCTGTAACTGTATGATGTCATTGTACCACTATGACCTCACGCTCAAAGCAGTTTCAGCCTTTTAAAATGTAAAGTAATTCCCAGAAATTACGTTCTCCACAATCGCGGTTGTAGCCGGTAATCCAAATTGATCCCCCCCCCCTACTCGTTTCAACATAAAAATTTTTACTTCATCATTTCTTGTTTTTAGAATGTGAAAAAATAAAGTAAATAGTGTTGTTATAATTTTTATGATAAAAAATGTTGCATAATACTTGATCAGGCCAACTCCACACAGCTCCTGGTGCAGAAGCTCTCTTGCCCATTAGGTTTGAATGCATGCTTGATGTTGGCCATGTGACATAATATATCAGCTTAAATAACATAAGGGGAGACTGATGAAAGCTCTGTTTTGTCTTGGAACACAGTATTTATTTGTATTGTTTTTGCAAATTAACAACAATGCTCAAAGTAAATAATTACACACAAACTAAATGCAATGAATGTTTGTTGCTGCACTCACTTGAGCAGGATCCGTCCGATTTCTAGCAGACAAAGGCAAACTTGACGTGGCTCTTTGTGCAGCACTGGGGAGAAGCATGTTTATGGGTTATATAATGCGAAGGGTTGTGTTTATATATAAGAGAGAAAAAAAAAAGTTAAATCAGTCCCTAAAACGCTAACACGCATTGGAGAAGAAAATTAAATATTGACTTTTCTCTGCCCTTTGATAAGTTCCACCACCTCGTATTGGAAGCTTTTAAATCACTGATGAAAAGATCCAGATAGCATGTACTCAGACTGATTACTCCCACAGGCACATCCTATTAAACCATTAGGGAGTTAGGCTAATACTTGATATCACCGAGATTACAGCCAGCGACCGCAGCCAGACCTTACAGCACATTACATTACGTTACGTTTCAGGTAAATCCAAGCTGGACAAGATTTGTAGGATTTATCTTGAATTAACCAGAAGGAGGATCTCTAAGTGGCTTGGGTTTAAATATAGTCATTGAAGAGTTGAGACAAGTCGGCAGGAGAAACGATGCAGCCATTTGAATTTGACTTTTCTGCGACTGGGAAAAAGTCCAATATTTCCATAGTGCTTTGTCAAGTTCTTACTTTCTTTAACAATTTATACACAGGGTAACTCAAAGTCAACTTTAAAAATTCGAGCCAGATCCAACTATCAATTCAAAGGTACTTTATTAGTTGCCAAATATTTCTGTGTTTCATTTTTCTTCCCTCCTTCCTTGATCTTGTATGTACTTTTGAACCTGTGTTATTATTTGTAGAATGGTCCTGTCGAATGCATGCCTTGAGTGTTGCAAAATTAAATGAGGTTTAAAAATGGATAAACCAAAGTCTGATTGCTACCCCCCGACCCAGAAATGGACTAATTAATGGGAAGAGAATGAATGAATGAATGAATATTTATAGGTTCTAAAAGGCCTTTATCTGTTATAATGTTGATTAACGACCCACAACATTTCAGTAAACCGGTAGAGTTTTGATAATGGCTTAGTTTGTTTTTTTCATAATAATCTAAAAAAGCCTTTGCATACCTCTGTGTGTAATGAGTCATATTGGTTTTACATTACATTACATCATGAATACTGTTTAGCGCTTCCTACCCAGTCCCTCCGACTCGAAAAGGTAGGTTTCTTCTACTCCAATAGTTCGGCACCAAGACAGGAAGTTGGCAGTGTTGTCACGGGCGAAGAACGACCCGGGGGAGGCGTTGGTTTTGCAGGCCACTTTTGTTGGAAACAACTAAAAAGGATTAAAACATTAAAAAAAACATGCCATCAGTGTTATTTGGTTTTATAGCAGAAAAGAAAAAGTCACAGCTCAGATATTAGATTAAGGACCATCTAGCTGCTATGGCCGACAACATATTTTCTGATGGAATTATGATTAAAAAATTTGATTATGTTTCCAGAACTTTAAAATGTAGTAAAACAATATATTGGCACAACTAAATCTCAGAATGTTATATTAAAAACGGGCAACCATCATTAAGCCAACTTTAGCAACTTCAAGTAAATCATCATGTCATAGGCTTAAGTTTAAAATCCAGTTGATTAATCAGTTTTGCAACCAAAAACTTAATTTTGTCGTTTTCAAGTTGAAATATTCATTTGAAGTTACATTACTGAGTATTACTTTTAAATATATGATTTGTGCCTTAGTGGTTAAAATCAAAGAATAGAGATTTTGTTTTTTTAATATATGACAAACATAATGTTTGGGGGAAACTATCAGCGGATTCAAATCCTTCAAAATCCAGAGATTTAAAAGAAAATCCAAATCAGTTGTTCCCTATTGTTGATGCACACGTAAAAGCAATACATATATACTTAGTATGATTTAGTCCACAATGCTTTCGTTTTAGAATGAGGGAGAAATGTGATTTGAATCCAAGATTTTTTTTTTTTTTTTGGGAGAAGCCAGCACTAAACGATGGTAATGACAATATAGTTAAACATGGAAAACTCTGGTCTATTATTGCATCATATTGGAGTTTCAACACGTCCAATACCCACTTGTCCTTGTTCAGAGTTGAGCTTATTTGGTTGTTTTCCCCTTCAGGAGATGCAGTTATTTTGGACTGTGACTGGTTGTGACTCACCTTGGCGAGAGCGGAGGGGCAGCTTTCGGCCACTTTGGTCTGCAGCACTCGGACCAGTTTGCACAGCTTCACTCCGCTGTTTAGCTCCTCCATGAACAACTCCACTCTCACGTGTTCCCCTGAAGGCACCACACAAGCAGTCAACACAAGGTGGTCAGACTCTACCGCCTCCATGTCCCTGGACTAAGGAATCATGTTTCAATTGAATTATAATTAAATGTCAACGATAAGTTCAGCATTTGGTTTTTAATAGACAAATGGTCTGAGACAACAGATGAAAAACAACCTCTTGTCCAATTCTGACAAAGGGGGTTTCCAGACTCATAATTTTGTTCATAAATACAAATTTTATTTGTCCTGACAAAGTCTTCTATGAGTAAAATGTTGTAAACATCAGATCACAATAGGCCGTCTTTGTCATAATAAACGGTCTAGGGATAGAGAGCTTACGCCAACCACAGTGTTGGCCGAATGTGGAAGAAACTGTTTTGAACATAAGCTGGCTGGAGCCAAGATACAGGAGGATACTTTTCAATGGAAGTCATTAAGATCCTGAGCGAGTACGATCAAAACCTCGTCCATCAGCACTTTCCTATTGGGTTTCATTGCGCTACCACCTAGCTTAATATTGTTCATCTATATACAGTCTGCATCATATAAAGACAAGCAAAGCGCCGCCATCATGTTTTCTTATGTGACGCTTTGAGCTGAGAACTGATTGGCAGGAGCTGACTAAAGATGGTTGTCTTGTTACAATACTAATTTTCAAACTTTATTATTATCAATACTAGAAATACTAGTTTGATTTGATTTGAAGACTAATTTTACCTATATCAGAAGAACTTTTAGAAAACACATTTAAGAAACGTAAAATGTCATGTTTGTGCAATATACATTTACTCAAATTAGTATTTAGGTTTGTTTTTAGTTTTAATATTGATTAATATCTGATTTTTGCTGATAAATACATGCATTTGGAATCAAGTGATCCTCTATCAAAAGTCCTTGATCTTCTTGTTCACGACCTCATAAATTTGGCTTTGAATAGTAAAGTATCCAAACATCTGCCCTGGTCCAAAATGTCTTGGAACTTTAACATGTTTTGTACTTTTTAAACTACCACTCATTCATTCATCCACAAAAGCCATATCCTGTCCCATGACCTTCTCATTGTGCAACAACTCAAAGTCAAAGTAAAGAGAAGATTCATTTGCGGTAACAAAAGCGAATCCTCTAAGTGACAAAGATCGTTGAACAAAAGCATATTTCAGACACAAAAGTTTAGCCCGAAGCACGAAACTCAATCCACCAACGCACACCAGCTGTTTGTGGGCTATTCATCAACAACTATACAGTGCACTACTCAGAACTTCCCGTGGCTGGGAAAGAGATTAAACAAGGCCAAAAACAATAGTTGTCTACTTCAAAAGAAGAGAGACAAGTCGGAACTCAAGTTTAAATGTTTCTTTAAAAATCATACGTTTTATTTTTATTTCTTTAAACAATACTTGAGGTTTTTTGTCTTTTTGGTCTTAGGGTCTCCTCTTGTACATATACACATTTGTTTTATTTGTATTCATGTGTTCAATATTATCCAAGTATGTTATATACTGTTGATGTCCTCTAAGCCTTTGTTTTTGAGTAATTCTGGAAAAAAATGTTTGAGGGAAAGTGGTACGCAAATATCTATGAGGTTAAATCAACCTGAAACTTTGTACTTGCTCACATTTTCCCCAAGAAAAACTTAAATTCAGCAGTTTTGCAATAGGTTTTGGTTTCCTTACTGCCGCATTGTGTCGAGAAACACAATGCATGGATTATAATGGCAGAGGGAAGGTGGAACAACAGACACAATACAGACAGACCTGTGTTGATTGTGCTCTGGTATGTTCCCCGCCTGCGGGACCAAACTACTGTGAGGAGATGATTATATACACACACTACGGTGAGAAGAAGCACGAGTATAATGTAAACAGGGAAAAAAGTAGCTGTAGAATATGCTTTTCTAGTGGCATCTGCAATAAGTAAACGGTGCATAGAACCTGGCCTCATCACAATGACAGTGTCGCCATCAGGTCAGTGCTGTGAACTGGTGAATTTTGTGGAATCGCACAGATGCCATTATCACATCTGGAGAATGTGGATACTTTGATTCCAGCTGTGTTCAAGTCCGCTCATACAAGGCCATCAACTGTATGATTACTGTACAGTATCCTTGTGACACAATGCTCCCCAAGGCTGACAAACATATCAGGTAAAAGTAATGCTACATGTCCTGAAGATAGATAGTAGATAACATGACAAAGCTAAAGTAAAATATTAGAGAAAGATTTAAGTTTTAGAAAAATTGGCTTAAATTCTTCACATCAGGTCAACTTGGTAGGTTAGACCCAATTTTAATGCCACATGTCTCGGGTAACCACATCGTTGTTTACACTCCAAGCAAAAAACCCAGAACGCCTGTAGTGATAATCTGTAATCAGTACACAGTCCTTTCCTTCCTTTTCAATACAAACTGTACTTTTTTCAGAAAAAACTAGTTAATCTATATAATGTCCCAATCGCCAACTTGCATGTTAGCACCAACCCCATTTGCGGGTTTCCATTTTGATTTATTTTATTTTTTACAAAAATTGGCCACAGAAAACCCACATCACTTTTGTATTTAAACATTAATATAATAATTTATTATACGCCTCCTCACAGCAACAGTAGAACGCTCCATTGATCTAAATGGAATTTCACAACGTTCTGCAGGTCATTATTTCTTGATAACCGACCTCTCAAAACAATGGCCGCTGCCCATGGCAACGCAACCTCTGCTTGTAATTCATGTGTGTAGATTACTCCGCAAGTAGTTCCGGCCACTCCGGAGCTAGCCACACTCAATAAACGCAAATACCAATCAATCAACATTCAATGTTAATCGGAGAATACATTATACATGTACATTCTAAATACACATGCACGGAGGTTTTCAGAAGTATCCGTTAAGGTTTTCATGACAAAAATACGATTTTAATGGGAGAAAAAGCAATCGCAATTGCAGAGGACCGAATTATGGATTTAGGTTAAGTTTATGTTTGGGTCACTAAGCGCTGATGTTCAGAATTCTTTGTTCAGTTTTCATGCAGTTCCAGAGAGTTCTTGTTTGGAAGTTGCTAGCCTAACTGTTACTCGCATAGCCACAGGAAAGCCTTTGGGAACCATTTTATTTTCTGTCATTAAATAAATCTCTTCCTAAGAGTGGACGGACTGAAGTTTATTTTGTGTGTTCTTTTGTTACAAAGGCGTATAATAAGCGGGATAATGTGTAGTACGCAGGTTATTATCGGAAAATAAGGGCGGAAGCAGCTTTGTCCTGTTGGTATATTATCCCTTACATATTAATACACTACAATACAATTTATTCTTGTATAGCCCTATATCACAACAGAAGTCGTCTGAGGACTTAACAAAACCATTGAATCACCAACACAGATCAGAGAATCAACAGTTAAAACACAAAAAGAATATATAACACATGTTGATAAATTTCCATACATGTTGTAGAATGTTAAAGTGTCCTGGATCATCACCACATCCTTCTAGTTGGACACTAACTGTCCAACAAGACCCTCCTGTTAACGTCCTATTAACTTTCTCAAATCTTTCATTATCTACTTTAGTCTTTCTTACCCAGCATTCCGGTGAGCCAGATGGCTAGGTCCTCTTGCATGGGGAGCAGAGTGGCCTCATGTCGGACTGCGAGCCACTGGTCGTACTGGAACACATCTGCCAAGCCTGGACCGTGCCTCTGGGGCCGTGGGGAGTGTGGACTCGGGTTCAGGAGCGGGGCCACAAACTTCTCACACACCTGGGATCAAAGCAGGACGGGTCAGGTTAGCAACGTTTGACCAGATACAAATTTGTAGTAACGGCCTAGTTTGAAATGATATTTATTGTACTATACTGGAGTTAAGTCATTCAAATTGGCTGCCTTTTTATGACCACAACATAAATCCAAAGCACAGCACTTCAGAATCAGTTTCTAAAAAGGCATCATTAACTTGAAGTCTAACAGAAGAGAAGTTAGCTCAAAAGCACATGGCCAATAGGGGTAAACAAGTTATTTAGCCTTGCTCCTTTGCCTGAATGTAGTGCATCAGGCTTGCAAGAAATCACTCATCCATTCCTGAGTGATTCTACAGACAGAAAAAAACAGCAAGAATTACAAACTCTATTGTAGATGCAAAAAAATAAAAAAAATAAAACACTCCTAGATAATATGAATCCCAGATGGTCATGGGAAAAGAGGCTCCGTGCTGAACCGTCACTCCTATTCCTTACATAACATAACCTGTACTGCCGATTTGTGCAAGAATGCGTTAAAAAGCATTGCAGACTTTATTCTGTGCAATATGGCTCATCAAATCTTCCGGCGTTTACCATATTATTATACTCCAGTTAGCTGTAGATCGTGGCAGAGAAGAGATATGAAAATCATAGTTTTAGAGAGAGCCAGTCATGCAGAGGTTCAGATGATGTCATTGCACACTTGAGGTTGATGTTCGCTTCACTGGAGAAGGCTCTGTGTGCCCTCTATGAGCTCACAGCATTTTCTACAACAGAGCCTGAATACTGTAGTAGAGCTGTACATTTAATCATATGGGAGCAATACAATATATTTAGCTTCAAGCTCAGGAAATGTATTTGTTCTTCCTGGAAACATTAATGCTTTAAACTCTCTGTACAGTCACATTGTAGTGGTTTCAGTTATGAGCCAAAGTAGGATTTCTGGTATAATCCAGCAGCCCCATTCTTGAGCCAATCTAATGCTGCGCAAGTCGGTTTCATGTAGTATTCAATACAACAACATTCATTTAAAATCACAACCAAAGACAACCTTTTGGAAGATTTTTAAAACAAAATTAGTTTACTATTTGGTCATTATACAGTTTGCTACAGCGCTAAAAAATATACACAATAGACATGTTCTGATTCCAATTCAATAGAGGCCATTATTTTAGCATGCTACTCAACCACACCCAGTGATCAACTTGAAGTCCACAATTCTTCTCTTGGAGTCTGGCTGATTTCTTTGCTTTTACCCACGTTTGAAACAAAAAAAGACCCCAAGTTGGTGGGCTCATGAAATTAATACAGAACAGAAATATCATTTTCCCCTACCAAGGGAAGGATTTACTATTGTGAATTGTGAAGAGAGATTTTATTTTCCCTTCCCACTGCTTCATAACTAGACAGAATATACTTAAATCCTTGGTAGACTAGGCATCTTGGCCCAACTATTCAGTTCTTGAAAATGTTATTAGTGGCAATAAGCATACTTTTAAAAATTAAATACAATTGAAGTTGCAGACAGTACCTTTAAATACCTTTTATCAAGGTGTATGTAAACATGTTTCAACTGTAGTCAAGCGTTGTTACGTTTTTTCAATTGGATTCATCAAATGCGTCCAGATTTTGTTGTATCTTTATACAGCTCTACCAACTAAGACGCAATAGTTTCCAAACCAACATGTTTTTGCTATTTATTTATCCAATCAGATGTAATCCAAAACCATTTCCAACCATAGTTGTTTACAGACATTGTCATGTAGTGAATTCAAAACAGATGTGGTGATTCTGCTCCAGACATTACATACGTTTTTTTGTGTTTGCCTCTCACTGCCTTTTTCTGACTGCCAACATCTGCTCCAGCTACAGCCTGTAATCTTCACGTCTATCTCCTGTCACTGAGAAAAAAGGCCTCATTCAAATCGATAAGTGAAGAAGTGATTGTGCCGAGACAAGTCTGCCTCGTGTGAAGGTTAAATCAGTGGAGAGAGTGAAGGGCTTGTGGTGTCATGTACGCCTGCAAATCCTCAAGAGCTCTCAATAAAACAATGATTTAATTCATGGGGGTCAAGAATTTGAGCACAGTGCAAAAGAGGGGGACAAGTATTGGGAAGAAACTTGAGCAGTGGAATCTATTATACAAGGGGCTTTCATTCATTTTAGAACATTGCATGGCATAAACAAAAAATGTTTTGCAATTCATAAAGTATGTAAAAGCCCTTCTAGTGATGGACATTGAAAACTAGCCTTGGCTGTAAATGTTTTAGTGTTTCACATGTTGATTTTGCACACTTGTCCTTATGAGATAAATCCATAAATAAAATAGAAAATGTGTCCATTTAAATTTTTGAGAAACTAATAATACTTGTCCGCTGCATGCGTGGGCTGGTTGTCAAGGTTTCTGCCTTCGACCACCGTCCAGTCCCCCAAGTGCAAATACTACCAAGAATAAAATCTAAGTAGTCAATATTTTGGAGTGGCCCACAAAGCTCTGAACTCGATCCCATAGAATACTGGTGTGCAGATCTCACAAAAGGCGTGAGAGCGATGTGGCAAAACAAACAAACCATGGGCCAGATTTCCAGCCAACTGTTGTGAGAACCCCTTTAACGGATAAAGTGGAAGAAAATGGATGGATACTGTGTGCATCCAAAAAGATAAGTGTAAACTTGCGGTCAGTAATGTGTAAAAATACATCTTTTTGGACAGTACTTTTGAACTTGTCCACTGAAGCTATACCCTGACTCGGATCAAAACTAGACTGAAACATTTTTAGGGGTGCATACAACCGATTCCATTTTTTTGTACCATTTATAGCTTTTATCTCAATTTTTAAACCCCCATTTTAATGAGTGTTAAACCCCATACTTTTATGCTGCTCCGTTTCAATATGAAATCATTGTATATTGCGATGACTTTTTAATGCATTTTGATCTGTGGTGTACACAAATTGTACCATACAAATAATTGATTGATTGATACACATAATAGTGAACGACAGGCTGCGTCTAATCAACTGCACAACTGGATGTGACACTTTGTCTATGTCAATGAAATAGCAGTTTTGGTGCTGGCCACATTCCTGAGGCTAAAAGGGCAGTTTGGTCTCCACTTTCTCAACCCGGCTTCATGACCTCTGGACTGAGAGATGGGGGAGGGGCTTATGAACAAACAGAGTGGGCCGTGGACACCTAGTTTCCAATAAGCTTTGTGTAAGCAGTTTTTTTTGGAATTTGAGCAGGTTCAACGTGAAAAAAAAAGAGCAAATCTAAAGGATCAGAGGCCCACTTTGTCCTTTTTTTCCCCCCGTCAAATTGGTCTAATCGTAATTCATTGTGTGGTTAGAGATAGAAATTAATGATCTGTCGTAGAAATTAACCTGAGGCAACGTTAGAAAAGTTGTTTATTTCCTACTTTTCTATTCTGTTGTAATGTGCGCAACGATGACATTGACATTTTCCCACTGTGGGACATTTAAAAGCTTTTAAATGAACTCCCTGACCCCTATCCCGAAACAAAGTGCACTGGCCACTAGCGTGCGAAAGACATTTTGATAGGCGTTACTTGATGGGTGCTTCTCTTATCCCTCCTTCTAAAGTCCACAATCCGTTGTGTTGAGAATGAGACTAAACTAAATTAGGGGTGTGCAAAATATATCGTAGACAATAATATCGTGAAAGTCAATTTGAAGATATGCTTTAGTATTATCGTCTTTTTTATTATTTCAAAACATACTACAATTAGAGAAGGCAAGATGCCCATTGGTCTAACCTGTGCCTAAAAAGCCAATCACTGCTTTATTTGTACATTTCAGTAAATATTGAGCCTTTCTGGATGTGTTCTTCCTGTGTTACTTGAATTTGATTTTTAATGTTAATACACGTTAGTGGATGTTTTGCAAAGATGTGTGAAGCACTTTACAAAAAACTTCTATTTTGATCTATAATGCCCTGGCAGAAAAACATTGCAGATCATTTTGTGTAAAAATGATTGATTTGAAAGATATCGTGACAATATCGTTATTGGCAGTTGGGAAAAAAATTGATATTTAATTTTGTCCATATCGCCCACCCCTAAACTAAACCCAGCTCACACAATCCTCTACAGCAAACTCAATTTAGCTGGGGATTGTCAAATGCTTCTGGATTGATAAATATACCCCCAAGTTTCAAATGCCCCCCTCTTGATTCTTTCTCTACATTATTATTATTGCTAAAGTACAAAAGAAAAAATGACTCTTGGAATGAAAACTGACAAAAACAGGAAAACAAGGAAACAAGGGTTTGTGGAAAGTCTGTTTATAAACTCATAATTTGCACATTCTGCGAGTTTATAATAATAAAGGCATTTTGACCACATACTTACGTTTATTGAATAGGAATTTTGGATATAATTCAATATATTTCTGTGAACAAAATGAGTACAGCTGCGTGGATTGAAACAAAACTGGACAAAAGACTGGGTTCAATAATGTTAACTTTGAATGATTACTTTCAATTGCATGGAAATATAAATGCCGTGGTTGTTTTCTTGATAAAATTTTCCCTAAAAAAATTGATTCCTAAAAGGGGTGTCCAAATGTGCTAATATGTAGTGGGTCCATGTGTGACAAGAATATGATCCCAGTTTAGCATCTCACCCCCCACTTTGAAAACCACCGGGTTAAGAAATCCAACTGGAATACTGAACACAACATTCAGATTATATGATGTTATAAAACCTAATTGGATTAAATGGATACATGTTCTAGGGCATCCACATTGTATCGGTCCACATTATGTTGTGTCTTTGAGAATGTGCAGGTTCCCCAATTAGAAATAAACTTGCGGAGTGTTATATAAAAGATGTTTTGGTGATTACTGGAGAGGGATAATCCAGTGAGTAATGCATCACCTGACAAACTGAGCAGCGCAGGTGCAAAGCTCATTTATGTTGTAATCTAAAGCCTGTAAACAATGCGTACAACAGGCTTTAACTGTTTTCCACAACTGAATGTTTAAATGTTCATGTACGTATTATGATTTGTGGTCAATTCAATGTTGTAACTGGGAGCAATAAGAGATGTTTGTCTTTTATGGGAAGGCCTTGGGCTCTTTAACATTACCTACAATTTTGGCTATTAATTCCCCTTAAAACACTCAATGGTGGCACTTCCCTTACAGTCCTTTGAGGGCTTCAATCTGGAACAATCTTCCTGAAGATGTGAGACAGGCCTCCTCTCCAACAATGTTTAAAACCAGGTTAAAAACAGTCCTGTTTAATTGTGCATACAACTGAGGGATTTTATATTTTTATCTTTCTTTTTAATTTACTGTGATTATTTATGATTTTAATGCTATTTTGTCTTGTTCAGCACTTTGAGTTGCCTTGTGTATGAATTGTGCTGTACAAATAAACTTGCCTTGCCTTCATCTGCTTAATCTGTCCCATCTGAAAGAACTATTAAACACTACACACACAGCCTGAGGACCTCTTGGAGAAAATGAATGAATAGGTTCTCTTCTTCAAAGTTCCCTGTTGAGGAATATTTTTGATTCATCATACAACCAACCTTACAAAAGTCAAAACGTGGACCTGCCAGCAAAAGCCACAAGTAGCAAATCACAAGAGCATAACAATTAATCATGAGAGAAGATAATAAAACAATATTATCTTCTCTCATGAGAAAACAAACGATCTATTGTTTCGATACAATGACCTGAAAACTGTATTTTGTCTGATTCATCATTCTTATCATTTTTCTTTTTGCTAATAGATGGTTTGGACTAAAACAAACTGGAAACCAATAATTTTACTCATTCCGCTCTGATTGAATAATTTGCTTTAAACTTCCACGGCCATTGTATTTTTTAAATAACAATAACAAATGTGTTCAAAAAAGGTCAAATATGCTTTGTACATTGTAGACCAGTTCTGGGGGATACAACCACAATGTGGATGGAATATAACATGAAAATAATACATACTGTCCTTTTAAAAATCATGTTACAATTGGTAAATAAACTGCAGCTTTCCTTAGAGTTTCTTAGAACAACATGGCATGACAAATTGATAGTTATACCACAATTCCTAATCAGTTCCCATATGCTCCTGGCTGCAGTTACACTGTGGACTTTCTGGGTGAGCGAGCAGCGTTGTTCAGCGTTTATTGAATGTGACTGTTCTACATGGGCACCGAGGCTGCAGAGAGAAGGCTGCCATGTTTGCAGAGTCACAGGAGGCTGATCAATACTCAGGCGGGGTGGCATTACAGTCGATGAGGAAGATACAATTGCTTAGCCTTTGCAGCAGATATTCCCCATTAGTATTAGATGAGAATTGATTGAAAGATCTGGAAATTTGAGTTTTTCCTTCATGGGATTCATGAGTCTCTTCAGACACTCCCTGCAGATTGATCCAAGACTCCAGGGGTTTAAAGGCCAGATACATCGAATACTTAGGTTAGAAAAATAAATACAGTCAGTGTGGACCATATGTTCTGTGACATAAGGATGGATATCGCTAACCTGCAAGCTAAATGAAGCCCAATAGGGAAGTGCTCATGAACAAAGTTTCGATTGACTTACATTGAAAAGCAAACTTGAGATTAAAAAAAAAAAAAAAAAAAAGAGGTTGAGCGACCTTCTAGGGCAAAGACGCATAGGGCGCAGACGTCAGCCCACGCAGTCATCGCCAATGCCCACATAAAAGGGAAATTGGCTCCAGCTAGCTTATGTTGAAAACTGCTTATTTTGCAATCAGCAAACACTATGGGTGACGTCTATCCACTCCTCTGCAATCTATGGGTTATTCTTAATTTCACCAGATATAATTTGAATCTAATACGCTGTGCTTCCTGGTTTTAGGGGGTGTCCTCTTAAATTTGTCAAACCTGCAACAATGCAATTTTGACCAACATGGTATTGATATCGGCAAACACTTAAAAAAGCGGTAATTATTTTATCAGAACCTCCCTGTTACATATGTGAAGTAAAAATAATAGAAGCTGTTCAACCATCGGGCTTGGCAATTGTTTTCATTCCAACATTGTTGTCTTGGACTCTAAACATGTCTTTGGGAGTGGCCCTTCGTACAGTGAAGTTGCGATCCTGTCGTCTAATCCCCTCCACATTTAAAGCCGCGGCCTCCAAACAAGTTCTTGTGGTAAATTTGAACTGCTGCATCCAGACCGCAGCTCATCAACAACTGCAGCGTCTCAACAACTTCATTTCAACACTTGTTTTTTAAAAGCTCTGTTCCCACATGTTCAACACACAGCGCATATTTCACATTTCCACACTGCAACAAGTGGTTCCCAAAATCAGACAGACAAATCTCACTCAGGAGGTACACAGTGAAGCAAAAAAAAAAAAAAAAAAAAGTCATCCACATAAATGCAAAAGGAAATTGTTTCAAACTGTAAACTAGTTATTTGAGGTGGTTAGAGATGGCAAAATTATGATATAACATGAGATGCAAAAAATACAGAAGCAGAAAGATTCAAATCTTAAAAATCTGAGTAAAGGTGATCGAGATTGTATATGTTGTTTGGGACATAGTCACAATTAAAATTAAAATTATTTCGTTTACACAACATGAATTTTCTTAAACAATCTCTGGTATTATGAGACGTTTGTTGTTTGAGGAACTTTGGGTGATGTTGCTGGGAGGGGCTACACTGGAAAATACTGCACATTCTTCTTCTGTCCAAAAATGTGGAAAGAAAGTCCTGAGGGTTCGACCGGAGGAACGCCAGACGCCTGACAACATGACACAAGCTGTGGAGCAATGATGCAGTTGTTCAGCGCACGACATGTGTCTCTCCATCTATGCAGCTTTATAAATATACTGTATATAACATGATAACCAAGGCATTCAGTGACATGGCCAAGGTATTTAACAAGATGTTACAGCTGTAACAGGATCAATTGCAATGCACACGATGGTACGTACATCATGATGGTTAAAAGCAGCAAAGCAGCAAACAATTTACTCAAGTGGTGCTCAAACAGTGTTGGGCACGTTACTTTGAAAAAGTAATTAGTTATAGTTACTAGTTACTTCTCCCAAAAAGTAACTGAGTTACTAACGGAGTTACTCCACTATAAAAGTAACTAGTTACCAGTAAAAGTAACTATTGCGTTACTTTTTCGTTTTGTTCTGGAACATAATGTGCACCCGACGTGCGCATTTTTACCTTTAACAGTGCCAATATTTCCATCTAGAAAAGGCTGTTTTGCTGCTGAAGTTCTGTTCACTCTTCATCTCTCACTGTGCTGTAAAGCCCGCCACTGTGAATGTGGAAACACCGGTGAAGCACTGACTTCAGCCCAATCAGATGAACATATACATCATATAAATCAAGTGGACAATTTGTTTGGCTACAGCAAAATATGTTTTATGCCCGCATTGTTTGTTCATACAAAACGCAAAACTATGAGTTATGGGTCTTACCTTATAGCTATACCTTATAAATGACCTGCACAGTCCACTTTGGTTCAGACCAGTTCCTTGTTTAAATCCAGTTAATGGTTTGAGCGTAGATATGTAATCCTCCAATTGGAAATGAGTCCAATGAGTTTCAAAAAGTAAAACAAAACGCGTGTCCTCCATAAACTCCTGTTTTGCTGCAGCCGGGTGCATCCAATTTCTAAAATCAACCGTCTAACACTTCACCTCTCTTTCTTATCATTCCTATAGTAATTGAAAAATTACCCTATGTGCATTTTAGATTATGTAAAAATGTGTTATATGTATGTTAGCCAAACCTGTTGCTGTCCTTAGCAGATAAACCAGGAAGAGCAAGGAGCTTATCGATGGAATTGTATGCAGCCAACTTCTGCGCTCACATGCGCTACTCTGTGGCTGACCTCACGGTGATACAAGCCATGGTAGAGTGTGATTAAGACCCATATTTGTTTCAAAAACACAATTTATGAGCCATCCTCTCAACTGTAGACATGTGGATTGTAAAGGAAATATGATTTACATCAGGCAATAATTGCTGAGAGGTTTTCTCATCCTTCTCTCATGACAACACGTTCATTGTGCGTCTTGAGTAACGCGCAGTAACGGGATGTTGGAAATGATAACGGCGTTATAGTTACTGTCAAAGTAATTAGTTAGATTACTCGTTACTGAAAAAAGTAACGGCGTTAGTAACGCCGTTACTAGTAACGCCGTTATTCCCATCACTGTGCTCAAATAGTGTAACTACCATGGGATATATCCAGCCATCATGAGGGCTGGATATCGTGTCCAAGAGATTTGTGCGTTATGGTCCATAGGGAGAAAAATCTACTCATGGAAAAAATGTTAAGACCTTGAGAAGATATTGGCTTCTTACATGAGCCCAAACATAAGTTTGTAGTAAACAAAAAAAAGGGCAGAAAATAATTTTATTGTCAGCAGAAATGTTTTCTCAATTTCAAAATTACTTGATTTAAGCATTTTTAATAAATGTTTGTTGTCATTTTTACTCTAATAGGAGCTTCAAGCTTTAAAAACATACAAGATTAAGACCATCGCATCGCAATTGGTCTGAAATATTGCAAAAGATACATTTCTTGGTAACTTTGATGGAAACATTTGAAATCTTGTAAGACACAGAACACCATCCCTCTCAAGCATGATATCGGCAGTGTCATGGGTGCACTTCAATGGCATCATGAAGGTACCTTTCAATATTCATATGATCTAATATAACATTTCATTCACCAGCCTTTTGTTGAAGCAGAACAGGAAATGATCTTTGAACTGATAATGCATCACAAATCCCTTCCATGTTTTCATTAGAGAGCACTGTTCTATATGTGTGTTTGTTAAAAGGTCATCCAACAGAAGACATTTTGACCATAATATTTCAATCATTTGGATATTTTGAATCATTTGGACATACCATTTTCTTGTTTTCACCACCGAAAGAAAGATACTTTTCATCACGTAACTGCAAAAGGTTTATATGGGGTGATCTTACCTGGATGCCAGCCTGGACGGCCATCACTGCAGTCTCCGGAGCCTCACTTCTTCATCCTGAGACCACAAAAGAGAAATTTAGTGAATAAAGGGTTTTAGAAGTTCCACAATCAAAAGACCCCGAAAATAAAAATAAATCTCAAATGTGACAGTGGGCCTCTGGAATATAAGCGACACTGCTTTATGCTCCGAAACTGTGCAGTAGACGGCATTCATCTTTCTTGGACAAATGAAAACAATGATTTGGAGCATTATTTCGCAAGATGCACAAATGACAATCCATTTACCCAATTTACTCTAATTTTACTCTGACCAGTCGAACCCTGCCCCCTCCACCCTGTGCTGGTGCGTTCACACATTAGAATAATTGGCTGCTGTGTTATTGTGTGAACAGAACTCCATAAATCACAGCTCCTTGCACAGGACAGAGGCGCCTCTTTCCTAAAAAACAACCAGGGTCTGACCAAGTCTGCACGTCTCCTTTCACTTAGAGTAGTTAGGGCCTTCAGTTTGTGTGGGACTGACTAAAGCAATTAATAATACAATAGCAAATGATGAAAGCATGTCGTCTTGTCCACTTATCAACTCATTAGGATCTTATTTTGTATCTTTTGTCCACTAATAACTATAAGACATCAAAGCATAAAAATAAAACCTACAAAGTATCTATCTATCAATGATCTCATGTTACAGAGGGGTTCGGTTGATCAGTGGACACTAGTACGGCCCAAGGCAAGAGCCGCTGGATGTTTGCACTTGTGATCTGTAGAGGAGAACCCTCTCTGGAGGAAGTGAGGGGTGAGTTCTTGGCCTTTCCCATGCAGGACGTGAAGGATTAACCCAGAATCTTTGACTGTCCAAATCCAGTTTATGTGGGGGCCGATCCCAATAACAGTGATGTTAATTTACCAAGCACAGCTGAGGCAATAACCCTAATGCCACCAGACCCTTGCCCACCCCCATCACTACAGGGAGACACCTCTCTGCACCTGATGTCCTGGGACACCAAGCAGAACAGCCAATGCATCTTAATCCAAGAAGAACAATACAGGATTAGAAAGGGACAGAAATTAGCCTTTTGTTTTATGCTCTTGTTTGTATAGTTTAACAAAGATTTCCCCCCTCCCCCAGATATGATTTGAGTTTTTTTCACGCATCTATTATTCTGTTCGTTATTGCCATTCAATTTTTACTTCACAGTTTATGCATCGATATTCAAACAGTGCATCTCCCTAGCCCTAACCATACACTGTAAACATTTTGATCCAGGTTGAAATGGTTTGATTATGCCATCCCATATAAATTGCTATCAAATATTTAAGTCTTTTGGCTCAATTATGATCATCAATGAATGAAACAGCTGAATAAATAATCACCAAGCAAGACAGAACTTAGTGAAGTATATGTGTAAGAGCACTTCCACAGTTGTACAGAGCTATAGCCATGCTGGTCCCAGGACAGTGACAACACCCTTCTCGATGTTTAGCCTGTAACACTAGACAGATCACAATCAATATTTGTAGCTCTGATGTAAGGAACAGTGATCTGGGACCAGTTTGTATTTGAAGACATTGATATCACCATCAAAAGAGTAGTACGCAGTCTGTCGGATCAATACACAAGTTTAAAAGATATCGCCTTTAAAATGATAGTCAATACAAACATAACTTCGGAGACAAAAATTTGCTTAAAATGTATTGCAAGCCAAGCCTTAAAGCATCCAACATAGACATTCACCATACCCCGGCATCCCAGCACTGCTTACCTAAAATACGAATCCAGTTCTATCGCTCCTGTGAAGTGCATCCCAACACTCTTTGGCCAGCTTTCCGATTCACCTTTGGCGGGACGATATAAACGCAGTGTGTCCTGCCTGAATGCGCCTCCGTGAGTGAGCTGACAGGGCAGGATAGATGAGATAGAGGGAGGGAGAGAGAGAGGAGGAGGTGGCTTGACTAATGAAGTGGCTAAGCTCCTATCCGCCCCCTGCCTCCACAGCAGCCCCCTCGGTACAATCCGATAGCGTTGTGGGACCCTCTTACAAAGACCCTATTGTCTAAGCTGAACCACACTCACATATTATGGGTGTAATCGCCGTTTCTCAGGTCGGAACTTCCCAATCAGAGTGCAACGGCATGGAAGAGGAGTTGGCATAGGGCATTGATAGAAAAGGCATCTATAAAGTACAACAAATAAGTATTTAATCTATACAAAATCAGCCTTTGGGGTTTTCTAATTAAAACTAGAGTTGAGTTTTTAATGACTATTCTTTTGATTACTCAATTAGTTGTTTCAAAGGCAAATGGGTATTTTATCCCCATTTGACCCATAAAAGCTGAAGTGAAGCCACACGTCTTGATGGAGAATACCATTTAATTCGTCAAAACTAAACATTAATTGGAAAAAAAAAACAGTTCTAATTGTAATTACATTTATTGTAATTGTGACTTTGTAGGCTTCAACCTGGAGGCTGATGCCCCTGGTCTAGTGTGACGGACTGGAGCAGGTTCAGATGAGGCAGATCTGACTGAGTGAAACATGACGTAATGTTTTGGTCCCAGATGTTTGCCGCCAAGTTACTCACAGCTGTTACCATGGTCTTCAAATGGGACAATAGATCCGCCGATTACATGTACACAGAAAAAACATTTTTATTAACTCAACAGAACAAAATCTAACCATCTCAAAAGCAATTGGATGGATATTATGACGTCTACAAGAAAGGTCAGAGCAGACAACTTTTCTTCCTGAGGCTACTGAGGTCCTTTGATGTGAGCAGTCAGATGTTGCACATATTTAACCAGTCTGTTGCAGCTATACCATGCTCTTTGGAGTAGCGTGTTTGGGCGGCAGTCTGACCTCGAGAGACAGTAACCGGCTCGGAGAAGTAATTGTAGCAACAGGCTCATATCACTGCACTGCCGAAAGAAATGTTTCAAGAGATCCTTTGGCTGTCAGGGGATCAAAAAAGTATATCTATTTTAATTAATCAATTTGATCAATTGCTGGTTGTAAGGTGCTTTTATGTTTAAGCCATCTCATCACTCAATAAGATCAATCTTCCTTGCCTTACACTCCTAATCTTGCTCTTATTGGGTAACAGGTGGAAAAGTACACCGTTTCATCTCCATCTGAAGAAACTGATGAAAATATTGCAAAAGTTACCACCAGAAAATTGTGACCCGTGCATTTTAGCTTATGTAACAAAGTTTCGAGGCAAGAGCATTCAGCTAAACTTGACATTTTACCAAGACAACTTCTTCAACACCACAGCTGCAAACTACAGTGACACAAGAGGAAAGTAGACATTTGAGGGGGGCGGCTTCTTTCAAGTGCCTTGTGTGACGCTGATGGGACAAAGGCCAGATCTTTTCCTGTGTGGAGTCCAGTTGTGCTGTAGAGAACGGCCCCCCTGAGGAGACCAAAGGCTCCCCCACACACACACATTCAAATGTCAAGCAGTGAGGAGGCCCCATACAAGAGGACGGGACAGAGGCACACAACACAATGCTCTTTCTATTTAGGAGTTGAACTTGGGACTGGCGAAAAAGTTCAAAGTTCAACTGCACCACACACATTCCCATACGGTCAATGTGCGTGTATTGACAAAAAGGATTAGAATAGACACTGCATCTAACTGTGTTTATATAATATGTGCAATATTTTTTAAGGAAAATATGGATAAGGATATCCTGTGGTTTAGATTAAAATTGGGATAAACTTGTGCTTTCACACCGCCGACGCTGGAACGTTGACGCCTTGCGCACCAGATGCACAGTCTCTAATTTTCAAACGCAGGGGTCTTCAGATCAGAAATCCAGGGCTGCGATGGCACCCGCCGGAAGAGGTGGAAATAGGGGGCGGACTTTGATGCTAACGGAGTAAAGCTAGCGGCTTTTTCTGTAAAGTTCTTCTCTCTTCTTCAATAATGCAGCTTTGCAGCGTCTGTGTCCAGAGACCTTCCAGAGACATTATATAACAGTAGTACGTGTTCACGGAGGTGCGCCATACGTTTATTTTATTATTAAACTGTACTTCCGCATCGGCGAACACTCTCCAAGCAGTTGCATAAAGTCATATGTTCACAAGCACTATGTCCCCCATTGTCAACCCTGGTTTAGTCCTGGTGTAGCTTCTGTTTTGGCTGTTTACAAGTATGTTCAGTCTGGTCGCTCAGACCACTTTGCGGCTCTCTGATTGGTCGCTGCACGAGTGTCCCAAGGAAACGCTCAGTAATATTAATCTCCTGTGTGCGTCGATTTTCCGCTGCTGCGCCTCTGCCGCACCTTTACAGCGCAGTCCGTACGTGCATACAGAGACGCACATGCAGTTCGACGCTCGAACGCGCGTCACCATTGACTTTGCATTGAAAGTCGATGCAACGCATGATCCAGTGTGAAAGCACCATAACACTAAAACGAAGCAAAGGAAGGTTTCTCACCCATCATCTGTACTTAGCAGGTTTTCCCGACGTTTCGTCCTCAATCCAAAGGACTTCTTTGACTAATCCCTGTACGACTGAGGGCTTACACAAACATAAGACTAAAACGTTTTCACATGCTACACTTTTACTTCAACTTTAGTAGAACTGAGTAGAACTATAGCTCCCAAACTCTGAAGCAACAATAAGTCACTTATTCATGAAAAAAAGATCATTCACACTGTAGCTGTAACAAAGAGTCAAGTTCGTGGAGATGATTCTTTTAATTCCTGTTTATAGAGCCGCCTTAAACAACATTTGTTTATAAGGATGCAATAATGCAATGCTGGAATCGGATATTGGCATAGATAATGGAAAATTAGTTGAATCAGGATATAGATAATACACCTATTGAAAAGATAGATAACTTGAGTAAGATACATTCTATTGGGTCTTTAATCCAAAATATGATTTTTTTTTTTTTTAACGCTGTAGTTACTTAGGAAAAGTACTTGCATTACTATCATTGTCCAAAACTTATTTGAGAGAGAGAGAAAAATAAAATATTTCAAGGGTTCTCGTCAGGGCTTTTAAAACATCAGGTG